AAGTTCCTTCTGGAAGCTTGCCGTTAGGCTCCGATATAACGACGAAGAGTTTTGGGTACAGTTTCCCATCAGCGCTGATGATCGGCATCACAGTCGAAGAATGCGTCACATCATTCGTTGACCCAACAAGTCGGACCACCTTCTTCTCGCCAATGGGCGCCAAACTGCGGGTTGAGATCAGCTCCTTCGATATTCCACATTGGTCAAAGTTGAAAACTTGAGAGGGGAGCAAGTTGCTGATCTCGGTCCGGACCTGTTTGATGAAGTCGAGGCCTGCCTTGTTTATTTCATCTTTGCTGTTCAACGTTTTTCGAGTCACAAATGTGGTCACTCTCCGAGAGACGATTCCTTTCGAAGCCTTAAACCTCGTTATCCACGATGGAGACGCAACGAAATTTGTCACCATATATTTCTCGTTTAACTCCAATGCCATGGTTTGGAGATTGAAATCGTGCAGCGTGATCGCGAGTTCCATTTTTTCCAGTACTTGTTGTTCCAGTTCCACGGCAAGGCTGCGAAGCCTTCCAAGCCGGTCAGCATGAAGATTTCCAGCCCTTTCATAGTCGAGCAGTTTGAGCCAGTGTGATCGATTCTTGAGCCATCGGAAGCGATGGGCAACGGTGTTAAAAGCATAATCCCCGGAATTTTTGAAGTGGATTGCCAGTTCCAGCTGATCACGTGAAACCGCCCTATCTCCAAAGCGAATCTCCTCCGGGCCCAACGCAGGAGGTGTAAGCTCGAAATCGTCAACGTCGACATTTTCCATGTATTCTTGATCCTGGTCTAGCTCTTCCTCGCTATCGGCGTCGAATCCTCCCGTCCTTACGTCTTTCAAGATTCCGTAAAGCCGTCCAAATAGCTTTGCCTCTGTTCGTGTTAGCTCGCGGCGGACGTTTTCCGGCGTGAAGACCAAGGATAGATGTAATAATATTTGAGAAACGTTGATGGAATCATCAGGATCCATGACAATCAAAACCAGGCAAAAGGACACAAAAAAACAACGAGCACAAAATCGGTTCAGCAAATCACACAACAAAGGCTGAACGAAACTGATCAAGACCAGCGCATTATAAGTTGGATGGCGTATCCAGACGGTGGGCGAGTCGGTTCCCTCCGAAAGCATATTCCCACGAAAATCCTCAAAAAGCAAAAAATTCCGACCGCCGGCGGATTCGAACCCTGATCCCCATCCCCATATGCCGATGATTACACCACTAGGCCACCAGGCCACGGTGGGGAGGTAACGGGGAGGGGCTATGAAGGTAGGGGGAATAACCCCCAAAAACTTTAAATGCTTATAACTCGGCTATATTACTGTATGGGCAGCTGAAAGTTACACCAATCGATTCGTCTCGTCGAGCTCTATCAGTGTGCCAATTTTCAAATCGAAATTCGGTGTCGAGCTGAGACCATCTCCTTGTTAGTAAAAAATGACAAGTATAAAATACAAAAATTCAAAAATTGATTTTTTTGAATTCGTTTGCTTTCTCGTTTTTTTTTGTTGTATTTTTTTAATAAAAACTCACTACTAATCTTCCGCTTGCCACAGTCGACAAAAATAAGGAGTGCATGATAATATTGCTGGAGAGGGACCAGATCGACACCGCGCAAAAGGCCATTATCGTGTGTTTGTACCTGAAAATGGACGGCGTTGGGCTACAAACTACAAACATCAAAATTTTCGGCCACAAACTATTAATATATTTCAACTGACAGCTATCCCAGCGATTTCTGGAAAAAAACTATAATTTCCAGACAACAAACTACAAAATTTCGTATGGGTGCCTGAATCGGGGTCCGGCGAAGCTACAAACTACAAATCCCATTTTTTTCGGTTATGGACTACGAATTCCCCCTATCTGGCATACAGTTCAGTGATTTGCGAAAAAAATTATAAACTCTAGGCTATGGGCTACAAACTACAAGCGCTAAACGCTAGCCTACAAAGTACACCAAATTTCACTAACCTCTCCCTGATCGTTGTGGCTGCAATAATGATGGATATGTAGAGGATGAGCGCCATCAGGAAGGAGAACAGATCGACGATGGACATTGGGACATGCCGAAGGTTCAGCTCGACCATTTCCATTCTCGCCGATAGGCCATCGGGCATTTGGACCGCTGAAAAACAGGGCTGTCACGTTCCCTGTAAAATCGAAAAATCAGGGAGAACGAGCAGAGGGCATTGAGGAAAATCGAATCGATCACGACATGGAATTAAAAGGGCAAGCGAGCTGAGAATATTGTGGAAACAATGAAATCGATTACGACAGGAAATGCCTGCAAAAATCCGATTACGCAATGAAATTCCGAAGTCCTAGCCTCAGGAATTCAGCATTTCTCACGGTTGGCTTTTTGGGTTTTCGGATTCTTGGCGCCGCCTGATTAATTATGCGGCGTGAGGGGATGAAAAGGAGGAGAAAGAGCGAGAGGGAGAGAGAGAGAGGGAGAGACAGAGAGAGAGAGAAGCAGAGAAGCATAATTAAACACCCTCCAGCCATATAAGGACTAGAATACAGCAAACTGACACCCAGTTGCGCAATAGCACGAGGAACGAGAGAATTCGAGGGCGAGAGAGCGAGAGAGAGAGACAGAGTGAGTGAGAGATAGGGAGAAAAACGGAACTCATGACGAAACGCAGAAATTCGCAACTAATTAGCAATCGACACGCCAAAGAAAAGGCCTAAGCAAGAGATGAAGAAGCTCCCCCGGAAATTGGCCACGCCCCTTTTTTGGCTTGAATGTTGCCGTCCCCGGGCACGTCATTGGGAGCGATATGGAGGGATCGAGCTAAAACTTCGATTTTTGGAGATCTAGTCTCTCTGTTAATCAGCTAACCAAAAAATCAACATCCTGAGCAAAAAGCAAAAAGTCTGTAGGTCCCGGGAATCGAACCCTCGACCCCTCGCCTGGTAGCCAAACTGGGATAAGTCTTCGAAAAAAGTTACTGAATGGCTTCCCTGGTGCCAGCTAGCTTGTTGCAAATTAGAATACAGACTGCAGACTCCAAAAACCGGAAATAAGACTAATCGATTAGCATAGGTAATTCGGGCTATAAAATCCGGGGATTTCCGGGGGAAAATTCATTCTCAAAATCGCCTCAAGTTCGCGTGCTAATGCTGTCGAAGCCTGAAGCCGAAGGAGGGGTGGACGCAGTTGATGAGGTACCGTAGTTTGTAGTCTGTACCCTAACTGGGGTACCTGATTCCGTTTCGCAACTCTAATCCGGTTTTGTATGCAAATTTCTAAAATCAAATCCTGTAGCTCCTAGCCTGGCTGCCATACTACAAACTGGCACAGGCTACAGACTACAAACCACAAATTCTACCAAAAATTGAGAATTTGTACTTTTCATCCAAAAATTTTGGTATCTAGGGAAATTTTGGCGAGTTGAGCCTCGTAGTTTGTTGTCTACCCTCCAAACTACAGACCGAGACCCAGGCTGCAGACTACAAACTACAGCTCCCGCTTCAGGTGGACGACGCCCGTTTCGCGGAGGTGTCCCGGGTGGTGGCCCGGCTCGTCGAGGAGGGCCAGCTTGGGATGCCCGCCGGTCTTGGTAGGGCTACAGACTACAGACTACAAACCGCGCATTCAGGCTACGGCCGGGCTAAGGTGGTGGAGATGCCGGCGGGCGAGGACGTCCAGCACGTCACCGAGCAGGGCAAGCCGAGCGGGGACAACGAGGGAGAGAAAGGTGTGGTCTACAGACTACGGGCTACACTGAGTAGAGTGCTTTCCAGTTTAACGGTAGCCAGACTATAGACTACAAATTCAGGCTGGGATACAAACGACAGGCCTCCAGACGACAAAATACAAACTACAGGCTACAAATTCTACTTTCAGGCGAATAGCCGGCCAGCTGACGTCCGGGGCCACTACAAACTACAGGCTACAGGCTACAAACTACAACAACCCACCCTCAAGACTACAAACTACACGCACGCGCCGCCATCTGATGTCCCTGAAGCGCCCTCCGACTACAGGCTACAACTACAGGCCACAGACTACACAATCCATGCTCTGCCCCTCCCCTCACCATCGCTTTATTCCGCCAATGTTCTCTGCTAGTCTGCCCCCTCTCTCGCTGTCTCTAGATGTCTACCCCCCCTCTCTCTCTCTCACCTCACCTCTCCTCCGCTCTCTCGCTTAACTTAACTTATTTTTAAGTTAATAAAGAAATTAACTTTACAACGATTGACTACAAACTACAAAATACAGGCTACAAGCTGTAAGCTTGGCTGGAATACATACTCCAGACTGGACGGGTGTTAGACTACAAGCTACAGAGTACGCTGGATGGCAGACTACTAGTTGGGCTGGGCTACAGACTACAAATTTATCAGGCTACAGAGCGCTAGGCAGTTGTAAGACTAAAAATTCTGCTAAACTACAAGCTATAAATTTAACTGGGCCACAGACTACAAATTTCGCTAGGCTACAAATTAAAAAGTCGACGGCCAGGCAGACTGTAGACTACAACTTGGGCTGGGCTACAGACTACAAAGTTAACGGACTACAAACTACAAGTCACGTTGTACTACAGCTCCCAAAAATCACCCAAAAAAATTCCGTAAAAGTGAAAATACGACTGTTATGGCTGGTGTCGGCCTGGGGGGTAGGGGGAGGCGTTCAAGTGGTCCCCGAAATCGAGAGAGGGGGGCTGCACCGGAAAAAGCGGAAACGCGGAACGGAAATTCGCGGGTCGCTGGGCGATTTTGGGAATATTTAGGGTTGGTTTGGTTGGTGCTGTGATCGGCTTTTTCACTCTCTCCCCCTCTCTCGCCCTCTCTTTCTCTCTCTGGATCTCTCCCGCTTTACTGGCTGCCAGTTAACCGATTCTGAAAGCTTGGAGCAAATAGCAAAATGTTTACCGTGGCCGGGAGTCGAACCCAGGTCGTCAGATTGGCAGGCAAGATCACTAACCACTTGGCCACGGCTTTCGCGCCCAATTTTCTATTTAAATTCGTTTTTCTCTCTCTAAAGCCTCGCGTTTTAGGATGTCAGAGAAAAAGCCGCTCGACGCGCGCAGTCTCGTCAGATTCTCGATGGATTATGTTGAAATTAGGGTGAGTTTTGGGGACTACAAATTACAGGCAAATAATGGACTGCAAACTACAATTTGGAGTGCAGGGCAGGCTAGCAGAGATTCTTGAGGAATTTTTGAGCGGACTGTATAGTAATTAGTACAGTGACGTACTATAAATTTTTCTCGCTGCTTTTCTCGCCTGTTTATTTGTCTCTCTTTCCGCCTCTCTGGCTGTCAAAATATCGGCGCCTCGGGAAAAAGGCAATAAAATGCAAAACGACTAGCCAGGGGAAGGGGGGAAAGGCGTGTCCTTATGAATCATTTTCGTATTGTTTTCAGCTTTTTCTTGATTTTCTGAGCTTTCTAGAGGCCTATTTTATTTATTTTTGTCCTGGCTTGCATCCTGAAAATACTGTAACCCCAAAAGATGTTGAAAAAGGCAAACATTCAAAAAATTGATAAGAATCGAATTTTCAAAAATTTCTAAAGAACTTTCTGATAGATTTAAAAACTCGATTTATCGATTTTTGGTTTAACTGGCATGCAGAAAACAGAATTATATCTAAAGACTAAAAACGAAAAACAAAGGTAGCCAATTTTCTTCTGAATCATCAATTTTAGGAAGCGTGATTGTTGGCCAGTTTCCGGCCCGGAAAAGCCTGTTATCTCTAGTGGCTTCTCGGCTTCCTGAGCGGCTTCCCAAGCGGCTTCACGATCAATTCGAATTATTAGTCTATTCTAGTCTAATTATTTGTCATTATTAGCTTTTTTCGGACTTTTTAGATAAAAAATCTTAAAAAGAAAAAATTTTTATGCGTTGGCATTGTTTATATTGTTTCGTCTAGAAAAGTGCCTATTTAGACAACCCGGAAAATGGGCGAGCAAAACCAGGGGTTCGTCTCGGATGAAATGGATCGACATTTGGGGGAGCACAGCCGCACTGTACGCGCCACTACTATTGACGTTCAGGGTACGGTAATTGCCTTTTTTGGGTTTCGATCTTCTATAGCTTTTCTTGCATTCAGGTAACCTATTCCGAAAGTTTGAGCAAAAAGCAAAAGTTTGCGCGGCTGGGAATCGAACCCGGACCTCCAGATTGGTTGACTAACTCACTAGCCACTACACCAAACTTTTGGTTTAATTTTGGTGAAAATAGCGTTTAGAGGACACCACGCAAACGGCTGATGGGAAGGTAAACGTTCCAATTTCCCCAGTCATCACCGAGTAAGTGTTTTTCCAGCCAGATACCTGATTTCGAAATTTGGCTTCCCAGTTCCTTTAAATTGTTAAAACAATAAACTTTTTTCTGATATCGGTTCTTGGCTTCCAAGCAAGCCAAAGTCCTAAAAAAATTGTTGCCTAAAAGGTCACTGCTAGCTTACCAAGCCGGGGTACCTGATTGGACTTTTTTGACTTGCCAATGCCTTTAAAGCGGTCCGTCGGGTCGACTGTTGTGTTGCACCGGTTAACTGTCAGCCGGGCTGTCAGGTAGCGGTCCCGTTTTGCCCCTCCACTCAACCCCTAATCCCATTCGGCCGGCCAAAGTCGGCTTTTGTGCCCTGGGGGCACAAAAGCCGGGCGCGACCCGTTCTGTAGGTGGTGTGACCCCCCGGCGACAGAATCCACTTCTTGCTACTCGTTGGCTACCAGATTGGTCTTTAGCCTTTGTAGTTTAATTCCTCAATCATATTTGCTAATTTTAGAACGCTATCACACTTTTCAAAAAATTGGATTTTTTGACTTAGGCCCCTTTAAAATTGGGTTACGGTAGGATAATCGAGCCAATATTTTGGCAGCTCTTTCTTCTCTTTCGAATGACATATTGTAATCAATTACAGTACCCCTTAGCGTCAAGAGGAATCGGCCGGAAAATGGCAAAAGGCGTTTTTTCGTGATTTTTGATAGTTCTATTTTTTATAGTTTGTAGTTTGGGCCTAATTTTTGTTTTCAAGCGCTTAACTAGCATCCAGATTAGTGAAAGATATGGAAAAATCAATTATAATATTTCTAGATTCCCAGAAAATCGCAGGAAAAAGCGAAAAAATTATTTTCTTGAATGTTCCTCGAAAATCTCTGCTCGTTGACCTTAAAATTCCTCAATAATCCCCGCCAGCCTGCCCCCAAGGCCAAAAAGTCAAAAATTGAGGGGGAGGGGGCAGTAAAATGTCTCGAGGAGGGGGCAATAAACAGGTTTTTCTCCCCCTCTCTCCCCAACCCCGTTTTAAAGGGACAGTGCCAGCTAATCCCGACTCTTAGGAGGGCGAGCAGGGCAATTTTGAGGGTTCTCATGGTTTCTTAGGGAATTGGGGGTCGAGAACAAGGGGATCAAGCCGAGACAACCGGGGGAAAACGATCCCCAAGGGGGCGGCCGAGTTCGAGCAGTTCATTTTGGGGTTGTCGCGCTCTGTCTTGCTTGGCTCTTGAATTTTTGAATATTTTTTGCTTTTGATGGCTTAACTGGAAGCCAATGCATGGGATTCGACTTTAAAAATCGAGAAATTGGAAAATGTTTTCATTGCGTAACCGAATACGTGATTTTGCCGGTTTTGGCCCATAACTTCACCGCCCCTTTAAAATTTCGAGCTGATTTTTTTGGCTATAGTTAAGCTGACATCGAATTAACCCACTCACCCTCCAAAATCCCAATATTTCATTTCGTAATCGATTAATCTCACTTTAAAGGCCCCCAGAAGACGAGGATTACGGTGGATTGGCCTGCTGTAGCTGGACAAAGATGTGCGAGACGCTTGGGAATCGGCAGGGGCGATTTATCGCGACTTTGAGACCGCTGCGGGCGCCCCTCGTTTATGTAAGTGGTTGGGGAATGGAATTACATGTCGTAATAAGAGATACGTAGCTGTCACTGTACCTTTAGCAGCTCTTTAAAGGAACTGGCAAGGCAAAAAAGTGAATTTTTATGGGTTTGCTATGGATTAGCCTTGCCACTTCCTTTAAATACCGTAATCGGGTAGCTGTACGCTCCCTTTAAAATAGGCAGGCTAGCAGAGATTCTTTGAGGAATAATGGAGGGGCCAGCTAGCAGAGATTTCTTAGGGAAACCAGGGCAGACGAGCAGAGACAATTTACTTTTTTAGGCCCTCCAAGCCCTGAAACGCTTCGAACTGGAGCTGGAACGATCGATCAAATCTCGGGATTCTGCGGAGGATACGGCGAAGAAAGTGACCGATGTCATCGATAACATTAATGCGCTGACGAGTGAGTCCAAGGAGCTTTGCTAGCATGCCCGGGAATTCGTTTTTTACGCGAGATTGGTAGTCTGGATGGCAGTTAACCAAATCGCGTTGGAAAAATTCAAAATCCAAGCTGGTTAGCCGATTTTAAAGGACCATTGAAGTCGGGTACCTGATTTGCGGGGGGGGGGGGGGGGTCAAATAAACTCTGCTAGCATGCCTCAGATTTTTAATTTTGAGCGACTGAAGTAATTTGGAGGCCAGATATCATATAAAAAAACGAAAATAATTGAAAAATTAAGAAATTTAAAAGATTTTGTAAAATTCAGGTATCCTAGGTGCAAAAATCAAAGAATCTCTGCTAGCTTCTCTCGGAGTTTTAATTTTTTAAGGAAAATAGATAGACTGGAGGCCAGTTAAAACATTGGACAAGAAAAAACGTGAAAATTAAAAAATTAAAGCAACTTTTTGGGTGGATGTTTGTGGATGGCCATGTGGCCGAGAGGGACCACTGGCTGGGATTTTCCCTCGGGATAAACAATAGAAGGGATGGAGAGCTGAGGCTTTGAGAGAATTGACCCAACCATCCGGCCGTTTGAGTTAAAAGATCAAACCCAACACTCTAGCCAACACACACCGTAGCAAAAGCAAAAAGCAAAAAGTTGTGACGTGGAATGGGATTGAACCTGGGGGTCTAACAACGCTGCGGAATCGGCTTTGAATCCGAATATTTTGAAGTCTATATCCTTACTGGCATTCAGTTACTCCATTTCCGCAAAAAAATCGGCAAAAAGCAAAGAGCAAAAAGTTCTGACCCCGGGCGAGATTGAACCCTCGACCGCCGGAACATCAAAAATAGCAGTTTTTCAACTTTAAAAATCTCGGGAATGGCTTACCTAGCAGGCAGTTAGCTAAATAAACAATTTTTATCCAAAATCCGCAACAAATCCGCGCATAGATTCCGCTTTTTACGCGTGGGCAGCCGATGTAAGAAGGGGCTTTTCGTAGCCCACGGGAGCTCGGGTTTCATGCTGAAATTATTCACCCCTTCTGCATGTGGCCTGGTCGCATAACTGGCTGCTGAAAAATAAGATTTGAATTCTCCACTCTTTTTCGAGCATTAAAGCAAAAAGCAAAAAGCGTTGACCTCCGGCGGGATCGAACCCTCGGGACCCAGGCCTTGCTGGTTACTGTAGGATTTGAAAATTTCTGACGGGAATCGATAAACTAAATGCCAGTTAGGTTAATTCCGACACAAAATCATGAAAGAAACGAAAAAGCGAAAAGCAAAAAGTTGTGACCTCCGACGGGATCGAACCCTCGACCATAAACTTGGGGCCAAAAACACTTTAAAAACAAAATTTTTCCAATTTTTTGGCTTTAGGCAGGCATTTTAAAGGACTAAGGAAGCCTCTCTAAATGCGCAACACGCCCCCACCTCTCGAGTGGCCAATTTTGGTGGTGACGGCCGTCATTCTGGGATAGCCCCATTCGTGCTCAAAATGATGCTCAGATGCCGAGATATTGTCTCGATTTTTTGGAGAACCCTTTTTTTTGTCTGGCAGTCTAGCGATTCGTCAGCGTTTGGGGCAAAAGCAAAAAGCAAAAAGCAAAAAACGTTGACCTCGTCCGGAATCGAACCCTCGACCCCTATAGAATATGGCCTCATAGAATTTTCTGATCTAACCAGGATGTTAATTGGCTGTCTGACAAGCCATCCGCAAAAGAAATATTAAGAAAAAGCTATAATCCAAAAAGCAAAAAACTATGACCTCCGGCGGGATCGAACCATCGATCCTCAGATCGTTCATTTGCATCGCGTAATCCATTAAAATGCATGAAATAAGCTAAATAAAACTTAAACAAACGTTAAAATCAATAAATCCAGCTGCTTTTCGTCATTCTCAAAAATCCAAAAATGACAAATACCCTCGGGGGCGCAATTTTCGCGTTTTTGGCCTTTTTGTCGAAAATTGGCAGGTGGAATGGAGGGAATGGAGGACAGCTGGAATTTATAAATGCGCTTAAAAGAGGGGGAGGGAGACTAGCAGGCATTTTGGAGGAATTCGAGGACTTGAAGAAAAAGCTTAAAAAATACAAAAAAAATTAAAAATTAAAATTCAAAATTTTTAAAGTTTCTAACAAAATTGCAAAATAATAATTTAAAATGATTTAAATAATTTAGATGTATAACTCAATTAAAAACCTTCAAAAACCCTTGAAAAACTAGAAGAAAATCCAAAAATTAAAATTAAAAAAATAAAAATCCAGAATTTTTTAAAATCTTGACAAAATTGCTAAATAAGTTTTAAACAATTAAAACAATTAAAATAATATATAGATCAATTTAAACGAGTTTAAAAAGCCTTGAAATTCTGAGATTTCTGAATGGAGGTAAGCAGAGAGAAACGGGTCATCTGATCCCCCCTTCATATTCTCGGCTTATTCTTCTCCCTTCCCTCCAAAATCTTGGCGGCGTAATCTGAGATTATTTCCGCTGCCTTCAATGGCCCTTTAAAAAACTTTTGGGTCCTCCCGATTTCATCAAAAGCAAATAAAAGCGGAGGGGATGGCCCCCACGTGTCTTTTGGCAAGATGTCAAAAATCGAAAAATCCGGTTTTTTTCGAAATCTGGCCTAACTAGCAGGGATTCTTTGGGGAATTTCGCTAAACTGCCAGGCAGGCTAGCAGAAACCATTTGGGAAATTTTTCTAAAGGGCCATAAAAGGCAAATGATATTTGACAGCGTCCTGGCAGGAAGCCAAAAATCTAAAATTTTGAGTTTTTCGAGATCTGGGCAAGCTAGCAGAGAATTTTGGAAAATTTTGCTAAACTGCCAGGCAGTCTAGCAGAAACCATTAACAAAACGTTTCTAGAGTGCCTAGGCTTAGGCTTCGCTTAGGCTTTTAAAGGACCGTGGAAGGCAAATTTTCCAGCGCACACGAAGCTGAACATCCCGCCCGAGGAGAATCAGATGTTGAGGGGCGTCGCCAACGAGCTCGTCATTTTACAGCGCGTAATCGATGAGGTAAGGGTGAATTTCTAGGTGTCTTACCACCTTTCAAAGTGAGTTTTAGGGTTTAAAGGGATGGCGGCACATAGGAAAATGGAAATTTCGGGGTTTAAAGGCGCGGTGACACCCACAAATCGGGTTTTGCGAAGTTTAAAGGGACAGTGACACCTGGAAAATAGCTTTTAAAGGGATGTCGACATCAAGAGAACGCTTTAAAGGGACAGTGACACCTAGAAAATCCATCTTAAAGGCACTGTGACACCTAGAAAAAACCTTAAAGGGAGTGTGACAGGTCCGGAATCTACTTTAAAGGCAGCGCGCCAGCTAGCTAGATGAATGTTCAGGTGGCCTACACGCTACGCAACACGCCATCACGAAAACCCAGCGTATCCCCGGCTACAGTAAGCCCTAAAAACCGTGAAGTTTATTTTTTATTTTTTAGCAAATCGGCAAGGAAATTCGGATCGACTCGAATACGGTAGCAATTAAAAGAGTGGGTTGTTAAAGTTAAAAAACTAAAAAATTTTCCGATTTTCAAAACTTAAAATGATTTTTTATTTTGATTCTACAGTAATTTTCCTATTTTCCATTTTTAGGAATCCAACAAATCGAGCCTGTTCTCCTACAAGCCGGCCGCCTTCGAGCAGCAGCCACCGCCACAGCCGGATGTTGAGGTCGGGAATGCCTTTGAAGCTATGGATTTGCCTTCAATGGTCCTTTAGAAAGAATTTCTCAATGGTTTCTGCTAGTCTGCCTGGCAGTTTAATGGAATTCCACAAACAATCCCTGCTAGCTCGCCCAAATCTCAAAAAAAAATCGAATTTTTCAATATTTTCCGCGATTCTTCGACTTCCCATCGGTATTTGTCATTTATGCGATTTTAGAAAGCCATCTCTCCGCCTCCAGTTCGTGCTCAGTCTCCGCTGGGAGGTTATTCCGTCAAAACGGGGCCTCAGCTCGACTATACAGTTCCCGAAATCGACGCGAATTTGGTGACTACCGTAACCCGGACCTACGATGAGGTATTTGTAGTTTTTGTAGGTTTCTGTCTCTTTAAAAACTAAAAACTAAAGCAATGGTTAAAATGGCACGCAGTTGAACCGATTACGCAATAGAAATAAGAATTTTTGGCGTTTAAAGAGGCTAGAACACCAAAATACTTAAATTCAGCACTCCCTGAAGGAGCGAATCGCGCGGAATTGCGACCGTATCGAGCACCTCATCTGCTTCATCGATCAGAAGTGCGAGCGGAGATGGTGGTTGAAGGATATGATCAACTTCTTTCAGGTAAAGGAATTGCTTGGCCAAGTGGTTAGTGGGTTTGGCTACCATTCTGACGGCCCGGGTTCGACCCCGGGCCGGGGCAGGTTTTTGCTTTTTGCTTCAAACCCCCGAATCGACAATCTGGCTGCCAATAAGCGAAATTTCGGCAACAGCAAACTAGCAGAAACCATTTGAGCCTCTTTTTCTAGCTGTTCATCAAGCTGGCCCTGTTCGTGTCGGCGTCCGTGTCGGTCGTCTACCACTCAGACATTACGCCATCTATCATCACGCTCGTCATCGCCGTGTTGCAGGTTTGTAGTTTGTAGTCTGTTTCTGGTAGTCCGTAGTTTGTCGTCCACTCTGTGGGTTTGTACTTTGTAGTCTGTAGTTTGACGCCCAGAGTTGTAGTTTGTAGTACAAATTGTAGTCTGGCGGTCAGCTTCGCCATTTTTTGTAGTTTGAAGCATGTAAACTGTAGTTTGTAGTCTGTATTCTCCTATTTCCAGGGTGTAATCGAGCTGCTCGACCAGTACTTCGTCAAGAATAAGAAGCCGGAAGACGTCAAGCTGTCCGTCTTTACGGGGACGGTGAAGAGTACAACGACGGCCTTCAGCTATTAAAAACCGCCTGCAATGGCCCTTTAAAAACCGGATACGACGTGAAATTCGCAAATTTCCAAAAATCCGATTACTACATGTAAATCCCCATCTTAATCTTCAGCTCTTTTTTGCCTTCCAAGTCCCTTTAAAACCAAATATTTGTATTTTCCATGTAAATCTTGATTTACCATCCGATTACGACATGAAATTCGAGCTCCCGATCCGATTACGACATGTAAAAATCCAAAAATTCGAAAATTTATTTTTATCCTGGATTTTTTCTGCTGAAAATAATGGTGCTTAATAAATCTTTTTTAAATAGATAGCAAAATAAAAAAATACAAACTACAAAAAATTGCACTTAAAAAACGTCATTATTGCAATCCCTTTAGGAGCGTCTCCGGTTGCGGAAGAACGACTCGACGTCGGCCTTCTCGATTGGGTAGGTGAAGTGGCAGCCGTACTACAAAATACAAAATACAATCTGGGCACCAGACTACAAGCTGATCTACAGACTACAAACCTCGAAGCTCATCTCCTGCTGCAGACACTCGCCCTCCCGCCAGAAGTACCACTCGTTGTCCCGTTTCTCGGACTACAAAAAAGGATAGATTTTGTAGTTTGTAGTCTGTAGTTTGTAGTCTGTAGTCCGTGGTTTATGCTCTATGCTGTAGTCTGGCTATCAGTTCGCCAGATTTGGTGGTCTTTAGCCTGCTGCCCACTTGTTTTTGTGGTTTGTAGCGTAAGGACCATTATGTAGTCGTTAGTTTTTACCTTGTAGCTGACGAGGTTGACGCATTTGTGGTTGTATTGTGGAACCTTGGCCACACTGTAGGCGTCCACCGTATCCGGGCAGAAGAATGGGCAATATACGCGAGGACCCTCCTAAAAAAATTTTTGCTGTCCCTGCGCCTTTAGAATGGAGGTTATAATCTTTAGTCTGTGGGACTCTGTTAACTGGACGGCATTTTAGTAGATCCCGAAAAAATCCAAGTCCCACCACCTTTAACAACCGATTACGGCACGAAATCCCTCACCTCGAAACAGCCCTGGTTGACGGTGGCCTGGAACTCCTTGAAGCCGCCGTCCTTCTTCTTCCTCAATGCCAATGTGCAGTCCGTTCCATTCCCCGTACGCTTCTTCACGCAATCGTACTTACGATACTCGAAAAGGGACAGACTAGCAGGGGTTTTTGAAGAATTTTCGGGCCAGGTTAGCTAGCAGAGGTTTTTGAGGAATTTTTAGGACAGACAGGGTAGCAGGGACCATTTAGGAATTGGCAATCGCTAAACTGGATGTCAGCTAGCCGACTCGCAAACTAGCAGAGAAAATTTAAGAACTGAGAAGCAATCTGGCAGCAACTTTTGAGGAATTTTCGGTCCGGACAGGCTAGCAAAGGTTCTTTTGGAAACGAACCATGATGATGCCCTCCCTGGGCGGCAATGAGAGCCAGGAGCGGCAGAAGAGGGAGTAGTATTCGTAGCATTACGTAGCTTAGCTCCATCCCCAGGATCTCTTCCTTTTATAGCCTGGGGGCATATCCTCAAGAACTGGTTGAAGCGGACGTTAAGCCAAAGAGTAGCCAAAACAAAGAACCAAGACTGGCGGCTGGCAGCTAATCGGCCAGCTAGATGCCAGTGTAGATAAACCCGCAAAAATCACCCTTATTTTTTAATCTTACAAGTCTTATAAATTGATAAACCGGAGCTCGAGGGTTCAATCCCCGGCGGCGTCAGAAATTTTTGCTTTTTGCTCAATTTTAGCTAGAATTTTTCGAACCTACCTCAAAACTGGGTGCCACCAGACATCTGGGCCACCAGTCATGGATATCCGGATATTGCGCACGCCGTTTCCGTTCCATTCCTTTCGACCCCCCCATTTCCGCTTCACTTCACCTCACGTTTCTCGTTCCGTGTTCAGCAACACAATTTTTTCGAGGGTTTTTCCAGGCTTGTCTGACTTCTAGGAATCATTTTTTGTACTTAAATTTCAAAAAGCAAAAAGTTTGACACCCACCGGATTCGAACCCGGGCCATCAGATTCGCAGACTAACAGGCTACCCATTGCGCCAAATTTTTGGATGGGGCTAAACTGGCGTTCAGGTAGGTGTTTTGAATCGAATCTATAAAAAATGACAATTCTAAATTAATTTATACCGTAACCCGGATCCACCAGGATCGAATTTTTAAAAGTAACTTTTTTAGATTGTTCATTTTTCAAAAAGTTCCTGCTACCTTTAAAAGTCGATCTGACAGCCAGTTGACCCGTTGCAAATGCAAGCCCTGCAAAAAGTCGAGTTTTAATTGAATTCCGGGGGCGGAGGGTGCGTCGCGGGCCGGCTTCCGGGTAACCGGAAACGAGAGCTTTTCGGGTTTTTCAAGCGGATTTTCAGAAGCTTCTTGGTAGGACCATGTCAGCTGGCGTCCAGTCAAACTCCTCTCACCTTTAAAATCACCTAAATCGTACCTAGGACACCGGAAAATCGCTAATCCAGGGGTCGAGGGTTCGACTCTCGACCGCGGCAACAGCTTTTTGCTTTTTGATTCAGGACGTTAAAAACCCTTGCAAATTGTTTTCTGCTCTCCAGAAAGTGCATTTAACTCTTAAAAACAACAATATTTCCATTGCACTCCAGTGTACAGCCTTTCCGGTTAATTGGATCTTTGCCCCGGATCTTCTTGACGTGAAGAGGAATCTTGCGGAACGGAGGGGGCACTTTTCTCATCTTTAGCAGCTCCCCCCTTCTACGTTCGTACTCTAGCTCCAATTAAAGGGCCGGTGAAGGGAAAATTGCCCGGGAATCAGCGCATCTCCGAATCCGGTACCGTCCAATCCACACTTCACCCGAAATTCCATTTCCAAAATTGAATTTCTAGGATTTTTATAGTGATTTCGCTAGATTGGCAGCCAGTGTGACGATGCCACGGTTTTTGGAAAAATTTGGCGTCATTTTAAAGGGAAGGTGACACCAAGTTTCACGCGACGTTTTTCAGACTTCTTGCTGTCACCATCCCTTTAAAAATTGATTTTTTTTGAAGATTTCTTTGGGATTGGCACCCAGCCAGTCTACTGTAAAAGTTTAGGAATATTTGGTCAAGTGGTTAGCGTGTTACACCATCACCCACATGGCCCGCGCTCGAACCCCGAGACCTCCGCAAATTTTTGCTTTTTGCCTAAAACTCGGAACACGCGTTCCTCCACGCAAAACAAACGTCGTCGAGCAATTTCCGGGAATTCCGGTCCATTTTTGGGGAGCAATTTAGGGGGTGACAAGGGGGTGACTGGTCCAGTCTGGCCATTTCAGGAGAAGCTCGAAGAAGCACCGGTCAGCGTTGTTTTCAAATTAAAGGGAGGGTGACATTGGGTGGAATGGGTGTCAGAAAAGGGGAAACGCGAAAAACGAACCGGATAAAGCATTAGAGGGCTGAAACTGGACTTGTTTTCTTAGAATCCCTTAACTGCCAGATGGCCGCTTGGAAATTGGCTTTTTTGCTTTAAGCCGCTGCGTCACAGCTTCGAAAATTTGCGAGCTGCTTACCTGGCAGACAGGAAAGCTAAAGCGTAAACTTCGCATCTCTAGCAAGCCAGGGGAACTAGATATCGTAGTCGATTGACTTTCCGGTACGCTCCAGCTTACAAAGTGGAAAAACTACAGTATCCCTGCTGTAAAAGTCTAACTTTTGTAGCTTGTGGCCTGAACTGGCGGTCAAGCTAGCCTGTCAAAAATTTTTGAAGCTCCTGCGTCTTTCCTTAATTACCTGCCGTAATCGAATAGGCCAAATCCCTCCCGGCTACAAAATAGCGATTTTTGTAGTCTGATGCCTCCCCTGCTAGCCACAATGCCGATCAACACCATCTCTAAGTATGACGTTCCCCAATATGATGGCCTAATCGGTTATGCAGTAGCCTGGGGGGAGGGGGTATGCATTGAGATGTACTCCATCCAAGAAATAGGGCAACAAGCCCAAATTTTACTTTTTTTCCTGGCTTAACTGACGTACAGTTCGTACATTCCACCCCAAAACAGGGCAATCTAGCAAAGATCCCTTGAGCTAGGGGCCGGTCAGTGTACTCGCTGTTTGCCGCCGGAAATGCCGCCCGGAAAGCCCCGGAAAAGAGGCCGAAAAAGCCGACAATAGCGCGTGGATTGCCACCCTCGCCCTCCGCACGAAAAGCCCCAAAACGATACGCGTCACTTTTTGAATCCCAACACCCCAAAAAAAATTGAATTTTGGATGATGTCGGATTTGGCGGGTCCCGTGACCTTTCGGACCTCTCAGATTCCGGACAACAACTGATTACGCTAGGGTATTTTGGTGTTTTTGGGTTAACTGGCAGGCATTAAGCAGAATAGCGTTCAGAAATCGTCAAGATTTCGTTGATTTTTTGGGTTTTCATGTCGTAACTGGATCTCATAAGCGTCGAAAAGAATTGTCGAATTTTCCAAGTTAGAACTGATTACGGTATGAATTTCAAGCCGTATTTTGGCAATCTACCAGGCACTTAGTCGGTTAAAACGACAACAATCGCGAAATTCCGTTTCAATCTCGATTTACATGTCGTAACGCAATGGCCGGAAGGGCATCAAACTTCCATTTCCGCTCCTTCAATTGTTTGCCTTCCCGCGGCCTTTAATTGGAAAATGCGGGCACGACACGACGTTTCGTAGCGTGTAGAATATTTACCCCCAATTTCGCAGGGCTCTCTGTCTCTTGGATTGAGGGCTTTTTCCTGCTCCTCATTTCTCACACAAAATTTGAAGCTTTCGCTTTTTTCCGGAAAAAAATTGGAATCCAGCCAATTTTTCCCCTCAAAAATGACAAATATCGGCTATCTGCCATCCAAGGAACGAAACAGGCTACAAACTACGCTTCGAAAAATTCTAGAAAATGTTTTTTTAGGGTCGTGGGTTCGACTCCCGGCCGCGTCAAAATTTTTGCTTTTTGCTTTCGCTTTTATTCGATATTTTGGAAACGTATTTATTAGCTTACAGATTAGCCAAAACCACACAAACAAAAACAAAAAATAAGCCTCGGGTTCGACCCCCGGGACCTCCGCAATCTTTTGCTTTTTGCTTTTAATGCGATTTTCGTTATTTTTCGATTTTTCCTTCTTTTCTGGCCTAAATTTTTTTTGTAATCTACTAACAGGAAAGCAGTTAAGCCAATTCCACAAAGAATAGCAAAAATCTGTAGCGGGTTCGACCCCCGGGACCTCCGCAAGGTTTCGCTTTTTGCGTTTTCACCTAAAAGACGTTAAATCTTCTAAAAACAAGACTATCGGTTCCGCACGGCTTTCCGGTTATTACAGGCTCCAGAAAGGCCCAAGAAGGCCCGGAATATGTCTAGGAAAAGCGAGAGGGGCGAAAACTTGTCTGGGGCCAAAAATAGCCCCAAGCACACATCCAGGAGGAACAATCGGCCGAAAATTGCCCCAAAAAGAGCGCGTGGCAGGGCGTTGCTGAGGTCATCACACACATCCTCCAAAATTGATAGCCTTTTTGGGGATTTTCTCGTTTTAAAGGGAGAGTGACAGGGTCGAGGGTTCGATTCCCGGGATCTACGCGGGTTTTGCTTTTTTGATAAATACTTTAAATTTAGAATGTCTTTCTTTAAACTGGCATCCAATAAACTTATTCCGGAAATTTTGCGTTTATAGCTCAGTGGCTAAGGAAGCTAGCGGCCAGGCACAGGGTCCGGGTTCGACCCCCGGGACCCCCGCAACTTTTTGCTTTTTGGGGAATCGCTTCCTTGATACCCAGTTATGGTAAGTCCATCAAAATCTAATTCCCAAAATTACCCATTGCCTTTCAAATCCTCGGAATCACTATAAAAATTCAGGGACCCTCGTGGGAAATTCCGAATTTTCCGTATTTCCGGTTGCCGAGAATTTTCGTATTGCCGCGGAAAACAATGACAGCACAATGCCCTAGTGGATTTACGTGGTTTTCTGTCTGTCTGCCTGTCTCTGAATGGGAGGGCTGACCGGAAATGGGTGTATTGCGCACTCCCAAACGCTCTACCGTATATAGGGAAAAGCCGGGGGGGGGGGCTTCATCTTTCCATATCTCGGAGATCACTTGGAATTTGTAGCTGATTTTTTCAGGATAGTTATAATGTGTTCCAGTTTAAATCATGAAACATCAAAAATGACCATTACTCCCTTGGATACGGTAGCCAATTTCCATGTCGTAATCGGTTTTGCTAAAGGCAATTTTTTAGCCTGTTCAGGGCAACTATCGGAGATTCTTTGTGGAATTAGTGTTCCGGTCCTAAAAAGCTATACTAAAGCGGTTAGACGGCTTCAAATTGGCCTCATCGCAGCGGGACTTCACCGCGATTCACCACCCCCCAAAATGGCCATTACGGCCGGGGCGCGTAATTTGGAGCGGAGGGGAAAGTTCGTTCCCGGCAACTACTAGCTACGATTGCTGGGATTTTGATTCTTTACGAGAACGTTCCTAAAAAGTTCTGAAAATCATAATTTTTCCTCAAAGGAAGGATCGAGGTTCGGCTCCCCGGACCTTCGCAACTTCCTGCTTTTGGCTGAAAACATGATTTTAGTGTTGGAAAGGCTTAACTGGCATCCAATTCTTATCTGAAATCGGCGGTAAAACTTTTTGACCCATAGCGCAGTTGGTAAGAGAGTAGTACTTCGGGCATAAGATAAGGTCCGGGTTCGATTCCGGCCCGCGATTTTTCAATTTTTCGATATTTTCCTGCGTTCACCGGCTAACTGGCATCCCGCCTACCGTATCCTGCAAAAAATAATTAAAAATCCCAGAAAAAACTCGAAATTCCGAAAATGTCCTTTCGAGCACAGATCCCATTGGTCAGTCGTTGTGCCCAAGCCCAGATTTATGTCTCTTTTCGCACTGGCTGTGGGGTGCGTCAGGCTCCAATTGACGCTCCCCAGGGCAGTAGAGATGAGCAGCTTTATCCAGGGACGTCATTTAGCACCCCACAACATCGACACGAAATTCCGAAATTCCAAGCTTACACCTATATAAGGCGCGAGCGGGTCGGGGTTTGGGTCAATTTTTTGCCTTCACTGTTCCTTTAAAATTCCTCTAAGCTTGAGATTTTCTATACTGGCGTCTAATTCACGCATTTGTAACCTTAAAATTCTAGTTTTTGTATTTTTTTCGGATCCAGCCGGAGAGGGTACCTATATTACGGTAATTCGGAAATTTCCAAATTTTTACCATCCTATCCGGATATGTGATTTTTAGCTAATCTGGTAAACAGTTTCTCAATTCCTACAAAAATATTTGCGAAAATTCCGTAAATTTCCGCGTTACAACACTTTACGCTTTACAAAATTCAGGTACCCTGGCGTACTAATTCCAATTTACGCCCCCTCCCTCATTTGCCGCCCCCGCTAATCTCGACGCATTTCCCATCTCGCCACCGGGACTCTGATCGTACACTGCTGTCTCGTGTACTAATACGGAATGCATCGGAATTACACAATTTCCGTTTTTCCCAAATGCACTCCCGAAACTACGGTGGATTTCGAGAATCGCCCTTTCTATGTGATTTTCGAGATTTTCCGCCTCCACCGCCCACCAGTTTAGACATTCCAATAAAAATATCACCGAAATTGTACTTGAGAATTAGTTTTTGGGGGTATCTTTAGGTTTTTTTCGCGATTTTTGCACTTTGTAGTTTGTGATTATCTAGGTGATAAAAAGGGTTGAAAACGTTATGGAGAAGCCTTAGGATGGCTGTGTTTACTACACTACTTTCAATTCTCGAAATTTTTATCTTTTCAATTTAGGGGCCGTGGGTTCGAGTCCCCGGACCTCCGGAAGTTTTGCTTTTTGCTTTTTGAGTTTCCAGTCCCTTTAAAAGTATTACGGTAATATTTTTAGGAGTGTTTTGGTTTGGGAACCTCAGAATACATCACTTATTTTTGGGGAGAGCTACGTGCCGATTCTCTTTGCGGGCAGACATAGAGAGAGAGAGAGAGAGAGAGAGAGAGAGAGAGAGAGAGAGAGAGAGAGGCGATAATTGAGCTCCTGAACGTTTCCCCTTCAAGAGAAAAGACCCAAAAAGCCCCCAAAACACAAAAAACCTTAATCCCCTTTCCACCCTTTTTGCCTTGCTAATCCCTTTAAACTCGGGTTACTCAATTATTGTTTGACTTTTCTTTATAGAACACCACGTGGCTATTTGCTAGGCCTTTTTGATGCTATTCCACCTTCTGAACAAAAAACCAAAAATGACAATTAGGGATTAGGGTCGGGGTACTGTAGCCGGGGGTTTATAAGCATTTTTTTCGTTCTTCTTGACTTCATTGTCTAAACTGCCAGGCAAATCCAAATTCTTAAAAGAAAAATAATTTTTGGCTCTGAACTACAACTTTTTCCCGAGAGTACCTGAATTTTCAGGGATGGTACCTGAATTTTTGTAGCCTGTCGTAATCTGTAGTTTTCTGCTATTTTAGTGGTTCGACTATCGGAATCCTTTACCTGGCTGCCAGATAAAACGAATTATCAAGCTATCTAAATTGGGTGTTTATCTGGTGAGGCTACAGACTACAAAATTTACAAAAATCAGATTTTTGCTCCAGGTCCAAAATTGCGCTTGGATACGCGGCTCTGATCTCTGCCCGTGTTTGTAAATCACCCTGGATATGCCTGAATTTTATTATCATGGTATTTAGGGTTTATTAAGTGAATTTAGCGCGTTTAGCCCAATTTATCGCATTTAGCCGTCACCTCCCCGGTCAGGCCAAATTTGTACCCCGGGCTACTAAACACGCTACTTCTACGCAATCCACGCATGCGCTGAAATCTGATTTATCTAAATTTAATCTACCACTTTTCGCTGTGCTGTTATCGGTGGGATAAATAGGACCAAAACCTTCACTTGGGTCTAATTCAGGGTACATGATTTTTGGTGTCACTCTCCCTTTAAACGTGTTTCATTTGAATTTTTTTTTCGTTTTGTTTTCTGTTTCTGTTACTGCAAAAGTCTGGAAAGGATTGGTCAAGTGGTTAGCCGGTTACGACACCGCCCACGGGGGTCCGGGTTCGACCACCGAGACCTCCGGCACTTTTTGCTTTTTGGCGTTTTTAAGCCGTAATCTGCAAAACTGCTTTCCAACTGACTTCCTAGTTCGGTTAAAATCAAATACAGCCTTTAGGAGAGCAATGAAATCACCTAAAATCCGCCCACTTTTTGGCTATTTGCCCCTTCTAGGGAGGCTTCTCCCTCACGAAATATTCATGTATCTGGGGCTAAATATCTCTTCTCCGCCTCAAGCGAACGCCTCCCCACATGATCAGCGCAATCACGCGCTTTTTTGGAGGTGTCTGGCCTCGAAAATATCGATTTTTGGGCGTATTTTGGTGTTTACAGTAGTCCTGGGGTACGGTATCTGGGCATTTTTTAACTTTTTCAAGGACTAGGTTGATTATCTGGATGGCAGTTAAGAACTGAACGTTGAAAAAATCTAAAAAATGGAAAACTGGGGTCAGTACCCGGAAAGTTTTGCTAACTACAGTACACCCGGAACCCTCAGGATTACTGTAGCAATGTATTTTCGAGTTTTTTGCCGGCGTAATTTGGTTATATGGATGGTAGTTTGGTAGTTAAGGCGATCATGAATTCAAAATCCAAAAATGACAAGTCTCCCTGGAGTTGCAGGAGCCCCGGGTTCGGTCCCATCCGAGACTCCAACTTTTTGCTTTTTGCTCTATGAACTCAAAAACCTTGCTAATACTGACGTGGGGCTCCCGGTTCAAAGCTGGGTTCCCAGAAAATCTTGTCCGCTTGGCTGCTCGGTGCCCTGGGGCCATTCTTCGAACTCCAGCCTGCAACTCGAAGGTGGCATTTCCTCAAAGGGGTGTCTACTCTATTTTGAGGCGGATATTGGCTAAATTTTTGTTTTATTGTTTAAACTGCGTGCCAATTTCAGCATTTCTTTCTTTAAACAAATTTAAATAATCGTTTTTAAAATTTAAAAAATAAATTCGCGAAAAAAAGAAAAAATTCGAAAAATTTATTTACTACGATTTTTTCCAATTTTTTTGTTTTTTAGATTTAAACTCACCTTTGTGTTTTTCACTTCAAGTTTAAGATATCTTAAATCTAACGAATTAAAATTATTTCAGGGTACCCGCCGCTGCCAAGCCAGTTCAAACAAAAACACGAAAAAGGATGAGGGGATGCCTGGCAGCGTGTCTTCTTTTCTTCATCTTGGCCCTCACCCACACCACAGCAGGTACTGTATTTTACAAAAAAAAACGAAAAACGAAAAGAAAAAATAAAACAAAACAAAATTTCGAAAAAATCTGAAAAATTCGAAAAATCCGAAATTTTTCCTGTCACCATCCCTTGAAAAGCCGCTTTTTGCAGGATTCCCGCACGGAGCCCAGATGGTGCTCGTTGTTGAGGATCCGGTGGCGCAAGAAGCCCTGCTAGATGCCCTCGCCCAACAGCCACGGTTAGACGACAGAACGGTCAGTTGCTGGTGCCTTTAAAGGACCGTTGAAGGCAGGATTTAATAGATTTCCGAAATAAAATTTCTTACTGAAATTATTCTCTAAATTATCGAACAAAAATGAAATTTTGAAGTTTGTCAAAAGAAAGACAGAAAGCTTTTTTGTCTTCACCATCCCTGTAAAGTCCAATTTTTTACAGGAAGATGCGATCGTCTCGTCCGAAATTGCGAAGCGCACCTCGCTGAAGCGGTTGGCCAAGCTGGGCGCCCGCGGATTCGGCAGAAAATGAGGAAAAACCACCACAAAATCCCGACTTGCCAGTCCCTTTAAAATGTGCTAGTCACCCCCGAAAATCCAGTCAAAAACCCAGGTTCACTTGATCTCACCCGTCATTTGCAGTCCAGCGTAGCCCAGTGTACAGTACCCTCCAATTTCTCTCATTGTCTCTCTCCCTTGTCTCTGATCTCTCGCCCTGATAGTGCAAATTCTTTCTCGCTCTCTCTCGTTGGTGGCCCGCCCCTTTAAAAGCATAAAACATATTCTGAAGCAGTAATAAAGCTCTGTTGCCTGCCAGATTGGAATAAACACAGAAAAGATATAGCAGGGTCAAAGCGTTGCTGCTAGTTAGCCCTCAAAAATCGATTCAGGTACCTGAAGTCAATTCAGGTACCCTCCTTCCCAAATCGGCTTTGCTAGCTGGTCAAGGCCAATTTCCGCAAACTACCACTGCCATATTGCCCACTACCGTCCAGCTGAAGCATCCCTGCTACTTATCCCCCCAGAAAACAGCTATCTGCCATCCAATCCCCCCGGGTGGGGGATGGCACCTGACGATGATTAGGGAGAAGCCTCGGGCATTTCCCTATTGGTTTGGCTTGGCTGTGAGGGGATGGAACCTGTTTTCAGCGCCCCCGAAAAAAGATATTAGCATACGAGGGCTGGGGGCTATAAGACAGGGCGGGGGAATGGCTTATGCCTGCCAGCCCCTCGTCATATGCCCCGACGGCAGTTTCACTTTTTGCCCTTCATTTCCCTAGGCATACAGCTTGTGTTTCGTTTTTTTCATTGGAATACCGTAATTCGCTGCCAGTTTAGCGATGCTGAATGTTAGAAATCATTTTAAAGGGACGGTGACAGCTAATTTCCCGGGGTACCTGATTTGTGAATTCAGGTACCCTCGGGCTTCTTCACTTTTGGACTTCAGAGACTCTTTAAAATATGTACGTCCTTTCTCATTTTTGGTTCTGAATACGGTAATTGGATGCCAGTCAACCGATCCGGCTAGCTTCCTAGCTACCTGTAGTGCTTTTAAACGGACTAGGAAGCGAGCTCGAATTCAGGTACCCTCTCGAGTGTTGCAGGCTTCAGACTTCACAAGCCCTTTAAATCTGGTCATTGCTTTGGTTTTTATACTGGAATACAGTATCTGACTCCCAGTTAATAGATTAACATTTTAAAAGTATGGCGACACCTATAATTCAAATTTTCATGTGTACCCTCCCCTTGAAAACCCCAATTTTCGGTGTTTTTCAGGAATGGACCCCAAATGGCTGCTTTTTGCGTTGTTTGCCGGTTGTGTGATGGCGCAGGAGCGTCATCATCATGGTACGGTAGCTTTAAACGTTAAAAATGCAAAAATGACAAATACAAAACAAATCGATTTTTTGAACATTTTGCAAACATAAAAATTCCAGTTTTTTCAGAATACCGTCGCTACGAGTGTACTCAAAAAGCCACCGGAAACGGCACCGTATGCTCGTTGACGCTTAAGAAGAAGCGGAACGACGATTCGAGGGAATACCATGTGCCGGTGAACCAGGGGTGCTTCGAGGTACCGATTTGTGTAGTATCGATCGATTTAATCGATATTTTTTGCAGTAGTGGTCGTACTGTATGCCAGTTACCGAAAGATAGTTTGAAAATTTTTCAAAAATCTAAAACACAACAAATTTTGCGATTTTAAAGGTACGGTAAGGCCCAAAGTGTCATGCTCAATTTTCAACTCGCTTTCCAGGAGCGCGGGTTCCGCGGCGCGGCCGTGCTGTGCCCGCTGTACTGCCCGCAGACCGGCGCCGCCTACGTCATCGCCAAGAGCCCCTCCAACAACCACAAATGCGTCAACTTGGACACGTACAAGGTAGGTGTCGCTGTCCCTTTAAAATCTCTAACCCGATTTTTTTAGACTGAAGAGAGGAATGGGCAATGGTTCTTCTGGCGCACCGGCAAGTGCATCGATCAGGAAATGACGTTCGAGGTAAAAAAAGCAAAAAGCAAAAAACGCGGCCGCGGCCGGGGGTCGAACCCGAGGCCCCGCAAACTCGAAATCTACGGATTTTCTTGCCTTCCTAGCATCTTTAATCGCTTAGCTAACAACCAGATAGCTCAAAAACTAAAAAGCAAAGGCATGCTTCAGCCAGCACCCGAACCCGGACCCCCAGATTGGTAGTCTAACGTCTAACCGACTGAGCTATTGGGAAAACTCGAAAATCTTGGGTTTCTCAGCTCGGTTGCCACTTCCTTATCCCCCCGGAGCAGGCGAATGTTGAGGAGTTCTTCAAGAAGGTCTAGAAATCGACAGGAAAGCGATAAAAATCGTCTAAATTATTTATTTAATTTATTTAACTTATTTTTGGCATAAAAATCGTTGGGAATTGTGTGTTGTTTGACATATTAAAGGACGGGCAGTACAGCGGAGAACATTTGCGGAAAAGTCGGGGTTTTGGGGGCAGGCAGGCAGAGATCTCTGAGGAAATGGATCGTGACTTCCAGGTATCTTTAAAGTTGAATTTAACGCTCCAATAAATACAGAAAAATTGGGGATATGTACAGAAACGGCGCAAAAACGACAATTTAAAGAATTTCAAAAATAAAACTGACAGGTTTCGTTAAACCCGATTTTTTTGGGAAAAGACGATTTTAACTCGCCTAATACCATGCGGTAATCGATTGGCGGCTGGACCAGATGGAGTGCCATTCTCCCGAGTTGTCACACCACCACTTCTTCTGACCCTCGATCGTCCAGCCGGCTTGGAGGCGGTGGTTCTGCGCGACGAGGACTTGAATGCGGTCATACCGTCGACCAGCGCCATGGCGAGGCTGGCCTGGGCACAGCTGGGTATGTCGGTAGATGAACACCTCGTCAACGACTCGAGTATTCAATCTTAGCAGCTCCTGTAGCGCGGCTGGCAATCGGTAATCTGGCTGGAAGACATCATCATGTTCAAGCAGTTCAAGGGGGGAATGGCATACCTCGGCGTTGAGTTCCCTGTTGAAGCGGAAGCAGATGTCGAGAAGACGGTCGGCACCCGGTGCTGGTCGATTCTATATTCTTTTTTACGCATTCGATTTTCTGGCTGCCAGCTAGCCGATTACGAAAGCTTGAAAGCAAAAAGCAAAAGTTTGCCGCGGCCGACAGGCGAACCCGGGTCGTCAGCTTGGCAGGCCGGGCCATTAACCACTCGGCCACGGCTTTTCGAGCGGCTTTTGAGAAATTTTTTGTTCTTTTTTCGCTGACTCCCGCTTACCGTAACCAGTGCAGCCTCAATGATTGCCATCAGGGCGTCGCTAGCTGTCTGCCAATGCTTGTCCCCCTTCAAGCGCATCCCCAGCCAAATCTCGGGTATATGCGCCACCTGTTGGTTCAAAATCAGCCTCCTGAAAAATTGACCGACCTCTTCAAAGATCAGCTGATAATGGGCTGGGGTCTGTGACTTCTCCCATTCATTCCCATTCGCCCCAAACGTCAACCACACCTAAATGTATATTCCGAAAAACCCAATCCTCAAAATTCCCCTTTCTAGACGCGTTTTTTGGTCTATTTTGTAGCCCGCCAGGCAGAATATTGATTTTCGAGCCAGAACGATCCTGACTTGCCGTAGCTTTCGAGTAATGTGCGCGCCAATGAGACCCATGAGCTCAAATCGAAGACCGTTCACTGACCTTTGACGGCTGCCGATACAACTGTCGCTCGGCTCGCAACAGCGTCACGAATTGTTCGGCTGTAGATTTCTGGTGTTCGACGCTAAACGAACCTCTCAACATGTTCAGGTCGTTACGGATGGGGAGTCCTCCCTGGAAAAGAGGGTCAGAAACAGAGAGAGAGCGCGAGAGAGAGAGAGAGAGAGAGAGAGAGAGAGAAACACTGATAAACGTATTTCAGAAAACCCCTCACCGCCATCCGTGGCCCAGTGGTTAGTGGCCGCGCCTTCCAGTCTGACGATTCGGGTTCGACCCCCGACCGCGCTGGACTTTTTGCTTGTTGCCCAAAAATATCAGAGTCGGCTAACTGGCAGCCAGAAATGCGAATGACCCTTTAACACCCCACCTGCATCCCTTCCGGGAACTGAAATTGGACCTGATGTTCCGGCAGCGTTTCCGTCAGCCGATTGACAAACGCACACTCTGCCTCCCTCGAATCGAAACTTCGCGTCGCGTAATGCTGCGAGGTGAACGGCTTGCTGCTGAAATCAGTGGCCCTTTGTTTTCAACTTTTTTAATAGAATTTTTAAAATCCATTGAATTTTAATTAATTTAATTCCATTTTAGAAATTGAGTAAAAGGAAAAAGAGCAGTGCTCACTGGTCCTTGTGTTTGAATTGCATCGGCCCGCCAGAATTCCCAATCTGGATGTAGAGGGATGAATTGGAGGCCGGATCTCGATTGACCACCATGATGTCGCTGCTTCGAGTAGTATACTTCTGGAAGGAAGCAGACACTTGGCACCACTTTAGCTTTCTCATTGTCGTTTCTGGCAGGCAGCTAGGTGATTCCGACAGTTTAGGCAAAAAGCAAAAACTTTGCCGCGGAGGGGAGTCGAACCCGGGTCGTCAGATTGGTAGGCAGCTCACGAATCACTTGGCCACGGGTTGCGGCGTCGTTTTTTCGGAACATTGGGCAATATTTTCGCTCGCTCTCTCTTTCTCTCTCGCTCTTCCACATACCGGTTTAGCCGCGGTCACTAAGACGTCTCTGAAGCGGGTGACCATCAGAAAATGATGTGCGGGGCGCCGGGTGAAGATCTGGGAATTAAAGACGTACAGACAGTTCGATTGTTACCTTTGCAACGCGACGAAGGTGCCATTTTTGGGAGAAGCTGAGGTGATGGTGGACGACAGTCTGTTGAGTGTCGCTAAGCTGGTCAAATGGGAATGGGGTCATCCTATAAAGTAGCTTCTAAAGGAGCCGTTTTTATGTGGGGGTGGCGCAGCAAAAGTGGATGATTTAAACAATACTTGAAGGAACACCAAATGACCTCGTTAGGTTTCAAAAGCCGCGTCACGCCAGGTGGACAGCACGCATTATTGACTGCCCCTTATCAGGTCTTATTCAAATTCGAGAGAGAGAGAGAGAGAGAGAGAGAGAGAGAGAAAGTCCTTTAACCGACGTCGTGGCTGAATATCGTAAATTAGCATGGCTAAGTTTGGATTTCCGGTAAGGGCTAACGGTTTTGTTCTCTCGTAATGGCCCTCATATCAACAGAATGCAGATTCAGGATATTGACGCATATCTGCAGACCCTTCCCCCGGGCGACCCCTTTATTGGTGAGTCGAGCGTAACAATTTCACGAATCAATTTCACGATTTAGTCCCTCTGACTCGCGCTCGCGACGACATCTCGCTCTTGATGGAGATGATCCGTAATACTATTCTTCCGCACGACGACCCTGCCAAGGAGCGGATCGCTGAGCTTATCAACGGCTTCCTCGGGATCCCGGGAGAACTGCAGTCGGCCGACGTCTCCTCAACGAGCCTCAATTGAGGTTAAACCGGATATCGCAATTTTCCTAGACTATTCTTTTTCAGCTCATCAACCTTCTCCAAGACGCCATGGATATAACTCCCCATCTCCGCCTATCCGTCTCTCTCTCTCTACCTCCACGTAGCTGCCAACTGCTCGATGCAGTTCACCAGATGGATCATGTGTTTCTAGGCTTTTTTGAATAAATATATTTATACTTATGCCCTGTCCACCAACTTGCATTTTGCACATCACGCTTTGCATGCTATTTTGCATATTGGTCAGCTGGATGCAAATCGATAGCTCGTCACTACATACACACCCAAAGGGCCGTACCCTTCTTGCCGGGTTTTGAGAACCACGCTGCACAATACAACGGCTTCTCATCGCGTCGCGTTGCTGTATCGGTAAAGGAAGATGCGAAAAGCAAAAAGGTTGTCGCGGTAGGGGGTTGAACCCGAGTTCCTCAAACTCAAAATCTATGCATTTTCTTGCTTTCTAAGTCCCTTTATTGGGCTTCCTGGCCGCCAGTTAGCCCAAAAAGCAAAAAGCCAAAAGTTTGCCGCCTCCGGGCGTCGAACCCGGACCCTCAGATTGGTAGTCTAAAGTCTAACCGACTGAGCTAGAGCCGAAAATTTTGAAAGCTGTTTTTAGCTCGGCTGCCGCTTCCTGATCCCCCCGGAGCAGGCCAACGCGGAGGAGTTCTTCAAGAAAGTCTAAAACATCCGGAAAAGCGAGCAGAATTGTGGCAATTATTTATTTAACTTATTTAACTTATTTTGACATATGTTGGGATTTGTGTATTGTTTGACAGATTAGCGGAAGGGCAGGCCAGCAGAGATCTTTTAGGGAATTTAACAATTTAAAGCTCAAATAAATACAGAAAAATTGGGATATGTACAGTAAGACATCGGGAAGGAAAAATTACAATTTGGCGATTTTTTTAAATTATACTGTAGCATTTTCGAGTACAACATTTTCCTTGACCTCCTCGGTCTTGATTTCCGTGATTTGGAGCGTTGCGGAATTTTCAGGGCTAGCGGTGAGGGTTGGTTCGGTTACAGCTACAGTACCCCTTCCGGGGTCTACCGTACACTCCGGGTCATCAACGTAGCGGACGCGTAGCTTGGCAGCAGGGCGGGAGCGGAACACTTGAATTACCGCCTTCACGCCGTTGACGGTGAATTCGCGCTAAACAATGGGAATTTGAGGGCAGGCTAACAGAGACTCTTGAGAAAAAGAAATCCTAGCTAGCAGGGACCATTTAGCCATTTTAAAGGAAGTGTGACAGCTAGAAATTCGCGAAAAAACCCACTTTTGTAGGGGAGGTCCTGAACACGAGCTTATCCGGGAGTGGAACGTTCTTCCGCTTCTCCCGCGTCCGTTTCTGGGAGGAGGAGGGGCGACTTGAATCTGAAATTGGGAAAAATAGACTTGCCGGGTCCTTTAAAACCAAAAATTTCACTGATAGCATGCCCTACTGATTTTTTCGCTTCGATGGTCCTTTAAAGGTCCCAAAAATTGCTACGAAGCACACCTCTTGACGACGTGCTATCCGGAGAGAGCCTTGACGAAGAAGCGGTCGGCGAATCGGCGTGCGAAAATTCCTTTGATCTCCTAAAACCGTTGATTTTGTTTTGGTAGCTAGCAGAGAACTTTGGGGAATTTAGAGATTGGCAAGCTAGCAGAGACCATTTGCGGAACTTTCCGATTTTAAAGGGACAGTGACTTACCTATTAGCTTTCGGCGTGCTGTGCTGAATCGCAAAATTCTGGACGACCTGATGAATGGCGACGACATTTTCGTTGAGTTTTGGCTTCCGGGTCGAGGTGCCTTTTCTGAAAATCGAAGTTTGTAGTTTTTCGCCTAGTTTTATTCCTTAGATTGTCACCTGGGAACCAGATTAGATATTCCCATAGTTTGTATCCCACCTGGTGTCGCACATCTCACACTTGAACGCCTCGGCCTTGTTCTGGTAGGTGCACACCGTGCATTCCCACTGGCTCTGAAAAGTGCTCGAAAATCGCAAAAAGCGACAAAAATTTCTTGAATTTTGATGCGGATGGTTTAACTGGCCACTAATTCATCAATTAAACTAGTTTAAATTATAAAATTTCCCGTAGAAAACCAAAAAAAATCACAATTACCAAAGAGGTACCTGAATTCCCGGAAATAGCTTAAAATGAAAATATCGTGAAAACTACTGAGATTTTGAACCTAACTACTAAAACAACTGCTAGTTAACAAATTTAACTAGTTTAAATCTCAAAATACACCCACGACAAACTAAAAAATGACAATTACCAAAGAGGTACCTGAATTTACTCGTAAATTACTAACCGGATCGAGCTCCTCCTCAACCATCGCCTCCTTCTTCTTCTTGCCGGTCATTGCTGGGCTACAGACTAGAGAAATACAGTACAAACATTTAGATATCCAAAAAGAAAAGGTTAAAATCAAGTGATTTTGCGTTGTGAGGGGTCAGCCCGGCCCGCCTCGACATGACCTCCCGTTTTCCGTTGGCCCGGGGGCACGGAGGGCAGGTGTTGCTTGGAGTGGCGTGTAGTCTGTCGGCTGACTGGCAGTTTAGAGGCGAAAATAGAAAAGTTGAGCATTAATAGCTGGATAGCAAAATTAAAGCAGAGTTCTTCAAATCAGGGACCCTCAAAAATTTGAATCCACCAAAAATTTCGAATTTTTCGGATTTTTCTCGAAAATCTCCCATTCGGCCGCGGTGGGCCGCCCAGAAACGGCTTGGCGATGACGTTCGGCGTCACCACGATCGTCCACAACAAATATATGGTAATTTTCGGGGAGGATGGCTTTATATAGCGTAATCGAATATCGATCGGGCAGAGTGGGGGGCGGATTATCGAACAATTCTCATCATTCGAAAAAATCTGTAGCGTTGAAATTGCTTAAAACTTCCAACTGGCATACAGTACATTCAGTTTTACACACAGGGCTACAAACTACACCTTTTTACGCAAGCAAAAGTTCCCAAAAATGGGGTACCTGAATTTTATGCTTTTAAAGCATTTTTTGCGTTTTGCGGTATTTTAAAAATTCTAAAAATATCGATGCCGTCTAACTGATAACGGCGCATCGAATAACGCCGTTTAAAAAAATTTGGAAACTGTCTAAAGGATTTTCTCGGAATCGATTACGCCACGTATTTCCCCCGCTCAGATCAGCAAAAAAATTGGCGCGGGGGCGTACGGGGCGGTGTGGGAGCTGCGGAAGGTGGCCGATCCGAGGCAACAGCTCGCACTCAAGGTACGATTCCGCAAGGAGTCTCTCCTGGCATGCCCTGACTGCAACCTACACCTCTAGACGGAGGGCGTCAAGCCGGAGCGCGCCGAGGAGTTTCTGAAGATCGAGTACGAGGTGGGGCGGGTGGCTGGAAATCTGAAAATTGTGATTTTTGGGGTGTACGTTAGTGTACCGTAGGATACGGTGGGACACTGTAATTTGGAAATTCGAAAAAACCTGGAAATTTGGTTTTTTAGGTGATGGACAAGCTGCGAGCCGCCAATTCCCTGCACTCACCACGACTTGTTGGGGCTGGAAAGGTCAGGGCCCCTTTAAAATAGGCAGGATAGCAGAGGTTTTGGCGCTTTTGAAGGAACTGTGCCAGCCAGGGCAGGCTAGCACAGGTTTTTGGGGAATTTTAAAGGGCAGTGACAGGCCCATTTCTAGACGGACACGCAATACTACATCGTGATGACCCTCCTCGGCCCGTCGCTCGCCGACCTGAGGAAGTGCATGCCGGGAATGGTGGGTTTTTCTGGCTGTCACACCCCCTTCAGAAGAGCATGACCCGCTCTCATTTTCCCCTGAAAGGAGCACGACCTCTAAAACCCGCTTTTTTGCAGAAATTCTCCCCGTTCACGAGCGGAATGTGCTACATCCAGTGTCTTGACGCCATCATCGAGCTGCACCAGCTGGGGTGAGCAGCTACAGGCTACAGAATCTACAAAACTGGGCTAAATGGGCTACAAACTACAAAATCGGCAAGACTACAAACTGGCCTACAAGCTACAAACTAAGATTTTTGCCAGACGACCGACTACAAAAACGGGCTAACTGGACTACCAAGTACAAAAAGACTACAGAAATAGCTGCAGACTACAGACTACAAACTCCAAATTCGCAAAATCTCCTTCCAGCTACGTCCACCGCGACATCAAGCCGGGCAACTTTGCGGTGGGGAAGATGAACACGGCGGCCCGTCGCTGGGTGTACCTCTTCGATTTTGGCCTCTGTCGACGTATTTTTGTAAGCTGGAGGCTTGAATTAAATGGCGTAACGCGTTCCAGTTCGACCGCAGCGACGCGGAGAAGAAGTACAAAAAGTGCGGCGACAAACGCCTCCGCACCCCCAGGAAGCAGTGCAAAATGGTCGGCACGCTGAGGTTGGCGGGATTTTGAGGAACGGAATTTGTAGTTTGTAGTCCAGTTTAGGTACTGTAAACATTTGACGGCAAAATCTCAATAGATAACGGAGATGTAAGCAAAAAACCACTGGCCGAGGGCATTTTTCTCGAAAATTTGCAAAAAAATCGAATTTCGCGGGAATTTGAAATTTTTAAAGTGGATTATAGTTTGTAGCCCAGTTTAACTTCCCACAAAAATTGGGCTCAAAATTTGGCCCAGGAAATGAAAAAAACTCAGGAAAAACCCGGAGCTAGAGTGCAGTTTTTGAAAGCCACTCGATAACCCGAGTTTGGTCGACTGTTGTTTTTTCGAGGCTGCCAAATTGTAGTTTGTAGTCCAGTTCAACTCCCCACAAAAAATCGGCTCAAAATTTCCTCCAGGAAACGAGAAAACAGGGAAGGACCACCTTGCTCGCCCGGCGCTCCCGAAACGCGCGCGACCTGGTCCACTCGGGGGAAGGGGTCTATATAAGCCCCACCCCCTCTCTTCACCTCCAGCCACAGAAAGTGCGATGATCGACAAAACTTAGGACACCTTTGGATTAACCGTGAAAGGAAAAATTGTACGTCAGGCTGAGCACAGATTTTTTTGCTTTTATTTTTGTGGTTTTTAAAGGAGCATTGAAGGCAGGGAGGGGGCAGTCCGGCAAGGATTCTTGGCGAATTTTAGCGCTTTTTCGAGTCGTAAAGGGCGATGATCGGTTGCCTAACGTGAATTTTTGCATTTTCTTGGATTCCACATTTACAAAATTGGCTTTTAAAGGGCCCTTCAAGGCAGAGTAGAGGGGGCAGGCTAGCAGGGATTCTTGGGGAATTTTTAGCGCTTGTTTTGAGCTAGAAAGACGAAGAATTGGCTTAAAAGTCAATTTTTCGTTTTTTTTTCGGATTTCCGACTTTTAAAGGGAATGACCCTCCAAAAGGTTCCCCAAAAACCTCTGCCAGGTACTGCTCGATGAACGCGCACCACAAGGAGGAGCTGGGGCGGCACGACGACGTGTGGAGCCTGTGGTTTGCCGTCGCCGAGTGGCACCTCGGCGAGTTGCCCTGGTAGGAGGTGTCGCTCTACCTTTAAAATTGAAATTTTTGCATTTTTGGATAGGGGTACGGTAGCGTGGATGCCAGGGAGGATGAAAAGCAAAAAATCTAAAAAGCAAAAATCAAAGGGAGTCGAACCCGCTTACGAATTTAGTGAGATTTTTGCCTCCACTACTCCTTTAAAAACCGTGTCCAGGAGCGGGGTGGACAAAGCGAAGACGGAGATGCTCAAGGTGGACGTGCTCGACGACTTGGTGGCGGTGGGTCATTTTTGGAATTTGCCAAAACCAAAAAATCGCGAAAAATCAAGTTTTCAGAAAATGCCCGCCCCGCTCGGGCTCGTCGTCAAGCACTTGAGGGGGCTGCGCTATCACGATGAACCTAGTGGGTCGAGAATTGTAGTTTGTAGTCGGGTAGCCGAAAAGACGATTTTGTAGTTTGTAGCCTGTAGCCTATTTGATTACGCCATTTATCTCCCCTTGTAGACTACGCCCTCCTTCGCGGCCTCGGCGCCTCGTTCCTCCACGATCTGCCCAACTACAACCCGGGCGACCCGCTCGACTGGGAGCCGGCCGGATGCCACGCCGCCCTCTACAAGCACATGCATAATTGGTACGTCGAAATGGGGGTTTGTAGCTTGTAGCTTGTAGTCCGACTGCCAGTAAACTGGCACCCAATATACTATCGCCACTACAGTAACCCTCCTCAGTTGGCCGCCCGACCCCGACCCGGTCACCCTCCCGCCACTCGTCATCGAAAAACCTCCCAAGAATCTGTGTGCCGTCAAGGTTGTAGTTTGTAGTCTGTGGCTTGTACTCTGTAACCCATTTTAGTCCCTGGAAACGGTGCACCAGGACCCCGACTCGCAGAACTCGTACGACGACGAGACCAACGAGGGCATCAAGTCCATCAAGGTACCCGAATCGGGTTTTTGCCTTCAATGGACCTTTAAAAAGATATTTTCGGAAATTTCTCTTGCTAGTTGGTTCTTCTGCCAAGCAGGGAACACGCTCCTTGAAAAAATCAAGCAAAAAGCAAAAACAAAAAGCAAAATATTGACGCAGGAACGGATCGAACCAGCAACCCGGATTTTGATTGCAATGGTCCTTTAAAATAGAGTTTTCTGGCGGCATCGCCTGTACTGGCTGATAGATGGATTGAATCCAAAATTTCAGACCAAAAAGCAAGGAGCAAAAAATATTGACGCCGGAAGGATCGAACCTGCGACCCGTTTTTATCGATTTTTCCACTTTTTTGATGCACAAAGAGTTTTGAATTGTTCAGAAGGGCGAGAAGACGATCGAGTCGCGCAAGGGGAGCAACAGGGCCCTGAGCAAGACTGGCGATCCCTTCTTGGAGGTGACGGCCGAACCGGGCGGCCTCGAAGAACAGCCAACCCTCGGCGACGACGTCACCAACAAGGAACACGCGGACAACCCCCGGAATCGATAATTAAAGCGGATTTTTGCATTTATTTAAGTTAGACACGCTCCCCAAATTGCCTGTGAATACCAATGGATCTGCCCGTGCGCCTTTAAAAGATTTTTCGATCGACTTTATGTGATTCGCCTCGAGTTTTGTGTGTTTTTCATCGATTTTCGGAATAAATTATCCAGATTTTTTGATTTTAAGGAGGGAGTCGCTAAGCTGGCTGGTGGACTACAATCTATAACTTAATATGATTTAAAATCGCCTCTATTAACCGAAAAAATTGTTTTTTTTTGAGCGAGGGTACCCGAATTTATGAAATTTTGTCAAAAACGTTTTAGCAGCTTCTAGGTACCGATTTTGCTATTGGAATCCCTCAAATGGCATGTAGGCTACAAACTACACGCAAAAAAACAAACTTTAGAAATATGATTTACGGAATTTCGGGGGCAAATTTGAGATTTCAGGTACCCCTCGATTCCGGTACCCTCGATCGTGGTAGAGATCAAGGACCATTTGGCCTCTCTCTCTCGCCAGCCAGTTAGCCTTCCTGGCTGCCAAGAAATAGCCTATGGGGCTCTGTATGCTGGGGCTGGGGGGGGGCTGGCTATAGGAGTCTGTTGTACACTGCTGTCCTCCCTTCCCCGCTGCTTCTCCCTAAGCCACGCCCCCACCCCCGCCCCTCCTCAATAATGCTCGAAAAACGCTCGTAATTTGGAAATTCGTGGAAAATTGAAGGAATTTGGGATTACTGTAACCTGGGTAGTGAAAATTTAGATGGCAATCTAGCAGAGACAATTGGGGAAGTTTTGAAAGTGAAAAGCGATTTACTGGCATACAGTTTGATTGTCAGAAAGTCCAAAAATGGATTTGACATCCGATTCAGACAGGTAATAGTTTTGGACGTGTAGATACCTGATTTTCCGGAAATGGTTAGCTGGTCATTTACACATGCCTTTAAAGTGATATACCGATCGATTGCCAACCAAATTGTACTCCAGAAGACCCAAAAATCCATTCTCTATTGGATTACGCGACGAAATTTGAATTTCCTTAAAAGATCTCTGCAAGTTGGTCCCCAGCTAGCTGATGGGGCCTAGTTATATCCCCTGCCTTGGATCGTGCTGGGGGTGGGGGCTGTGCTGCGTAGTCTCCTCTTCGGGCTGGCTGGGGGGGCATGCCCATCCCGAAGACGCTGTAATGCCCCAGCCAAGCAGAGGAGCAAGAGATCCCCCTCCCCTCCTCGACGGCTATTTCCACAATCTGTGTGTAGCAGTTAGGCAGCGCTTTTTGCGGCTTTCTCGGCATTTTTAGGTATCTCTCTCTCACTCTCTCTCCCTCTCCCTCTCGTCGATCAACACCTCCCTCTCTATTCTCGGTACCATCCGACTACCCGCGGCTACTCTTGACGCCAGCTCGCAATGTTGACAAATATCGATTTTCCGAATTTCTAGCTGTCACCATCCCTTTAAATGGTCACCAGTTAGTGTCACTGTGCCTTTAAAATGACCCCATGACATTACAAAATGACGCTGACTGCGTCAATAGGCTCCCATTTCGTAATTCCTAGTGTCTGCCTCCCTTTAAAACCGGATATTTTGCCTTCCATGGTCCTTTAAAGCTTTAATTTTTATGGAAATCGCTTTTCTGGTTGTCGCACTAGCTTTGGAATCTAAAATATGCCTTCAATGAGCCTTTAAAGCAGAATTTTTAGCCCTCGATCGATTTTCTAGCAGTCACGTTCCCTTTAAAAAGCTATATCTCGTTTCAATACCCCTTTAAAATTCTGATTTTCGTGGGCATCCTTTTTCTGGCTTTCACGCTCCCTTTAAAAAGCGTTATCGATTTTTTTCGCGCAATTATCAATCGATATTTAGGGAAGGGGCGCCCTCAACAGTGGTCATCTCCATCTTCTAAGCGAGAGAGCAGAGAGAGACAGCAGAGACAGCAGAGAGAAGCCAAGATGAGCTTCGAACAAGACGAAGCCTATCCGTTCCTCGCGGTCTCCCGTGAGGAACGTGCCGCCAACTCGTCGCGGCCCTTCGATTCCAAGAAGAACTGCTGGGTACCTGATCCGGAAGAGGGTCGGTTTTTAGGCTCTAGGGGTCGTTTAAAAATGGGTTTCGCGCCGACTTGGGTCCTTTGGATGCCAATCTGCATCGTCAACTAGTTAAATTCCAAAAAGCAAAAAGTTTGGCGCCGGCGGGGATCGAACCCGCGACCCAGCTCAGGGGGTCCGTTTTCTGCCGTTAGAGGTCCTTTAAAATGGATTTCTTTGAATTTTGCGCAATTTGCATGCCAGTTGAGGCCCTCGACAATTATTTTTCAAAAAGCAAACACCTTGACGCCGGCGGGGATCGAACCCGCGCCCCATTTCCGAGGCTTCCCAGTCCGTTCAAAAGCCAAAACTCGTTTTTTAATTTTTAATATTCTGGACTCCAGTTTCCCCCAATGATTTCGCAATGTTGGGCCCCCTGGCAAAACGGCTGTGGGGCCGGATTAAACTTTAAAGGGGCCGGCAAGGTGGGGGGTCAGCTGTTGTGCCCCGAGAGGGCATTCCACCTACCCCCCACACCTCAATTCCACCTACACACAACAACTATTGACAGATAGGGGCAGAGAGCGAGAGAGAAAGAGAAAAAATAGGTCAATCGGGGTCAAACTGTGAAATGAAATTTTTAAAGGGGCGGTGACACCTCGGAATCGGCATTATTGGTCAATTTTCAACTTTTTTTTTGATGTTTCTGCTTAAAGTGACATTCATCTAGCCCAATGCAAAAAAAATTTAGACTTTGAATTCGAAGCTAACCAGACGTTCCAAGGGTCGAGGGTTCAAACCCCGGCCGCGACAATCTTTTTGCTTTTTGGGAAATAGATTGCGTAATCGTTGAATTGGCATTCAGACGGCACAAAAACCCAATAACACCTTATTGATTTGATGCCGTAATCCATTCCACCCCCGCCATTCCCAGGCCCCTGAGCCCCCAGATTTTTCCCATTAGTCATGGCAACATTTTTATCGCGCTTTTCGGCGGGATTTTAGTGCCCTCTCGGGGAGCATGGGAGGTAGGGCGAGAGAGCGAACGAGCAAGAGGGGCAGAGAAAAAGTGGCAATCCGATTTTAAAGGGCCGTTGAGGTACCTGAATTTTCAGGCTACATCGCCGCCGAGATCAAGGAGACGAACGGCGAGCAGGTCACGGTCATAACATGCCGTGGAAACGAGGTATAATCGATTACGCGAGGAAAATCATGCGAAAAAAATCGATTTTGGGAACCGATTAGGCGATCAAAAACGGAAAAATAGATATTCCCAGTAAGACTACAAAATACAACAAATTACGCAATGAAAACGTCATTTTTCTAGGTGACGGTGAAGAAGGACGAGGCGCAGGAGATGAACCCGCCGAAATTCGACAAGACCGACGACATGGCCAACCTGACGTTCCTCAACGAGGCCTCCGTGCTGGCCAACCTCCGCGATCGCTATCAGAAGATGATGATCTATGTAGGGAGCCTTTTAAGTACCTTTAAAGTTTTTTTTCTGACTCCTGCTAAACCCTTACAACGCTAACATACACTTGATTTTCAAAAAGCAAAAATCTGCCGCGACCGGGGATGGAACCCATGCTGTTTGTGGCTTCCAAGTGCCTTTAAAAACACGAAAATTGAAATTTTCTTTTTTTAATGGACAAACTGGCCTACAATTAAACAAATTTCAAAGCCATAGGCAAGCCAGCAAACACCATTTGCCATTCCAGACCTACTCCGGACTCTTCTGCGTCGTCATCAACCCGTACAAGCGACTCCCCATCTACACCGAGTCTGTCATCAAGGCGTACATGGGAAGGAGAAGGGACGAGATGCCACCCCATCTCTTTGCCACCTCTGATGAGGCATACAGGAATATGGTCTTCGACAAGGAGAACCAGTCGATGCTCATCACTGGAGAATCCGGTGCCGGCAAGACCGAGAACACCAAGAAGGTCATCTCCTATTTCGCCATCGTCGGTGCCACGCAAAGCGAAGGGGGCGCTGAAAAGAAGGAGGGCCAGAAGGGAGGAACCCTGGAGGAGCAGATCGTCCAGACCAACCCCGTCCTCGAGGCGTTCGGTGGGTTTTGTGGAATTTTGCTAAGAAATTTTTGAATCGTCTTTCCGCTAGCCAGTTGTGGTATTCCAGCCTTAAATGACTCTTGAAAATGCGAGAAAATTTGCAAAAATAGGCTTTCGAAATTCAGATATCCTGAATTCAGGTATCCTCGATTTTTGAACTGTGTAGTTTGTGGCCTAGCTCCAAACTATCCCCCGGCACCCGATCCTATATTCATCGTTCAATGGCCCTTTAAAACCGTTTAATCTCGCAAAATCGCGTTTTTTTTCAGGAATTCAGGTACCCTCAATTCAGGTACCCTCAACTCAGGTACCCCCGATTTTTACGCTTTGTATTCTGTAGTCTAGCTCCAAAATGTCAACCGCCATTTAGGTAATGCGAAAACGGTGCGCAACAACAACTCGTCCCGTTTCGGAAAGTTCATCCGCACCCATTTCTCGTCGACCGGCAAGCTGGCCGGTGGAGACATTGAGCACTGTGAGTTTGCCTTCAATGGGCCTTTAAAATAGGATTTTACGAAACTAGTAGCTAGATTGAATGGGAGATAGCGATTTGCAAAATCTTGGCCCCATTTCCTATCGTAATCGATTGCAGACCTGCTCGAGAAGTCGCGTGTGGTGCGTCAGGCTCCTGGAGAGCGCACGTACCACATCTTCTACCAAATCATGAGCGGCTTCGACGCGTCCCTGCGAGGTGTGTTAATTGTTGTAGTCTGTAGCCTGTCATTCAGGAAAGCTGAAGCTGACCAACGACATCACCTACTACCACTTCTCATCCCAGGCCGAACTCACCATCGAGGGGGTCGATGACAAGGAGGAGATGCGTCTCACCCAGGTACGAACTACAAATTTAGAGATGGATTTTTGTATCCTGGCTACCTTTTTACTTATATCAGAACGAAAAAGCTAATTTTGAGCAAAAATTAAAAAGTTCGGCACGAGAAGGGATCGGACCCGACACCTCGATCTTGCTTTCCATGCTCCTTTAAAATCCAATTTTCAGGAGGCCTTCGACATCATGGGCTTCACCGACGAAGAGGTGCACGACCTCTACAAGAACACGGCCGGTATCATGCACATGGGCGAGATGAAGTTCAAGCAACGACCCCGCGAGGAGCAGGCCGAGGAGGACGGCATTGAAGGTGGGCACCACCCATTTACAGCCTTGATTTTGTGGTTTGTGGTTAGCTGGTTGTCATTTACCACAATGACACTAACCACTATCGTAACGGCCATTTAACTAGCGTAATCGATTCAGGTTCCCATTTCAGGTACCCTAGGGTACCTGATTTAAAATTGCTTAGAAACGAAATACAGCTTGAATTTTTTCGGCCAATGCTTCTTAATGCCAGCCACCTAAGTTAAAAACGAGTTTTAAAATCACTATCATTCCCCTGCTGTAACCCACCGTACTCCAGATGCCCAAAATGCCGCGCACTGTTTCGGCGTCGACGCCGAGAAGTTCGTGAGCGCGTTCGTCAAGCCGCGCGTGCGCGTCGGAACCGAATGGGTCAACAAGGGTCAGAATCTCGATCAGGTATTCACAGTTTTCCAGGTGTCACTGTCCCTTAAATCGACAAATCTATGAAATTTCTAAATCCAATTTTCAGGTCAACTGGGCCGTTTCCGGTTTGGCGAAGGCCGTCTACGCACGCATGTTCCACTGGATCATCCGCAGGTAAAATCGCTTAGCTCAATTAGGTAGGCAACAGCATAGTCAAATGGCTAACACGTTAGCCTGTCAATCCGACGTTCCGGGTTCGACCCACGCCGCGACAAACTTTTTGCTTTTTGCCTACAAACTTCACGATACCTTTAAAAATTACTATCAGGTGCAACAAGACTCTGGACGCAAAGGAGATCGAGCGCAAGTTCTTCATCGGCGTGCTGGACATTGCTGGCTTCGAAATCTTTGATCTGAACTCGTTCGAGCAGTTGTGGATCAACTTTGTCAACGAGCGTCTCCAACAGTTCTTCAACCACCACATGTTCGTCCTCGAGCAGGAGGAGTACAAGCGGGAGGGCATCCAGTGGACCTTCATCGATTTCGGACTGGATCTTCAGGTAGGCAGTCTAGCTGGAATCTGGGGTAGCTGTCCCTTTAAAATACGGTATTGGATTTTATTGGTTCTGGAAACTTGCAGCTGGCATAAGGTACGCCGCAAAAATGGCAAAAAGGCAAAGATCCACAATTCCAGGCTTGCATCGAGCTGATCGAGAAGCCGCTGGGCATCATCTCGATGCTGGACGAGGAGTGCATCGTCCCGAAGGCCTCGGATATGACCTACGTCGACAAGCTGAACGACCAGCACCTCGGCAAACACCCCAACTTCCAGGTACCGTATCGAGTTTGTAGTTTGTAGTCTGCGGTCCGTGGTGTGGTCTGTAGCCTTATGTAAAAATCGATATTTCAGAAGCCCAAGCCGCCAAAGGGCAAGCAGGCGGACGCCCACTTTGCCATCGTCCACTACGCCGGCACTGTGAGGTGAGAAATTTGAATTTTGTATTTTTCGAGTTTTGGATCGAAGGTTCGATCCCGGCTGAGGTCAAACGTTTTTGCTTTTTGCTTTTTGGAATTTAAGCTTAGAAATCGATGCATTGCGCTCCAGAATACGTCTCAAAATTATTTTTAAAACGGACAGTGAAGTCAAATATATGCAAAAATACGTCCTTTTTCAGGTACAACGCGAACAACTTCCTGGAGAAGAACAAGGACCCGCTGAACGACAGCGCGGTGGCCGTGCTCAAACACTGCGAGGGCAACGCGCTGATGCTCGACCTGTGGGCCGACTATGTGACGCAGGAAGAGGCGGCCGAGCTGGCCAAGCAGGACCAGGGAGCCGCCGCCGGGCCCAGGAAGAAGGGCAAGTCCAGCAGGTATGGCAGTTAACCTAAAATCTGTTAAAATCAAAGATTCCATTTCAATTCCAATTTTACAGCTTCATGACGGTGTCGATGATCTACCGCGAGTCGCTGAATAACCTGATGAACATGTTATACCAGACCCACCCCCACTTCATCCGTTGCATCATCCCCAACGAGAAGAAGGCGTCCGGCGTGATCGACGCTGGACTGGTGCTCAATCAGCTGACATGCAATGGTGTGCTCGAAGGCATCAGGATTTGCAGGTGGGGAATAGCTTTCGGTCAAAGAATCTCTGCTAGCCTACCTTTAGAGAATGACTTTTGTAGGATAATCGATTAGCTGTCAGCCAATAAACGCATCGTTGTTTGAAAAATACTTCGTTTTCAATTATTACGAAGGTAATACGCTAATGGCTCCATCCATGCAAATTCAGGTACCCTGCTTGATTCAGGTACCCTCAGGAATCTCCGTTAGATTGCCTATAAACGCTTATTTTTGTAGCGCAATCAATTAGCTGACATCCAGTGACGGAATCGTGACAAAATTTTTATGATTTCTTTTTAACGCGAATGCGCACTAATCGTAGGCGTTGGAATTCAGGTACCCTCAAGATATCGCTGCTAGCTTGCCTTGCGAGGCTGATTTTTCTAGCGTATTGGATTAGCTGTTAGCCAGTTCGACATAGTTTTTTTCGAGAATTTTGAGAATTTGCTTCTTTAAAGAAACCGTTGATTTCAGGAAGGGATTCCCGAATCGTCAGCTGTACGCCGATTTCCGTCAGCGGTACGCTATTCTGGCAGCCGATGCGGCGGGCAAGCCCGAGTTGAAAGCGGCATGCACCGGAATTCTCGACAAGCTCGTCAACGAGGGGCATATTTCCGATGAGGAGTTCCGTGTCGGAAACACCAAGGTATTCCTTCAATGGTTCTTTAACAACTCTCGAAACTTTGGCGAGCTCTTGACTGAGTGCCAGAAAGGGGAGAGGGGGCCTAAAATTATCCTTTGGAAAGCGAGCAGAAACCGTTTAATTCCAGATCTTCTTCAAAGCCGGAGTGCTGGCCCGTCTCGAAGATGCCCGTGATGAGATTCTGTCCCGAATCCTCACCGGGTTCCAATGCCAAATCCGCTGGTACCTCGGGCAGACCGAGCTGCGCCGGCGGTACGATCAGCAGAGCGGTGGGTGCTTGGTGTAGTGGCTAGCGAGTTAGGTTACCATCCACGAGGTCCGGGTTCGATCCCCGCAGTGGTCAACATTTTGGTTTTTGGTTTTCCGGTCTATATCTCAAGTTCCAGGCCTTCTGGTCGTGCAGAGGAACGTCCGCTCCTGGTGCACCGTCCGCACGTGGGACTGGTTCAAGCTGTTCGGCCGTGTCAAGCCCCTCCTCGCCGATACGAAGAAGCAGGAGGAGGTATAACTCGCGTAATTTAATGAAATTGCTGGGTATAGGTCGCCGGCGAGATCGCTCAAAAGATCCAGGCTCTCGAGACGACACTCGCTACGGTGGAGCAAGAGCGGAATCGCCTCGAGGGACAGGTACGGTATTTTAGATTTTTTGGGGCCACCAGCCTTTTAAAATCAAAGTTATGTTGAGCTTTGGCTTTTCTGGCATGCAAGTAACCGATGTAAATCATTAAAGGCTCACTAAAGGCAAACTTTAACCCAAAATTACGCATTTTCAGGTGGCCGGCCTGGTCGAGGAGAAGAACAAGCTGTTCCTCGACTTGGAGAAGGAGAAGGAGTCCCTTCGCACCGCCGAGGAGCAGAACGAGAAGCTCACCGTCCAGAAGGTAAGTTAAATCCTCATGGGCTGGCGCAATGGGTTAGGAATTTGGCTAGCAGGCAGAGGATGCAGGTTCGAATCCTCGCAGCGACAATTTTTTGCTTCTTGGTGGGGAGGGATAATAAAGTGTAACTTAGCATCTACAGTAGTCAGTTTAACTATTCGTTTCCTAAAAATCTTAAAAAATTCGATTCTAGACCGAACTGGACCGGCAGCTGCACGAAACCGAGGATAAGCTCTCTAGCGCCGAAGAAAAAGCCGAGGAGCTTCAGCGGGCCAAGAAGAAGATTGAGGCCGAGGTCAACCAGCTGTCCCAGAACCTTCAGAGGTAAGAATTCCGCAAAGAATCCATGCAAGTTGACCCATTTCAGGGCCGAGCTCGACGTGAAGAAGGCTGAGCAGGAGAGGAACGCGAAGGAGGCATCCATTCGCGCGCTTCAGGACGAGATGGCTAACCAGGATGAGCATGTCGCCCGTCTGCACAAGGAGAAGAAACAGCAGGAGGAGGTATGGCTCAGGGGGTAGCGAGTTGGATTTCCAGGCTGATAGCCCGAGTTCGACTCCCGGGACCTACAACTTTTTGCTTTTTGCACAAAAATTGCTGAAAAGGTCTAGCTGGCACTCCGCCAAGTTTTTCCAAGCCCTAAAAGAATAGAAAAGGCTATATTTTCGACTGAAAAATGGCAAAAATCGTTTCCGATTACGACAACAATACCGATTACGCAATGAAATTTTCAGGCAAACCGCAAGCTGCTCGACGACCTCCACAACGAGGAGGACAAGGCTGCTCATCTGGAGAAGCTGAACGGAAAGCTGCAAGCCCACGTCGACCAAGTGGACAACCAGATCGCACTCGAGAAGCAGACCAGGGCTGAGCTCGAAAGGAGGGAGAGGAAGGTACGGTAGAACGGATAGGTGTTCGAAAATAAAAGAAAAATTGCCAAAAATTTTTCTCGCTTGGTCAAGTGGTTAGTGCGTTGGGCTGTCAAGTTAAGGGTCCGGGCTCGGCTCCCGGGCCCTACAAACTTTTTGATTTTTGGTTTTTGGGCGAAAATCAGCTGATTTCTCCTCTTTCCAGCTGGAGGGCGAGCTGAAGATCCAGCAGGAGACGATCGACGAGCTGCAGAGGGAGCGACACGATGTCGAGCAGAACCTTCGGAACAAGGAGGCCGATCTGCACGCCCTGAATGGGAAACTGCAGGCGAATGAGGATCTGATTGCCAAGCTGCAGCGGCAGATCAAGGAGCAACAGTGCAGGATCTCGGAGCTGGAGGATGAGCTCGACAATGAGAGGTATGGTAGAGTTGAATTGCGTAATCGGATGCAATTTGACTTCGTAATCAGCTAAAACTCATCGATTTTCAAAGCGTAATCGGTTCAACCCTATCCATTTACCGATCGTAACCAATTTCAGGTCCCAACGCCAAAAGGCCGACCGCTCTCGTGCCGACCTGCAGGCTGAGATCGAGGATCTGAGCCTCCAACTGTCGGAGGCTGGTGGACTGACCGCCGCCCAGGTTGAGGCCAACCGAAGGAGGGAGGCTGAGGTTCGTTGGCGTTTAAAGGGAGAGTGACAGCTCGAGAACTCGAGCTACAACCCGTTTACAGGTAGCCCGAATCCGCCGTGAGCTGGAGCAACAGGCCCTCAACCACGAGACCGCCATCAACTCGCTGAGGAAGAAGGGAGGAGAGGCCATCGTTGAGCTCCAAGAACAGCTCGAGAACGCCCACATGATGAAGGCCAAGAGCGATGCGGCCAAGGTGATTTTTGGTGCCGCTGTCCCTTTAAAATCGAAATTTGCCATTTTTTGGTTCTGGATTGGCAAATTTCTGCTGTCACACTCCCTTTAAAGCCCAATTCAGGCTCAACTCCAACGCGAGCTCGAGGAGGCCACATCCAATGCCGATTCTGAGCACCGACAGAAGCTCGAGCTCGAGAAACAGCTAAAGGTAAGCTAGCAGAGACAATTTGAGATATAGGGAGCTAGGAGAGAAAGGTAGGGAAACTAATTCGATCGTGTAATCGATTATTTTCCAGACGTTCGAGATCCAATTCGCCGAGCTGCAACAAAAGACCGAGGAGCAGAACAGGCAGATCATGGAGTACTCGGCTGTCAAGAGCCGTTTGGGCCATGAAAATTCCGAGTTGAACAGGCTGGTGGAAGATCTGGAGAACCAGCTGAACTCGTTGCACCGGCTGAAGGGCACCTATGGACAGCAGTTGGAGGTGGGCGACGCGATTCTAGGTGTCACTGTGCCTTTAAAGTATTTTTTCTTGAATTTTTCGCTTATCTGACCCCCCGAGGGCTAATTTATATCATTAAAGGTCTACTGAAGTCAAAATGATAGGGTACCTGAATTCGGGTACCTGAATTGAGTCACCTGAATTGTGGCACCTGAATTTTGTGATTGAATTTTAGGCAGTACCCTCCCTCTAACAAATCTTTTTCTTTGGTTGTTGGCTTTTCTGGCCTCCAAATAGCTCGTCGAAAACGCCAAAGGACCACTGAAGGCAAAATCCATAGGGTACCTGATTTGGGGTACCTGAATTGCAGCCTTTAGAAAAAGGTACCTGAATCGACATTTTTCTCGCAAGTTGCTCTCTGGGGGATAGTAAACCCATTCCAAGTACTGAACTGACCATGGAACCACCGATTTCAGGAAGCCCGCCGTGCCGCTGAGGAAGCCCAGGCCGAACGTCAAGGTCTAGCCGTTCAGTTGCGCAACTTTGAGCACGAAAACGAGAGCCTCAGACATCAGCTGATGGACAAGGAAGCGTCCGAGCAGGAGAATTTGAGGTGGGCAGACTAGAAAGCGAGCCTTGGGGAGGATCAGCTGGCTAGCAGGGATCTTTGAGGAAACGGGCGAACTAACAAAGATCATTGAGGAACCGAAATTTCCAGACAAATCTCCAAGCTAAACGCGGAGATCCAGCAATGGAAGGCCCGTTGGGAACAAGAGGGTCTTGCTCGCATGGAGGAGATCGAGGCGGCCAAGGCGGCCCTCCAGAGAAAGGTCAGTTGCCTTCAATGGTTTAAATCGAGAATCCAGGTGCAAGAGATGACGGAAGCCTACGAGGGCGCCAACCTCAAGATTCAACAGCTCGAGAAAGTGCGCGCCAAGCTGGCTGGAGATCTCGATGATGCTCAGGTGAGTGGCATCCGATTGCGACGTTTAAATTGTTGGACTAGCGTTATTTTTTTACTCTTCAAGTATGAAAGATCTATCTGGTATAAAATCTAACCATCCTCGCTAAAAAATTCGAAAGCTTTGGGTATTTAAGGGAAGTTGCAGCTGAGCGGCTTGACCACGCCGTCTTTCTAGAGCAGGGCTTAAGCTTCTAGATGGTACAAACTTTTAACTCCATTCAGACTACAGAATCAAATTTAAAAAACATCGAAAAAACCATGTTAAAGGACCACTAAACCCGTTTTCAGGTGGACCTCGAGCGCACCGCCGCCTACGCAGCCGCCCTGGAGCGCAAGCAGCGCGGATTCGACCAGATCATCGCCGAGTGGAAGAAGAAGAGCGACGACCTGGCGAACGAGTTGGACGCGGCACAGCGCGACAACCGCCAGCTGGCCACCGACCTCTTCAAGGCCAAGACCGCCGCTGACGAGCTCGTCGAGCAGGTCGCGATTTTTGGGCTTTTATTCGGTAGTTTTCTGAAAATGGCTACAACCTACAAAATTTAACTCCCTACCTTCCAGAACGACTCCCTTCGTCGTGAGAACGCACAGCTGACGCAAGAAGTCCGCGACCTGACCGAACAGCTCGGATCCGGCGGCCGAACGGTGGCTGAACTGCAAAAGATCTTGAGGGCGATGGAGAACGAGAAGGAGGCCATGCAGAAGGCTCTCGATGGAGCTGAGGCTGCCCTCGAGGCCGAGGAGGCCAAGGTTCTTCGCGCGCAGATCGAGATCTCACAGGTGAGTCCATTAATGATACTCTGTATCTCTCGCCGCTCTCTTTTTGACGTTCTCTCTCGCTTTTTCGATATTTTAGATGAGCTTAATCGCCTTACTGCTAGCCTTACTACCGTTTCCCGTCAAAAACTGCAAACTACAATACCTCTGTAAACTTCAAACTCCAGGTCCGCGCCGAGATCGAGAAGCGACTCGCCGAAAAGGAGGAGGAGTTTGAGAACACGCGACGCAACCACCAACGCGCCATGGAGAGCATGCAGGCGACCCTTGAGGCCGAGATGAGGGCCAAGGAGGAGGCTCTCAGGATCAAGAAGAAGCTCGAGTCCGACATCAACGAGTTGGAGGTAACCGGTTACGATATGATACTCAAGATCCCGAATTTCGCGATTTGAAAGGCGCATGAACCTTAGCTATGCAGTTAAGCTGCCGGCAAAAAATTTAAAATTCAAAAGCTAGGATTAGGCTGGTAATCGCCTTAATGATTGACAACCGATTACGCAATGTGATTCAGGTCGCCCTGGATCATGCAAATCGCGCGAACGCCGACGCGCAGCGCACCATCAAGAAGTACATCGAGACGGTGCGCGAGCTGCAGATGCAGATCGAAGAGGAGCAGAGGCTGAGGTACGGGAGCGCTAAAGGGTCATTGAACGACGGAGGGTACCTGAATTGTATTTTGTAGTCTGTAGCCTTCGGGCCTAATTTGCGAACGTAATTCGCCAGTCTGCGACCCAGTTAGGCGGGTAGCCTGCGCAAAAAATGGCTTTAAAGGGCCATTGAAGTGGAAAAAACTAGGACCCGAAAATTCAGGTACCCTATCAATTTCGTAGTCCGTAATTTGCAGTTTGCAGCCTTTCGAGTGTTTTTATAGAGCTCATCAATAGGCCACCAGACAGACTGGCAACCAAAATCACAAATTCCGATTTTAAAGGGTCATTGAAGTGAAGGCGCATAGCCTAAAATTCGGGTACCCTCGAGATTTTTGTAGTTTATGGTTCATGGTTTGTAGTCTTCGGGTATATTTGCAGCCTCAATCGATAGCCCATCTGCCAGCTTGGCAGCAAAGCTAAGCAAAAACCGATTTTAAAGGGTCATTGAAGGGAAAATCCATAAATCCACAAATTTAGGGACGAGCTGAACGAGCAGCTCTTGGCCGCGGAGAAGCGCAACCAGCAGCTGCAGGCGGAGAAGGACCAATTGGCACAGGCACTCGATGCTGCCGAGAGGGCCAGGAGACAGGCTGAGCAAGAGGCCATTGAGTTGAGGGAACAGGTAAGGAAGAGTGTCTCTGTGCCTTTAAAAGTGAGAAGAGGACGCTTGAACGCCTTGGTGTCGTTCCCCCTTTAAAATCCATCGTACCCCTTCGATCTCCAGGTGAACGACCTCTCGAACCAAGTGGCCGCGCTGATGAACACGAAACGCAAGCTGGAGGCAGAACTTCAAGCCGTACACCTTGACCTCGATGAGGCACTGTCGCAGCTGAAGTTGGCCCAGGAGAATCTCCTCAAGGTGGGCTAGCAGAGACAATTTGGGGAAAGGAGCGGGCTAGCAACGATTCTTTGCGGAATTTAAGGCCCATTGAAATCAATGCCCTCATTTTCCAGGCTCAATCTGATGCTGCCCGATTGGCCGAAGAACTTCGTCAAGAGCAAGAGCACGCCTCTCACCTCGAGAGGGTCCGAAGGGCACAGGAGTCGGCACTCAAGGAGATGCAGGTGAGGAATTATGTTGCGTAATTGGATCGCGAAAAGGAAAACCTTCACGACAGTATTTTTGGGCTGTCGTAGTCATTTTTGGGGATTTTGCACTAGAGAGCGCTTAATTGCGTGGCAGATCAGTTATTCCCAAAATTTCAAAGCTCGACGATAGTCATAATCCGAGATAAATTACATGTCGTAATCGATTGGCTCAACGTCGGTTTTTGGGCTACTGTAGTGTTTTTTTGAAATTTTTTGGCATTGTAAATTCTTAGCTGAGGGCCAATTAGCCAATTCCCGAATTTTCAAAGCCCTACCGTAGCTAAAACCCGAGATACATTACATGTCGTAATCGGATCATCCTAGGCCCGTTTGGACGACGCTGAGGCGGCAGCGCTGAAGGCCGGCAAGAAGATCATCCAGCAGATGGAGGCCCGCATCCGAAGCCTCGAAATGGAGCTCGACAATGAGAACAGGAAATACCAGGAGGCCGACAAACATTTGAGGAAATTGGAGAGGAGATGCAAGGAGGCCGAATTCCAGGTACGCTTTTGCTTATTGTAGCCACTTCTGTAAAAAATCCCATCGAAAACCGCCAATTCCCGCGAAATTTCGGAAAGTTGTGCTTGGCGCAGTGGATAAGAGGTTAGACTACCAATCTCACGACCAGGGTTCGACTCCCCGGCGCGGCAAATTTTTTGCTTTTGCTTTGCTTCATATGTATTTTTAAGAATTCGCGAGTTTTCTAAATCCATTTTTAAGCATTTTCGCCTTCCTAAACTCTTTAAAAACTGGAAAAAGCTTCGCCTCCGTCCGAAATCCCTGTCACCACCCCTTTAATTCCAGATCGATGAAGAGCGCAAGAACGCGGCCCGACTGGACGACCTCATCGACAAGCAGTCGCTCAAGATGAAGGCGCGTTTATCGATTTTTATGAGGTTTTCGGGTCTTGGGTTCGACTCCTGCCCGCGGCAAAATTTTTTGCCTTTTGGTTTTTGGTTTTCGGAGCTAATTTCTCGAGTTCTAGGTACTCAAGCGTCAAGCCGACGAGGCCGAGGAGATCGCAGCCGTCAACCTGGGCAAATACCGTACCCTTCAACAGCAAATGGATGCCGTCGAGGAGAGAGCGGAAATGGCCGAGAACTGCCTCTCTAAATTCCGATGCCGATCACGGCTATCCGTTGTGCCGGCTGGATTCGGGTTGGAGCAGAGCGCGTCGATGATCCCCCTTGGACAGGTACGGTGTCGCTGTGCCTTTAAAAGGGCCTCGAATCCTCGAACTTTTCGATTCGTTGGTGTCACTCTCCCTTTAAAGCCCGAGTGCTCCACTTTCTGAATTTGGCTAACTGACAGGCACCAAACACATTGCATTTCAAAAAGTCGGATTTTCAAGGACCTTTGAAGGCAAAATTCGGGTCATGCGTTCGATCCCGCCGCGCGTCTAAATTTTTTGCTTTTTGCTTTTCGGCCTGAAAATCGATAATCCGTCTCTTTTTCAGCCCCTTCAACCCATCCACCGCTCCGCCTCGATGCAACCCTTCCAGCGCCAACAACAGCAAGGAGGCCAGAATGGCCAAAATGGCCACCCCCAGCTCGAGACGCCCCAACAGGCGCCCCAGCAGCAATAAACCCCCTGTCACCACCCCTTTAAACTGAAAAATATCTGACTTTGTAATATCCCCATGATTTCCTCCATTTTTGACGCTTTTCCCGCGTGGCGCAGTCGGTAGGGCTCGCGTCTTCCGCCCGGACGACCCGAGTTCGACCCCCGCCACCGCAAACTTTTTGCTTTTTGCTCAACAATGTTTGCCACGATTTGTGAAGGGCTCTACACTATTCTCACATCATTTTTGGCTTCTAAAACCCGTTAAAACCGCCTCGAAAGTGTCTCGCCCCCTCGGTCACTTTTGGCGTGTTTTTCTGGGTTGCCTGTCCCTTTAAAATGCAAAGTTTCTGACGAACGCCCCGCTTTAGCAAGCCTTTAGCTATTTATTTGCAAAATGCAATTTTTAAAAGTCTGTAAATCGAAAAAATCAAATTTCCCCGCCTACCGTACCCCCGCCCAGCTCAACCCTGCCATTTTTAACATTTTAAATGTCCACAAAAAATGTTTAATTTGAACTTCCGCCTTTTTACGCTGAACCCTCTAGTCATGTGTTGTAGCGCGGAATTTGCTGAATTTTCCAAGCCCATTTTTGTGTAAAAATGCTTTTCTCCCTCTTTCACATTGTGTGCGTGATTTTTGCATAAATTTGACTACAAACTACAAGCTGTACAGACTGCATCCGACAAAACTTGAAAAATTCCTCATCGATATATGAACCAAAAACGTAATGGTCAAGAGGCTAAGGCGTTTGGCTATCAGGCTGAGGGTCCGGGTTCGAGTCCCGCCGTGGCAGACGGGTTTTTGCCTGTTGCTTTTTGCTTCTAAACTTTATGATTGGCTTTACTGTGAGCCAGATCATCCAGTTCCAACATAGTCAAGTGGCTAAGCGGTTTTGCTACTATTCTGATGACCCGGGTTCGACCCCCGGTCGCGCGAAACTTTTTGCTTTTTGCTTTTTCGATTTGTTTACATCGTCATTTTTTCAGAATTGTCCAATTCGGGCTATGACCTTTCCCTAGATCAAGCACAAACTGTGCGGGCCGCGAAAGGCAGCTGCAAATTGGGTGTGTGTTTTTTTCAGGTCCATTTTGAGGGCCAAACTTTTCAGCTGGCCGCCCTCAAATCTGCTCACCCCGCACACCGTAACACGTCCAGATTTGTCACCTCCGGCTTATTGACCCGGAACGAGCTTTAAAAATTAATTTCTAGGGGTTTTTGATGTTTTTTTTTGGATAATCGATTACGACGTGTAATTCGAAAATCGCCAATTTTGCTTTAATTCGTCATATTATAATTTGAATCAATAAACTAGCGATCAGTTGAGTATTTTTCCAAAAATCAGGGTCTAAAGGCACTAGGAAGTTACGAAAATCCATAACGTTGCAAAATCAGGTACCTCTTCTGCTTTTTCGTTTTATTCAATTTTTAGAAGTTTTTTGAAATGTCTAAGTTCTGAATTCAATAAACCGTTAGTCACTTCGGCTTCTTGCAAAAATCCAGATTTTAAAGGCCCCAGGAAGCTGAGAAAATCCAAAAACAAAAATCCCGGAATCAGGTACCTCCCGGAATTTTGATTTTTTATTTTTTCCCGCCAAATGTGATTTTTCGTTTTAATAATGTTTTTGTTTTATAAACTGACATAGATTCTACCATTTTAGAGAACTCCGACGCTTTTAAAGGACCATTGAAGCCAAAAATGGGCCTCCTCCTCGCCCCCGAGTTGGAGCGTCTGGTGCCGACACTTCCGGAAGCCTGCGTCGTCCTCGTTGCGTATATCGCAATTCTGGGTACGTACTGCGCTACAAACCGCCAAAGTCTCCTTTACAGTATTCCCAATCGTCGGCCGGTTCCACTCCCTGATGCGGCTGTACTGCTTGGCGACGCTGACGCCACTTTTCATCATGCAACTCTTTCAACTGATCGTTCCGCTCGTATTTCCAGAGTTAGGGTCAGTTCCGCAAAGAATCTCGGGTAGCTGGCTGGCAGAGGGGGCAAAAATCGCTCCTAAATGACCTCTGATAGCCCTCCCCGTTGCAGAAGTCGCTACTTCGTGCTCACCACCGCGATCAACATGTACGCGGGGAGTCAGATGCTGCTCTGCAACTCGCTGCTCGTCAAATTCGTGCTGGAGAGGATCTGCGACACTTCCGCTACGTACAGCGACTATCGGTTTGTAGTTTGGGGTCTGGGCTACGAACTACAAGCTACAAATTATAGAAAAAGCACAATTTGACGTCGATTTTGGCTTCCTTGGGCTCCAATTTGTAATTTCTATTCCGCCATCTAGCGTATCCTGTAGTCTGGCAGCCAGTTTATAGGCTACAAGAAACCTACAAACTACAAACTACAACAATTCCAGAAAAATGGTCATCCTCCTCTCCATTATCCCGGCCATGCCCCCGTCCCTATTAGCATCTCAGTTGTCAGGTATTTCCCTGAATTACCTATCGTATCCATTCCCAATCGTTCAGAGGAAACATTCGTCGTCGTCCAGATCTTCAACACTATCTTGAAGGTGGCAGCGATCATTTGGGAGTGCTCGATGCTCATTGGGGTACTGAAGCCTGTTTTTTTGCCTTCCACGTTCCTTGAAACGGGAATCTATGGATTGGGCATCAGTTTATCGATTAACAAAGAGAACAGCGATGTTTTTGGTTGATTACGCTATGGAATTCCGAAAATCCTCGATTTTGAGGCTACCAAATTCCTCAATAATCTCTGCCAGCCTGCCCGTAAGAACAAAAATAACAAGCTTTTGCAGCCAGCCAGGTGCTTCCCTCGCCCCCAAAACTGAACCCCCACCGGAAGTGCTATTTGTATCGCAATGCCAGCGGGTTTCCGCTTTTTCCTAATGACGTCGGGGTAAAAATAGGGCGTAATCGCTTCCGGGTGCAAACATTTTAAGGGAATCATCAAGCTGGCGTGCAGTTTACCCAAACACTTGGTTTTTGAATGTCTTAAAGGCCCATTGAAGGCAAATATATAGCGTAATCCAAAGCCCGGGCTTCAAAAATTCATGTCGTAATAGATTAAACCTTAAGCTGATGCGCACGGTTCGTGGGAAACATGCGAATATGTGCGACGTCTCCCGGGCCGACGTCTACTTGCTGTTCACCTTCTGCGGCTGCAGCACGTCGATCACGATGCTGGGATACGGTAGGGGCTGACTTGGGTTAGTTTGAAAATTAGACATTTTCTTTATTTGCCGGTATGGACATCGTAGAATTTTCCAAGGGCTTTCAAATGATGCCTAAATCATCACCCTACTGTATTCCTAGAGCAAATTATAGCCGTTTAAAGTTTGACGCCACAGGCTACAAATTACAATCGACCGTATCTCGGGCTAGAAATATCGGATTTTGATTGTTTTTAGATAGTTTTATCGAGTTCTTCAAGCGTTTGCCAATGATGTATAATGGATTACGGTAGCTAATGCCCAGAAAAAGATATAACTCCTTGAGTTTGGCGGGCTAGCATGGATTTTTGAGAAATTTTAGGGGCAATCTAGCAGGGATCTTTTGCGGAAATTAACGCCTTTGTATTCCAGAGGCCTCAGTCGGCATGGATTGTGCGTACGAGGACACGCACGACGAGTCGACGCGCATATTGGCTTCTGACGTTGCCGGGCTGACCTGTCTTGGGTTTCCCCAATGGTATTTCCTGGTTTGCCGCTTTAAGGTACGATTTTTCGTCTTTTTCCATCTATCTGGCACATAGTCGGCCAAAATCCAAAATCCAGAAGAAAATTGTCATTTTTAAAGGGCCCGGCAAATAACGTAGCTCTAAAGATTTATAATAGCGTAATCGATTACACTATATAATTTTTTAGCCTGCCACGATGGCTTTGTGCTTCCTTTTCACCTTCCCATGCTTCATCCTCAACCTGTTCCGCCTCCACGCTCGCCCCCTGGAGCGATCGATATTTTTGGTAGGTTTGGTGGCGTAACCGAATATACAGGAATTCCGGAAAAACCGGAATTTTCGGATTTTACTGGCGTGGATGACTTAACTGACTGCCAGTCTCGCCAGCCCACGAACAAAATTACAAATTTTGGAATACTGTAGCGACCCGAATCCCATATCGTAACCGGTTGCAGGGCGAGGAGGTGCACGAGACGTACGGCGATCGACGCAAGTCTGTGCGTACCATGGTGGGAGCGGATGCTGATCTTGACATGGCAAGTCAATTGGCGCAGATGCGGAATGCGAATGGTACGCAATACTACGTTACGGTACACCGTATGGAGGAGCCAAACGTAACTGAACTTGACATTTGCAGGAGTCGTCAACCTAGCCAAGATGACGGCCACCGTACACGTGTCGGCAGATTCTGGAATAGCGGAGGATGTCGTTGAGAAGGGGAGGTAGGGCTTGGAAGGCTTGGCCAAGTGGTTAGGGAGTTAGCCTGTCATCCGCAGGGTCCGGGTTCGACCCCCGGCGGCAGCTAACTTTTTGCTTTTTGCTCCAGGGGCTTTAAATACTATAGTGCAAAGCTAAATTAGACGTTTTTAAAAATAAAATATGATAAACCTATAAAAATTGCCTAAAAACAATTTTTAATTTTTTGCGTTGAATGGCCCTTTAAAACGCAATTCTCGTACTTTGTAGCCTTGCAACGACGCGTCGAGGCTCCGACGAATCGAATATCGAGAAGTTGGAGCTCCCGAATCCCGTTCACTACCAGGTTCGTGCTTTTCAAGGGACTGGAAGGCTTCGATTATCGATTAAATTATTTTTTTAGGAATACAACATCCACGGCTTCCACAGCTTCGATCGGCGCTCATTTCGAGAGGCGCATCGCGACTCGCTAGTGTCCTTTCATGGGTGGGTACCTGAATGGGCTACAATAGCCGTAGGGAGTTGTGGTTTGTAGCTATAAGGATTTTTCTAGAACAATATTTAAACTGATGGTTAGTTAAGCGATTCTACTAGTCAAAACCCGAAAATCATAGCTCTTTGGAGATTTTCTGGGCAGGGTAAATTGAGTTCCATGGTACCTGAATTTCAAGGGGTTGTAGTTTGTAATTTCCTCAACTTTTCTGAGTTTAACCTACTTTCCGTCAGCCAGTTAACCAATTACCCTAGTTAAACCACGAAAATTAACGATATTTCGACTTACGTGGGTACCTGAATTGGACAGCAGGGCACCTGAATTTCTACAGTAGGGTACCTGAATTTCCAAGGGTTCTAGTTTGTAGTTTTTGTTTGAGTTTAATATACGATCTGATAGCCAGCCTGACCAGTACTTAAATTTTCAGTTCATGATCCGTTTTTCAGACGCCCGCACAGCACCGGACGCCAGATTCACTTGCATTCACACAGTACTAGGTGAGCGGGTTGAGGCTTAGCTTAGGCTTCGAAACCAATTCAGAAGTCACCCCCACCTCTTTGGATCTCACTCCGTTGGCTCGACCGATCGATCACATCTAAAATTTGATGGTCCTACTACGGTGGCTACGGTAGAAATGGGGAAACAATCGATATTTGCGACTGGGGATACGGTAAGTCAGCTTGGCTAGCTTAGTCTTAGGCTTGGGCTTGGCCTAGGTTTAGGCTTAGGCTTAGGCTGAGGATTGGGCTTAGGCTTAGGCTTAGGCTTAGGCTTAGGCTTAGGCTTAGGCTTAGGCTTAGGCTTAGGCTTAGGCTTAGGCTTAGGCTTAGGCTTAGGCTTAGGCTTAGGCTTAGGCTTAGGCTTAGACTTGGTTTCGGCTCATGCTCATGCTCCCTCTTTCAGTCTCGTCCTCCCCGTCCCGCCGTCCGCTTTGCCGATCAGCACCTCATCCTCCCGAATCGTGAGACCAAAGAGGAGCGGCTCCGCCCGATGAGCCGAGCTTCGCGAATTGTCGATGGAATTTCATAGCGTAATCGATTTTCAGAATTTTTATTTGTATAAAGAGACTTTTTAACTAAATTTCGTAGTGCATCGGCATAATCGATTACGCCACGAAATTCGGATCTCATAATCGATTACGGCATGTTAAATGCCACCCTGAGATTCGATCACGATACGTAATTTCTTTATTTACCAGCCGATTACAGCCGCTTCGCGACTGCAATCGGCTGGACTTCGGGCTACCCTCCATATTCTACACCACCACATTTCATCCCCACCTTACGCTGATGCCTTCCCGGCAATACCTACACTGATGGCTTCAGATATCTCCTCTAGCCAACCCCCCCCACAAAAACATAGCTACCTTTCGGATGGCTTCAGATACCCCCATAGCCGAAATCTCCTTCAAAGACTACCTAAATACCTTCCTGGTGGCTTCAGATACCCCCCATAGCCGAAATCCCCTTCAAAAACTACTTAGATTCCATCCCGATACTTTAAATGATTTAAATAATAAATTAACATAATTAAAAAGTATTAAAAGTATTAAAGTAACTTAAAAAGCTATTTGGGCGCGGGAAAGGGCCTGGGGAAGAGGGGCGAAAGGAAAGGGGGCGTGGCCTCCCGGGAAAGGGGCCCCCACCCGTTTTATTAAGGCGCCACTTTCAATGTTAATTTTAATAATTTAAACTAAAACTTTTTGATAATTTTTTGATCAGTTTGGGGGTTTCTGACCACGCTCTATCCGAATCCGAAGAGACCTAAGCTCTAGCTCCTTTCCCCTTCGAGTTGAATCCGGGACACGACGGACAGACAGACAGACAGACGGACGCCTCTACTTTTTTATTATAGTTGATAGACTCTCCATAACAAATTCGACAAGGCCCACCAAGCCTCAATACCAAATGCAAAACATCAGCATTTTGCATACGATAGTCCGCGAGGGTACACTCGTTCTGAAGCTGCTTATTGTCGAAAATTAGCCTCTGGTCGTGCACGCAGCATGCTTCCACTTCCTGGAAATAGAAAAGTATTTGCACAAAGAATACATCTAGCTGCCAGCAGGTTTTAAAGAGAGCCTGACAGGCAGACTTCAATGCTCCTTTAAAGGGGCATGGCTTCACAAAAACCCACCTGGACCCTTTCCTTGACCTCCAGTATAGTTCTTTCCGGGCTAAGCTTCATCGGAATCGTCCTACCCGTCAACGTCTTCACGATAAGCTCCAGTTCCATTCAGGCACCCTTCGCAAATTCGTGGTTTTGATCGATTAGGGCATGGAAATGAATTAATAAAGGTTGTTATACATAAAGCAGCTGTCAGTTAGTCGTAATAGGCAAATTTTGTGTCCCGGGAAAGGAAAATAAAATTGTCGAGGAGCCCAAAAATCGATTCAGGTACCCAGGGTACCTGAATCTGCTGATAAGCCCCCTGGCTTCATTTCCGGCGCTCTGAATTGAATGGCGTAATTGGGCTCGTTTAGGCCGGATGCCAGTTGGGGCAGAGAGAGAGAGCCAGAGAGAGAGAGATACAGAGAGAGACAGACAGAGAGAGAGAGAGAGAGAGAGAGAGAGAGAGAGAGAAAGCGCTAGTCTGCTATGATAAAAAGTGATAAATAGGTGGCAAGATACGCATGCACTGATATCAACACACCGCTCCAGCCTCTCCTCCCTTCTCACCTCATGCTCCCCACAACGCAGAAAAAGAGAGCAATGAGCGGATCATTCTCTTCTCTTACTCTCTCTTTGCTATTCCTCCCCCCCTTGCATATCACATCGATTTGCCCCGACTACCCTGATTTCACGCATTTTTAGCAAGGACCGAACGCTTTTCCGCAAATGATCTCTGCGAGCTTGCTCTTATGGATTTTGGGACTTCGATGGTCCTTTAAAACGGAAATAAGATTTTTTTTGTTTTTTACACGTTAACTTAACTAGAATTTTTCAAACATTTTTATAGTCCCGCGATCGATCGAATGTGAGGAGGATTGTTCCGCGTCTTTTCGATGCCCTCTCCACTTCTCTGCCCTCTCTCACTCCCTGTGCTTTCTCTGTTTCTCTGTCTTCTCCTTCTCTGCCCCCTCCCCCTCTCAGCCTCTGTCTTCTCGCAGGCCATCCAGGCGTGTCGGCTGAGATGTGCCGAGTCTACCATTGTAAGTTGTAGTCTAACGGAGCTTGCCCGACTTAAATGGTCCTTTAAAAGGGGACGTGGCTTGTGAAAATCTATATGCGATTTTTTTAGGCATTTCCCCTTTCCCGTGACGAGACGACGTGGCCGCCAAATTTACTGCAGCTCTGTGATTACGGGTGTCGCGTCCAGGCGGTGGGTTTCATCGCGTAATTGGTTGACTAGCTGTCGTAATCGGTTGATTTTCATAGCGTAATCGATTGATTTTAATGGCGTAACCGATTACGCTTTTTAAGTGCGAGACGGGCTGCGCTGATCTGGATGGTCCGGTTTCAACCTGTGCGACGCGGTGCCAGCTCGAAGCCGGCTCGGAGAGCTGCCGCCAGGGATGCCACGCCGTCGAGCAGAATTTCGTCGCCCAGCTGCAGGGTACGGTATCCTATGAGGCGTTATGACTTTTTAGAGGTTGTCGACAAGGCCAGGATCCACCAAATGGACGACCCAGCTACCGTCCCCTCAGACGTTACCCTGGCACCCGAAACCTCGGCGATGCGGGTGTCATTTGGAGACGAGTGGAACCTTGTTGTTCAGGAGGTAGGCTAGCAAGGGCAGCTAGGGAACGGGCGCAAGCAAGCAGAGACCATCTGCCAATTCTAGGTCTCGGCCCTCGAGGTCCAATGGTACATCCAGAGTCGCTCAACAGAGGGAAATCCCGGCTGGAAGTGGACACCCCTACCGCAGAGGGTACGTTCCAGAGATTCTTGTGGAATTGGGGATTTCTTGATTGGAGGACAGTCTAGCCGAAACCATTTACCCTACCTTTTTCTAGAGCTTCCGCAACATCTCTGCAACCTGCGTAGTTGGCATCCCACGTGAATCTTCTGTCGAGGTTATAGTTTGTAGCCTACAGCTTGTAGTCCGTATTTTAGAACACGGCTCGTCTAGCTATCGGGTGGCGAGGCCGGGTAGTCGTTTCTCCGGCTACGAATTGGCGGCTCGACCCGGAAAAAGTGATCCCGAAGGTTCAGGTACCCTCAATTCAGGTACCCCATGGGTTGCCCCGGCTACCGTAATCCCTGGGTTTTTTGGAGGTTTGGGGTACCTGAAAATTCAGGTAGCCCAATTCAGGTACCCACCGCCCGTTTTCAGTTCAGCAGCGGGCTACAACTATCTGGTGACATGTATTCGGTGTGCTGGCTGTCAAATAGACACCAGGTAAGCTGATATTCCTCAAAGAATCTTTGCTGGCCTGCCGGGCCCGATTCCCGAGCAGGAAGGTGGCTGAATTTCCCAATTCCTAACGGATCTTTGCTAGCTGCCCTTTTCAGGGCCAATTTCGCGTGGCGCTCGCCAAACTGGATGATCAGCCGCTCGATGAGCAAAACACAGACTCCACCTGTCACTTGTTGAGGGTGCGATAGTCTTGGGGTGCCTAAATTTGTAATTTTTTGCGTTTTTTAAGAAAATCCCACGCGAGAACTGTTGCAAGGTGACGATAGCCGACGTCACGGACAGCCCGGAGAATCCTGGGCTACAGACTACACACAGCTTCGAGATGGAGGAAGTGCCGGAATTTCCGGGTCCGTCCGCGGGGCTGCTCTGGACAAACGGGACACACATTGAGCGGCTCGCTGATATGGACGATTTCACGCTGTCTCGGCAGCCCCTTTTGGTGCCGTTCGATTTGGCGCTGGAGGACAGGATTTCAGGTACATTCTAGGGTGTTCGAGGGTTCGAATCCTGGGCGCAACAAGCTTTTTGCTTTTTGCTTTTCTCGCCGAAATTTTTCCCTAGAATTATCTACTGGGAGTCAGACCAGCTAGCTGTCCCAGTGCCTTTAGAATTGGACTTTTTAGCACTGGTCGGAATCTCGGAAGAGTTGATCGTCGTCGGGACGGAGCATGGCGGAATCTGGATCGTTCCTACCCCAACGCCGCCCGCCTTGCCAATATTTGAGGATACGATAGTCGAGGCGGTGACTATGGAAAATACGACAGGCACCCTAATGACGTCAACAACCACAACTACGATCCAGACTACAGTAGCCGATCAGGAAGGCGAGGTAAGTGCCTTTAAAGGGGCAGTGACACCTCAGAAATTTCAGTCCGACTCCCACCCGACCCCGCCAGCGCTGCCCACCTCCGTGAAGCTGCGCGAGCCGGATGGAAGTGAGATTACGCAGATTGTTCATGGTAGGTCGGGATGGCCAAGTGGCTAGCGATGTTGGTCAGCAGGCAAATGACCCGGGTTCGACCCCCGGCCGCGGCAAACCTTTTGCTTTTTGGGCTTCAAGCTAAAAAAACTTGTGCCAATTGCGTTTCTGGGATCCAATTCAGCAGTTTCCTGTTTTAAAGCGCGCAGCATGCCAAAATCCACGGCTTGTAGCCTCGCGTTTGCATTTGTAGTTTGTAGCTGAGTTGAAGCTGAGCTGATAATTACCTTTCTGGCAGCCAGTTCAGCACTTTCAAGTTTTAAAGGGCCCGGCAAGTCAATGCTCTCAGTTTTTAGCCTGTATTCTAGCCTTGTAGTCTTATTGTACTTTGTAGTTTGTAGTCCCAGGGGGTCATCCATTTATTCAACTCGGAGATGTGTGTGTACGTAGCCAAGGGGGGAGGGGATGATCCATGACAAAGAAGAAGAGAGAGAATAAGGTGATGCCAGAGAGCGAGACAGCCAGAGAAAAAAGAGCGCGAGAAAGTGGGCGTGGCTTGTAGTTTGTAGCCGGTCGTCGGGCGGGGCGGGGTTGTAGTTTTGTAGCCGCGGTTGTAGTCTGTAGTCTCTCTTCTCTCACTTCTGGTTGGCAATCTTGGCCAGCTCCTCGGGCGACATGTCCGGGCATTGCTCGTAGCTGTAAAGGAATTTTGTAGTTTGTATTTTGTAGGCTGTAGCCTGGTGCTCACCCGTTGTCTCCGCCCTCCTCCTTCTTCTCCTCTTTCTCCTCCTTCTTCTCCTTCTTCTTTTGCGAGCCGCCTCCGCCCGCGGCGCCGCCTGAAGCCGCTGGAGCGCCCGGGGACTGAAAGTGGAAAGTTGGCAACGGGATTTTAAAGCTGTTTAAAAAGCGATTAGTCTCATTAATGCGCGTGCCTTTAATCTGCCATCCAATCCACTTGGGGAAAATTTCGAGTTTGTAGCTGCTTTCTAGCCGCTAAACCTAGGGTCGAGGGTTCGATCCTGACCGGGGTCGCAATTTTTTGCTTTTTGCTTTCGAGCTCGTGCTCCCCAAGGGCTTAGGGGAGGGAGGTCACTCAACTGCAGCCCGCCCCTCCCCCTCGCCTCCAAAGAGTGAGCGAGAGAGCGCCACATCGAGAGAGGGGTTAGAGACGCAGAGGGGTGGGGGGCGGGCTAGCAGAGAGCGTTTGCGGAACAACTCGTGCTCCTTTCGGATATCTCCGGCTTCTCCTCCTCTCCCCCAAATACCTTTGTTGGGAGCTGGCTTTCCGTGCCGGTGCGCGACATCAGCATCGACTCGGCCGGCTTCTTTTGGCTGGCCGTCGAGGATTCGCTCTATTTTAGGGTGTCTGTAGGGGTACTGTAGGTTTAAAAATTTGAAATGGGTTTAATTCGTTAGGCTGGGTCCCAGTAATCCCAAAGAGCCATAAAAACCTTTAAAATCTGCAGTTTAAAGGAACCGGCAATTCAGGTACCCAAATTCAGGTACCCTAGGCTTTAGCGTTATCCCTGCTTTTTTAGCTCCAAAACTTTGGCAATCCATTTGCTGCCATGCAAGGCTACTGTATGCAAATTTGGAATGCAAAAACAATAAAGTTTTAATGCCCAAAATTCAGGTACCCCAATTCAGGTACCCTCAAGACGAGAGGCCCCAGACCGTAATCCCTTCATTTTTAAGCTACAAAACCAATGAATTTCGGTTAGCTGACCATCAAGCTATTTTGTCAAGCAAAAAAATGTTCAAATACGCCTACCGTACCCCCCACTACAGTACACCCCAATTACGATACCGGTACGGCGGATGAGGGTCCAGCGGATGCGGTGCCCATCTGTGAGGGGCTGGCCTTCTTCTTGCCGCATTTGACCATCGAGAGAAGCCCGACCACCGTCCAGCCCATTACGCTCGCCAGCCACGTCCACATTTTGCGACTCTTCTGAAAAGGAAAAGATTTTGAGGAATTTCTGATTGGGCAAGCTAGCAGACACAATTTGCATCCCAAAAAAGTACCGTACCTTTGTAGGAGATGTGTGTTAGCAAGCTCAATCGGCGAATACACGAGTTATGAAATGGGCCGGAGAGAGGCGGAGTAATTTTTAACCGGAAACGCATGGAAATCTGGGGGTATTTCCGGCTTGGCAGGCAGGCAGGCTAAATGGCAGAATTCTAATTAATTTATGCAAATTTTCGATCTAAAAAGAATAAAAATTAACGTGGAAAATGCTCAACATTTTTTGGCGATTAGTGGGCCAGGTGGGTGGCGTGTCGGGGGTCAAAAACAGCCATGGAAACATCGTCTTATTCGATGCCAGTTAAGCTTACAGTACCGAAAGAAAAATTTTAAAGGGGCTGGGACACCCGGCAAATCTACAACAATCCAGTTTCAGACCCGATGCAGCGCATGGTGTACGCGCTGCTATCGAAAAAGGGGCTGTTGCGCTGTGGGATGGACGGGGGGCCGTGTACCTTCCTGAGGACCGACACTCCAATGCAGTACGTCGCCGTGGACAGCTGGAATGGGTGGGTTACGGTCTTCAAAATTACAGAAAAATTGGGCTACAAACCAGAGAGCTAGATAACTTTAAAGGGACAGTGACACCTAGAAAAACGAGAAATTATTTCTCGCATTCCAGTTTCGTCTATTTTATCGGCCCTGAGGGTACTGTAGTGCAGGCCGAGCTGTTCTCCTTCAACGCCACCGATTCCTACGCGTTCCAGCGGACTCGGGAGTTGCCAGGTGCCGAATTACCTATCGTAATCGGGTAACCCTACAATTTTTCAGAGCTCTCCCCGGCTGTGGCGATGGAGATTGACTACAGGGAGCAGCAGCTGGTCGTCATCCTGCAAAATGGTACGCTAAAGGGAGCGGGAAGCCGTGCTTTTTGGGGTCAAGGGTTCGATCCCGGCCGGGGTCGTAACTTTTTGATTCTTGCTTCATGCTTTTGGTGACACGATCCCTTTAAAGGCTCTGTGTTCGGCCGAGACATCGTCAGCGGAAATATGAGCCTGATTCGCGACGGATCCTACATGGCCGTCACAAAAATGCATCTGGCGGACGGGCGATTGTTTTGGACCGGGAAAAAGGTGATTTTTTAACTTTCTTTCTGCGGTAAATTCCCGTCTTTTGATGTATTACTTGCGATTGTTGAGAATTTGGGGGTACCTGAATTGGGGGTACCTGAATCGAAGGTTTCTTATTTGAGGGTACCTGAATTGCCAGTTCCTCTAAAATCAAAATTTTGATGTTTTTGTCATGAATTTGGGCATAATACATGGCAGTTAAGCAAGTTTGCAAGGATTTCAGACGTATCGATTTACGTTTAGTGCGGCGAGAACGCGCTGGACGAGGTGTGCTTCTACTCGGAGGAGCCGAGCGACGAGGGGATACATTTTTCGAGGTGGGGCTTCGTTTTCCATACCTTATCCGATTGTTCAGGTACCTCCTCACCGGTCAGCTGGTCGATTTTTCGCTGGTGTCTGCACCATTCTACCCCTGCTGTCTCCCCGCCCCTGAGCATATCGGCTTCATGCCAAATGGGCTGGAGGCCCGGGTTACGTGGCCGTTGCTTCCGGCAATGGCATATCAGGGTACTCTAGTTTGGGATTTGGAGTCTAGAGCTCATTCCGGGGAATGTTGTAGCCCTGAATTGCTACAGTAGTTTAATTTATAACCTTGTTAGAGTTTGTGATCCGTAGTTTGTAACCTGTATTTTGTAGTTTGTACTTTGTAGCCTACCCCCTCCATTTCAGCGATGGGTGAGGGCTGGCGCAACGTGCACTACGAATGTCGCCTCGAGGCCGTCGATGGCTCGCTCAGCCAGACACAACACACTAATGGCAACGATTTGGTAGGCTACAGACTACAGACTGCAAGCCAAAAACTCCAGGTATTCCCCCTGGGTGCTGCTGTCGAGTATACAGTATCGGTACGCGGCTGTACGCTCCACATTTGCAGCCCGTTCGCCGAGAAGAACGTCACCATGTTCAAGGGGTACACTGGTGAGTTTTCGGGGTGTCACTGTCTCTTTAAAACAAATTTCGAGGTGTCACAACCCCTTGAACCCAATTTACAGCCAACCCAGCCTATGCTATCCAAAAAACCGGAAACTCCCCCGAAACCCTTGATCTGCTAGGGCAACCCATCGCCCTGGAACCGTTACGTGAGTTATTGGAGTTTGTAGCCTGTAGCCAACCGGACATTGCAGTATCGGGACTGCCCGCTATCCTACCTGCGATCTTGGCCATCGACAACACCACCCAGACGCTCTACTCGACGGCTGGGAGCGAGACGGTACCTGAATTTTTCGGAACTTTAGCTTACACATCCCTTTAGAAGTTTGTGGGATGCGTCGTTGATGACGGTTAGCCAGTTGACCGCTTCCAAAAAGAAAAATGATGGAAAAATTGAATTTTTAGTTGATTACGCTAGGGTACCTGAATTTGAGAAATGCATAAATCCTGACTTCCAGCGCCCTTTAAAATGTTATCAGCAACGTAAACCCCTTACTGTATGTATACCAGTTTACAGGCCAAGATCGTCAAAAACCGATTGCCAATCTCGCAAGGGGGTCCGGAGGCGAAAGACGAGACTACCGTACTCCTCGAGTACTTCCGCCCCTCCTCTGCGGCTCTGATGGCGTCGCGGGCACTGCTCGTGCTTTCCTCTCCCTATGAGCTGGTCTCCTACCGTATCACTGGGACGCTGGATCAAATGTGGGTTTTGAGGGGAGCAAGAGCTAACCGATTACGACATGTAATTTTTTAGAGGAGATTTTTTGCTTTTTTGTTGGGAATGGGTTAAGTGATAAGCCAATTACATCAAATTTGTAGTCAGAGTACAGGCTACAAACTACAAAACCCCCAAAATTCAGAATCTACGCCTGCTCCTCATTGGACGTTACCGTATGCGCGGAGGTGATAGCCGTGGCGACGGATGAGACAACGGGGGACATTTTCTACTTGACACAGGTGGGTCAGCAGAGATTCTTTGAGGAAAATGAAACTGGGTCGAAAAATCAAGTTTTTAGTTGTCAAACGGAACGGTGCAGCTCTATCAGGTGGATCCGGTTACGCGGTTGCCACAGCACCTGGCATCGTCATCCGAATTGCCAAGGTATAGACTGCAAACGACAAACTGGACCACAGACTACAAAATACACTATAAACTACCAATTTGATCACCGGCTACAAACTAGACAATCGGCTACAGACTACAAACTAGCCTGCAGACTACAAACTTTATCCTAGGCTACAGACTCCCACTTCAGAATCTCGCAAATGGCCGTCGCCTACGACAAGCTACTCCTGTTGACGGCCGACGAGGGACGTGTCGGCATTATCGATCGAAAACTGGACTCTCTCGATCTGAACTGGGTGGTAGAAGGGGTAGGTGATGCTCAAGGAATCCCTGCTAGCTTGCCTCTTTCAGATCTCCCAGCTGATCCCCATCTGGCCCACGTCCACGAGCAATCGCTTCGACTTCAAGGGGGATGTGCTGATGGGGGAAGTGGTACGGTAGCTAGAGGCGAGGCCACGCCACTTTTAAAGGGAGCGTGACAGCTAGCTTTTTGAGCCATATTGTAGTGTGTAGTCGGCTCTGTAGTTTGTATTTTACAGTCCGGTTTGTAGTTTATAGTCCGTCGGCAATCGGGTAGTTTGTAGTTTGGCGTTGTAGTTTGTAGTCTGTGCGCCAGTTAGGATTTTGTAGTCAGCCGGACAATTTGTAGGTTTTTATTCCAGAGCCAATTTTCGAGCTGTTAGTCGATTTTCAGGTGAAAAACGACCTCACCTGGACGCCAGTTACACCTAGACGAGACAACGGATCGATTCTATACCAGGTAGCTGCTTTAAAGGGACCGCGACACCTAGAAAACGGCCATTTTCAATGCATTACGCCATGAAATTCTTTCAAAACTGCTTATTTTTCTAGATTTCCATATGGCGAGACGAGCACGACGATCCCTATCGCTCGTTCTCACTGGCTCCCGTCTATACCGTGCCCACCGAATTGCTCGAGAAATGGGACAGCGCACAGGTGTTCTCATCTCAGGTGACAGGTACTGTATCTCTTTCCTTTTCTCTCTCTCTCTCCTCGCACTCTGTCGCTGTCGCACTCTCTCTCTCTCTCTCTCTCTTCCTCTCTCTCTCTATCTCTCTCTCTCTCTCTCCTTCTCTCTCTCTGTCGCTCTGTCTCTCACTCGCTCTCTCCCTCTTCACTGACTGCCAGGATAGATGAGATGAGATTCTGAAAGTCTGAAGAAAAGCAAAAAGTCTGCCGCGGCGGGGAGTCGAACCCTGGTAGCCAGATTGGTAGGCGCCGCCGCTAACCACCAGGCCATGGGTTCGGGCGTTGGAATTTTGTAACTCGTTATAGCAATGAACGCGTGGACGTCGTTGAACATCTCCAAGTCGGGCCTGGTGGCTCCGACGAAGCCGCCGAGCCCTCCGATGGCAACCAGGATTTTTGCTACGCAACAGGTTGTAGTTTGTAGTTTCGGGAATTTCATCGCGTAATCGGAACGAAAATATCAACAAACTACAGACTACAAACTCCGACGTCAGCAATACTTTTTTGCAGAAAATGGTAGACGGCGCCCGGGCGATCATCTCGTTCTTCTGGGGTGCACCGAAGGAGTGGAACGGGAGGCCGTTGAGGTACCGTATCCTCAAGAATCACTACTAGCCTGCCCCTATCCTTCCAGATATGTGCTGAACTGCACGAAGCAGGACGACGGGGCCGAGAATCTTGTGGCGCTCGACTTGCCCCCGGCCGTCACCTACTACTCGTTTGCCGTCAAGAGCGGGAAGGTCAGCAAAAAAATGAGAATGATCGGATTTTAAAGGGATGGTGACACCTGGCTAGGGCATTCGATTACGCTAAGTAATTCTACGTGGAATTTGGTCTTTTTAAGCTTCCTAATTTTAACCTGGCAACCAAATATCCAAATAATGCAAAAAAAATTGGACTTTAAAGGGACAGCGACACCCCTCCCCTATTCGATTACGCCATGTAATTCAGGTCTCGTGCGCGGTAGCCGCCTCGAATGAGCCGTCAAACGTTGGAGACTTCTCAGCACCATTATCGATCGACAGCTCCGAATTGCGACCACTGGTAGGGGGCAGGCTAGCAGAGATTCTTTGAGGAATATTTTCAGGTCCGTCTCTTTGCCATCGATTCTTCGAATGATCTCTTTGCCGTCCCGAATATCACTGATGGTTATCAAGCGCGAGTGACGAGAGAGCAGAGGACTAGAAGAGAGAAGAGACAAAACACGGCGCCGTCGGTCGGTTTTAAAGGGGCGGTGACACCCGGGTTTTCATGTCGTAATCGATTACGATAGGTTTTGTGGCTCCGAATTTTTTAGGATGGGTTTTCTGGTTTCCAGAAAAGCTAAATTCGAAGTTTTAAAGGCTCAGCGACACCTAGAGCCTAGTTAGAATTTCATAGCGTAACCGAATGTTTCCAGCTGCACTACCAAGCCATGGCGTTCATCGAGACGAACCTGTACGCCGTTGGGTTGGAGCCAGGCTCGGTCCATCCGAGTCTCGTCCAGCTGGATACGAACAATATCTCCAGCCTGCAGCACAAGGTAAGAATTTCCAAGTGTTACCATCCCATTAAACGCAAAAATGCCAAAATGATCGCTGCTAGCCCCCTATCAACTAGCAAGGCAGCAGAGACCATTGAGGAACCTATTCTGAGCTTTTGGAGCAAAAAGTCTGCCACGGCCGGGAGTCGAACCCGGGTCGTCAGATTGGCAGGCGAGGCCACTAACCACTTGGCCACGATTTTTTGGGCCGTTTTTGAACAATGCATTTCCTTAAGGTTTCCCTGACCGGGGACTTCCCGCCAATCGTCGCCATGGCCTCCGATTGGGTCGGCTTCCGACTGCTGCTGCTCATGGGAAAAGCCCTCTATCAGGTTGGCGTTTTAACTTAAACGCCGGCTTAGGTTTTACCTTGTAGAGTTTTTTAGGCGCTTTCGAATGATACCAAAATACCGTAATCCTGGAGCAAGTTATAGCCATTTAAACCCCACCCCCCGACTACAAACTACAATCGACCGTATCTCGGTGTAGGAATGTTCGCTTTGAATGATTTTAAGCTTATTTTGTCGCGTTTTTCAAGGGCTTTCAAATGAGGTATATGGCATTGCGACATATAATTCCTCGAGAAAGTTATAAGCTCTCAGAGTTCGCATCCGATTACGCCATCAAATCCCCTCCCCAGTCTTCAATGGGCCTTTAATTTTGAGGTGACGCTGGATCCTTTTCTCTCCTCAGCCATCTTGGCGCCGAAAAAGCTCGCGGATCTCTCCCTCGGCTCCTCCGATCCGAAGCAGCTCACCTACGATCCGTTTACAAGGTTTGTAGCTTGTAGTTTCTAGTCTGTAGTCTAACGTAACATTTGCAGTACGGCCTTCATCCTCACCCTGAACGGCTCGATCTTCTCGTACGATCTGGCGAAGGGCGTCGAGCGGAATTTGGCGCACACCGTACTCTGCCTGGCCACCGAGACGGTCACCTGGATGACGACTGGTGGGGAAGTTTGGAGGGTGTAGTTTGTGGGTTTAGGCTAACTGGATGGCAGATAAGCGAATTTCACAAAAATAACAAGGTTTTCGCGTCGTAATTAACTTGCGTAGTCAGTTCCTAAACTCCGGTTGTTGTAGTTTGTAGTCTATCGTTAACTTTCAGAATTCACGTGGAATCGCCCGGCGTCCCCCAAAATCTACGCGCTGACGTGGAACGGGATTCTGGAGGTGAGATGACAAACTACAGACTACAAACTTCACTAGACTACAAACTACAAACTACAAACTACAAACCACAAATTCCTCACAATTTTCAGATTGAGCTCGACGGACGTTGCGGCGAGCTGAAGAGTATCGACTGGACCAAGTTTGGGGGTACGCCACGGGTTTTTAAAGGGCTGGTGACACCTAGGAGGGTCGCCGGATTTAGGTGTCGGTGTGTTAGGAAAGCTAGTTTTTAAAGTTTTGATAGCATAATTGGCTTAAGTGGCAGCCAGCAACGCCGGCTAGAAAATTTTAAAGACGTGGCGACACCTAGAGTCCGCTTTACAATTACATGTCGTAATACATGTCGTAATCGAATGTTATTTCCTCAATTTCCCCTGCAATCTATCCCATTTCAGAGCGCGGCCTGAAATCGTTGAACGCGTTCTCCATTGCCGACAAGATGTTCGTGTTCTCCTCCCCAACAGAGCTGCTCCTCTACAATCCAACTGACACCTCCATCCACCCAATCCCCATCCCCCATCCACCCCTCCGGCAGATATTGGCCGCCAGCCAGAGCAGTCAGCCGTATCCGGGTCAGTTAGAAAATTACGACATAACAAAAACCGAGAAAATGCTACGGAATTTTTGGAAAATTTTTTTAATCGTTTTTTTTTCGGAAAATTTTATGTCGTAATCGATTGGAAAACCTTATTTTGCGCTTAATATTATTATGGAGGCTTTCTGGAGGCCAGAAAAGCTATATCCAAAATTTTAAAAAGGCACAGCGACACCCTGGACCCAGTTTGCATTGACTGGCGTAACCAATAAACCCGATTTTCGGATAGTAATCGTTTTAAAATAGTTATTCTGCTCTCGAACTTTGTAGATAAGTTTTCTGGACTACAGTAAATAGGTATGCCAGCTTTTAAAGGCACAGCGACACCCTACACCTAATTACAATTTTATGTCGTAATCGATAAACCCTTTCAGACCGTAAATGCTTTTCCCTGCCAGCCTCATCGCAGATCAGCTTCTCCGTCCATAACGAGGGCCGTACGGGGGCCGCAGTGCGTATCGATCGACCCCCAGTCGTCCCGGCATGCTCTGCCATATCCCTCCCCACTACCGTATACGATGTGAGGCGTTTAAAGGGATGGTGACACCAAGCGTCTAGTTAGAATTGGGTGCCGTAATCGATTCCCCTATTTTCAGATCTTCTTCAACCGAACCGACAAATCGCGGGTGAAGCACATCGAGAGTTACGCCGATCAATATCATCTGGAGGATGGGAGTCTGGATAAGGAGACAGAGTACGGTAGCTTGGGCTTAGGCTAGACACCCAGCAGACCTATTAAAGGGACGCTGACACTAGAAAATCGACATTTGTCGAAAAATGCCACGACATCGCCATTTCCAGTTATACGGTACGCGTGACGTGGAAAAACCGGTGGTCCTCCGACACTACCGCATCTGAGTCGAAGCTCTTCAGGACAGGATTCGGCTACCCGTCACCGCCCCGAAATTTGAAGGTATTTCGATGGCGTAATCGAATTTCTGGGGGTATCTGATTCTAGCTATAGATTTTAGCGTCGTAATCGATTCTGAGCCAGTTTTTCGATATTTTAGGCTTATAAATGGTCTATCTGGGAGGCAGAAAAGCGGATCAGAGCGTTTTAAACGGGCAGCGACACCTAGGCCCTGGGTAGAATTATATGTCGTAATCGAATCTCGATTTCTGGCTCAAACCCGACTTATTTTGCGATTTTGATGTCGTAATCGATTCGCATGGTGCCAGTAGGCCCTTTGGAGGCAGAAAACGGCTCTAAAAGTTTTTCAAGGGATGGTGGCACCAAAAATCTGCAAGAATTACATGTTGTAACCGGTTGCTTAGAGCAAGCTAGCAAAGGTTCCTTAGGGATTTTTATGAGTATTTTTAGGCAATTTCCGTCACACCGGACACGATCCTCCTGTTCTGGCAACTGCCCGAGACCTTGAATGGCCCGGTGGAGGAGGTGAAGTACAAGCTCAGTCAGCAGGTCTCCAGCCTCTCACCGGCTTCAATTGCCGTCCAGCCATGGACGCTGAATGGTTTCTCGCTCTCAACGACTGGTAAGGGAGAAAATGTGGGCCGAATTGGATCGAAAAGCAAAAAGCAAAAAGTTTCCGCCGACGGGGGTCGAACTTGTGTAGTTAGATCGATATCGAAACGCCTTATCCACTTGGCTATGCCTAAAAGCGCTTAACTGGGTAGCAGGCATGACAATGTCACAATTTTAAGCAAAAAAGCAAAAAGCAAAAAGTTTTCCACGCCCGGGTGTCGAACCTGGGTTGTTAGATTGGTAGGCAAGACACTTAGCCACTTGACTATCAGCAAAATAGTTCACATGCCTGTCAGATCCCTTAAAAACCTCATTCCAGACGTGGTCTCATGCCTGGAGAGCCCGTGTCGGGTGAAGATCTCGAATCTGCGTGCCTCTACAGACTACAAATTCTGGGTTTCGGCTGTGCACCAGTCCCATATGAACGCCCCGTTTTCGCAGGATGCAGAGGCGCTTAGTCAAGAGGCGCCGGCCAGGACAAAGGCATGGATTTGGTCTTCACTGGACCTTTAAAAGGAGAGATGGATTTTGATGTCGTAATGCATCGAAAAAGCTCGATCTTTGTAGCTGTCACAACCCCTTTAAAATGACGAGCTTTTCATGTCGTAATGCATTGAAGCCTGTAATTCAGGACATTGCCGGCACCCTGCGCCCTGACAACGTAACCGGCTCCTCCCTGCTGTTGAGGTGGAACTCCCTCCAACCTGAGCAACCCCCGAAAGCCGTCTCCATCCAGTTCAAGGAGGTCGGGAATACTGTAGCTTGGGATTTTTTAACGAGAATTGCTGAACTGGCATACAATTTGGCTACACGGGGCAAAAAATCTGACTTTAAAGGAACGTTGAAGCCAACCTTTTTCGAGGGTACCTGAATTGGATCTGCTATGGATTTTTTGCTTCAACCCTCCTTAAAAATATGTCCTTTACATCAAGAATCTACTAACTGGAATCTAATCTGGCTAATCAATAAAAAAAATTGCATTTAAAGGACCGTTGAAGGCAAACTCTTCCGAGGGTACTTGAATTGGAAATGCTATGGATTTATGGCTTCAGCGGTCCCTGAAACTAGATTTTAGGAGTGGGAACCTATTAACTGAAAAGAATACGTGCCACCTATTTGGGAAACGAGATTCGAAAGGGCCGCTGAAGGCGAAGTACAGCGAGAGTACCTGAATCGTACTAATTTTAGTCTGGCGGGCACGGGGAGTGGAAGACGCCGAAAAACGCGTCGTTCGACCCTCGGGAAATCCGGGCATCGATCGGGATCTTGATCGCGAATCTACTGTCTGCCACTTCCTACGATTATCGTTTCGTTGCCGTGTATAAAGGTATCTTCTCGGAATTAGATGTCGTAATCGTTTACGCTATCAAATTCCAGGAGGCTTCGATTTCGACAGCAAGCACTACGACTATACCGAGGACTACTTCCAGGGCATCCAGCAAGCACGCACAAAGGGTACAAACTACAAAAATTGGTTTAAAGGGCCGTTGAAGTCAGGAAGTGGGCGGGACCTATCAATCTCTGCTAGCTTGCCATTTTTGATAATTTTTTGAGCATGTCGTGCTTTATGCATGGCAGTTAGCAAGAGAAACGCAAAAACCGAGTCTGGTGGTTTTTAAAGGATCACTAAAGGCACCTTTCCAGCCGGGACCCCGACGGAGCCCCAACTCGTGGCTGTTCGCCAGAATCCCGACGGCTGGGTGGTCGAGTGGCAGCCGCCGAACTCTGATGGGGGCAGCATAATCACGAGCTACGCCTTGGAGGTAAGCAAAAAAGCAAAAAGCAAAAAGCAGAAAAAATTTGCCGCGGCTGGGAATCGAACCCGTGACCCAAAAATCGTGAAATATCCATATTTTTTTTGCTTAAAAAGTCTTTAAAACACCTTTTAAAAAGCTACCGTAATCTATTCCAGATGCGCCCTAACCACACGGCGGAATGGGAGATTGCCGAGCGGGGGCTGGATGGGCGGGTGTTTTGGTGAGTCACGCAGCGAGACGCTGCCAAATCTCAAAAATGACATCTGGCCCCGGTTTATTCGCGCGGATTTTGTAAACGGACTGCCAGTTGGCCCATTTCCGCTTTGAAAACTGAAAAATATTTAGGTGGCGCCCTCCAAAGCCCGAGTGGGCCCCGCATTGGCAATTCCGGGTTCGAGCTGCGAATCAGGAGGGCTTTGGCCCCTATAAGGAGACACCGGTCTGGCCGGGTACGGTAGTTTTTGAATTTTTTGCTGATCTGGACGCTAGAGAAGCTTTTCGGAAAGTTTTGGCCAAAAAGCAAAAAGCAAAAAATTTGCCGCGCCAGGGAATCGAACCCGGAACGTTAACTTGGCGATCTAACGTCTTAGCCACTCTGCCATCCACGGAACTCCCATTTTTCAGAAGACCTCGAGGTGAAGCGCCCGTTCCCGTGGCTAATCGGAAGCGCCATCGCCTCGGCCCTGCTCCTCATCATGGTCATCGCATTCTTCTTGATGGGTGGGCTGGCACGGTCTCTACACAAATTTAATTTTCTTTTTGGGATATCTTTTCTGGATGCCAGTAGCTTTAACCAGCAAGTTTTTAAGACATTTAAAAGCCGTTTAGAAACCAGGGTACCTGAATTGTCAGGTACTTGATTTGGGGTACCTGAATTGGCAGTTGCTCTCATGGCCCCTCGAAAGCTTAAAAATCCGATATTTTGGTTTCGATTTGCTTTTCTGGCTCGCATTTACGGCATTGAATACATTTTTGCCAAATCTAACTAAATTCTGACCGTTCTGGGCCAGGGTACCTGATTTGGGGTCCTGTATTGGCGCCTCGCTGTCTATGCGCCCCTTTAAAACGGCGAATTTCTTTTGCAACTTGAAATAAGCTTTCTGAATGTCAGTTAAGCGATTCGTCAGGTTTTTAAAAGATTCTCATCTATCCAGCGGTATCTAGGCTAAGGTACCTGATTCAGCGCGTCGTCGTCAAGTTCGGGAGCGCCAACGGCGGCCGCGCGTCGACGACAAATCAATCACGCTGGACGCGATCGGGCAGCTGGACGCCCATTTCGGGAAGGCGACTCGCGAGATGCCGTCACAGATTGCACACGAGATACGGAGTACGGTAGAGCCATGCGGGGCTGCGGTTTCCAGAATCATGACTTTTAATTTTTTTATCCAATTTTTCGAAATTTTAAGCTCAATCGCTAGGCCGCCACTCAGTGAAGCATCTCAGCATCAACTCTACGCTCAAAATTTCCAGATCTTCCCCAAATCCCGCGTGACCGTATCCGGCTCGTCCGCCAAGTTGGCGAAGGCCAATTTGGGAAGGTCTTTGAGGGAACGGCTCTGTTGGATCGAGACTCGACGGAAGTGGGAGTGGCCATCAAGGTCCGCTAGCAGGGGTTCTTTGCCGAATTTTCAATTTTTCAGCGTCTCCACGACAAACCGGACGCTGAGACGAGGATGAAGTTCTTGAAAGAGGCCATTTTGATGAAGTACGGTAGTCCGCTCAATCCTATGCTTCTACCTGTCTGCCAGTTAATCTATACCTTTAGTAATTTCGATCATCCAAACATCGTGCGCCTCGTCGGGGTGTCGTTTGGGGAGGAGCCGCAGCTATTGCTCCTCGAGTTGATGTCGGGAGGGAATATGCTCGCGTTTCTGAGGCAATGGTTGGTGCTCTCTCTCTCTCGCTGTCTGCCTGTCTCTCTCGCTCTCTCTCTCTCTCTCTCTCTCTCTCTCTCTCTCTCTCTCTCTATCTCAACCCTTTCTTTCTCCAGCCGTCCGGTCGACGAGGAGCCACGAGACCGGCTGACCATCAAGGAGCTTCTAACAATGATGATGGATATTGGAAGGTAGGTGGGAAACCGAGTACGACAATAAGATTCAGGTACCTGAATTGGGGTACCTGAATTTTCAGGTACCCTAGCACTTTACCTTGAAAATGGACCCTACAAGATCGCGTTTTTAGAGGCGCCTCCTACCTGGAGCAGCTGCGGCACGTCCATCGCGATCTGGCTGCGCGGAACTGCTTGCTGACGTCGCGGAAGGGAACCCGCCACGCGAAGATTGGGGATTTCGGGCTGACGAGAGTGGTGCAGGGGAATGACTACTGGCAGATGAGGGGCACCGACTTCTTGCCGTTCAGGTGGCTGGCACCGGGTGGGTTTCCGAAACGATTACGGGATAAAAATAGGAAGAATTTGATGACGACGTGAAATTAGCGGAAACTGGCTGTCCCACTCCCTTTGAAAAGAAAAATCCCGATCCGATTACGCCATTAAATTACAGAGGCCGCCTCGCTCGGGTTGTTCAGCTCCAAATCAGACGTCTGGTCGTACGGGGTGCTGTTCTGGGAGGCGTTCACCCTGGGCGATGTCCCGCACGGCGGACTGGCCGATGAGACGGTAGGTGGAGGGTCGAGGGTTCGAACCCCGCCCGTTTGCTTTTTGCTTTTTTCATCTATTTGGTAAATTCCCCCATTTGTGCAGGTGCATCAGCGCGTGAAAAGCGGCACACCATTGGCGCGGCCGCCCTATTGCCCGGAATCGATGTGAGTTCAAAAACCGAAAAAATTGAAAAATTACCTCAACCCCTGGCTGCCGTACCCTACCGTATCCTCGCGTATCCTACCGTATTCAGCTACAAATTGATGGAGTCGTGCTGGGCGTCAGAGGCACAGGATCGGCCGACATTTGCGACGCTTTTGGCCGAGATTGACGACCTCCGGGATATGCCCGAATTTCAGGTACCCAAAATTCCGGTGCCTTGTCACTTTCCCTTTAAAATTAAACTCGGTGTATCTTGAATTTTATAAAATGCTGCATGCCTGCCAGCGAATAGATTACGCTATTGAAATTAAATAAATCTAACCAATTACGTGAGGAAAATCGAGGCGCTGCATACAGGTGTCCCCCGATTCAGGTACCCTGTCACGGAGCCTTGAAAATTCAACCCGGTGGGCCCAAATTTTTGAGGGAAGGTTGTTTGCATATCAGCTAATACATTAGACGTTTACAACCCAACGAGTTTAACCGATTACGGCATAAAAATCCAGGTACCTGCATTGGGGCACCTGAATGTTCAGGTACCCTTCGTTCCCCCGTCCCTTCAAAATCCACCAAGCGCGTTTTTTTGCAGAACGAGAAGGAGAAGTACCCAAACTGCCTCCTGGGCCCGGTGCTGACGAGAGGAGGAGGAGGCGGACGAGTGAATGAGGCATTCGAGGTGAGGTGTAAAGGGCGTTGCACCTTCATTTTTCAGGCATCGACGGCTTCCTCTTCAAGTGAGCGCGACCCGGCGCAGCGGATGATCACGGCCGCGTCGCGGGCCCTTGAGCACGCAAAAATCGGTGAGGAAATTGTTCATAGAAATTATGCAATAAAAATTAAATCTGAAAAATAAATTTTTAAAAATTGGATTTTTTATATGTAATTTAAATGGAATTTTGAACAAATTTTTGTAGATAAAGGGTCGTCGGCGGCGCGACGGCCGGGCCGACCGGGCGTCAACCGCTCCCAGCGCGCCGAGCGCACCAAGAGCAATTCGGTGGTGGGTTTCAGTTTTACTGTTTGCCTTCAATGGGCCTTTAAACCCCGAAAACATCGGTTTAACGGAGCTGAGAAGTCAAACACCAGAAGTCACGCCTACCTTTTGCCTTCAATGGCCCCTTAAAATCCGAAAAAACCCTTTTTTAGCCCAATGAGCACGACCTGGACCCGCTGTGTCTGGGCCGACAGCCCGAGGATTACGGTAGGGACTCGGGACCCCGGAATAATTTTTTTAAGCCCCGCCCCCTGCCCCACGCGTCATCAGACAGGTTACGGTACCGATGATGGGCCCGGAGAATGATGGATTCGTCGATGAGGGTACGGTAGCTCGCAAAGGATCTCTGATAGCTGACAGCCTTCCTAAAAGCTCACTGCTAGCTGGCCCTTTTCAGGAAACCTCTCTCAATCGTGGTCAGGCGGTCCAAATGCCCCCTCTCATGCTCCCCATCTGCCCTCATCCTCATCTACCCGTCATCAGGTGAGTGGCGTAGCGCTTGGGAATAGGGTTAGGCCCAGGCCTAGGCTCGGCTTAGGCTTGGCTTAGGGTTGGCTTAGGCTTAGGCTCAGGCCCGTACGGGAGCCGAGATTTCGGGGGGGGCACCCACCCAAAAAATTTTTGGCGACCTCCCCCCGGTCGCCACTTTCAAAACATTCGAAAATAGCGAAAATAACCGCGCCGCAGGCGAAAAAATGTAGAAAACCGCGTTTGTAACGCTTAAATTCGTCTGAAAACACATCGGAAACGGCGCGCGCAAGCGAAATTTTGTTTAGCTAACATGGTGCACTAATGAAAACGAGCGCCGCAGGCAAAAATTTTTAGAAAAATAGGTTTTTTAGAAGTAAAAATCGTTTCGAAACAGTGACAAACAGCGCCGCAGGCAGAAAAATTTTTGCGAAAAAAATCATAAGGGTCCCCCCTTATGAACTTTTCGGACCTCGACCGATTTCGGGGGGGGGGCACCGTGCCCCCGGTGCCCCCCCCTCGTACGGGCCTGCTTAGGCTTAGGCCTGGGCTTAGGCTTAAGCTTTGCTTGGACTTAGGTTAGGCTTAGGCTTAAGCTTCAGTTTTTCATGTCGTAATCGATTGTTTTTAGAGTCTGTCCTCGAGTCGTGGTCCCCTCGATTGGGAGGCCTCTGCGGCGTCCCGAAAATCGAAGCTGAGCCAGGTGAGCCGCGTCTGATCTCTTGCTGACAGAAGCCAACGAAAAAGCCATATTTTTACATCGTTGTTTTTATTTTTGATGCATTGATGGAATAAACGGATTACGACAAAAATGTTACTTTGCAATCGATTACGCCATGTGAAAAGAACTTGCAGAAACGTTACGGATGGAAAATAGAGCTCTCCAATCAATTACGCTTTGAACATCACTTGGAAAGACCGCTTACAACATGAAAATTGGGTCGAACCCGGTGGTCAAGTGGTTAGTGGCCTTGCCTGCCAATCTGACGACCCGGGTTCGACCCCCGGCCGCAGCAGACCCTTTGCTTTTTGCCTAAAACTATCAGAATCAGCTAGCTGGCAAAAACGGGGGTTCGGGCCCAGCCTCTGCGATTCAAATTGGTGGCAGCCCCCAGCCCGGGTGTCCGTTGGAGTGGCGCGTAGTCGATGGCAGAAAAGGGCCCTCATATATAAACATTCTATCGCCAAAAACTGCTTGATTCAAAAACTCTTCTGCTAGCGGGGGGGGGGAGGATAATTTTTACATCTTTTAACCTGAGTTTTAAGTCTAAAACTTCACAAAAAAATTTGATGTTTTAGATAGATGCGAGCTACACGGAAGTCTTCATTTTCTCCTCGAAATTTTTTCCTTTTTTGTGATTTTCCGGGGGGCAGCTAGCAGAGATTTTTTGAGGAAATTTGGGGGAGCAACACCGCGAAATCGGTTCAAAATTTGTTTTTAACCGCTAAAACCCGCTTTCTGGCTGCCAGATACCCGATTCTGAAAGTTTGCAGCAAAAGCAAAAAGACGGCTGCGGCGCGGAGTCGAACCCGGGTCGTCATATTGGTAGGCCCGGCCACTAACCACTTGGCCACGGGTTTCGGCGCGATTTTCCTGGAAATTTAGTTATCTCTGCTAGCAGCAGCGACCATTTGCCAGTGCCAGCCGTTCGGGTCTCTCTCTCTCTCTCTCTCTCTCTCTCTCTCCCATCTGCCCCCCAGTCCAGCCGTGGCCAGCAGTTGTAACGGATTGCCGCTCCTCCTCCTCCGGGGCCCCCCTCAGGGTCAAATTATCGATTTTCTGCTCGCGATTCCAATCCCCAGCTCCCCAAGCTTCTTTGCTAGCTTGCCCTTTTTTGTTGTCGATTTTTTTTGTTTGAATAAAGATTTTTACAATTTTTTTTGGATTTTTCGAGTTGTATACTGTCCTTCTAACCTATCCCTAATACTATTAATATTTGCTGGATGCTAATCACGTTTTAATATTAATTTTAATCGCTAAAAACGATTTTTCGCTAACCCGAATTACATGGCGTCATCAGTTCAAAACTCAAATTTAACGGCCTTAAACCACTTTCCGGGCTGCCATATAACCGTTTCTAAAATTTTTAAACAAAAAGCAACAAGTTTGCTGCGCCGGGGGGTCGAACCCGGGTCGTCAGATTGGTAGGCAACCCCACTAACCACTTGGCCACAGGTCAAGCGCGATTTTTTTGGAAAATTCATTTGTTTTTGTTTCTTTAAACTCGGTCTGGCTCGCTCAGACTTCTACTGGCAGCCGATCATGATCAACATGTTGAGCAGGGTATTGAGTCGCTAAAATTGTTGGGTCGGGATGTTGACCCCGAGTCGAGTCGGATATATTGGATTTTTGCCATTGTCTGTCTGCCAGTGTATCTGTCTGTCTCTCCCTCCCTCTCTCCCTCCCTCTCTCTCTCTCTCTCTTTCTCTCTCTCTCTCTCTATCTCTATCTCTTTCAATACTTTTGCAGTTTATCCGCGCCGCGTGTCCCCGAAAATTCGGCAAAATTCCGTATTTACGATTTAGAAGCGCGAGGGGGGGCTTCTCCCTTTCCGGGCCATTCCCCCCCAAAAGGATCGGATTTCCGCACATCGCCCCCGCTGGTTTCCGCTTTCCCCCTGAAATTTCCATTATTCCCCCAAGAATCACTGCTAGCTGCCCCATTTCCTCCAATAACCGCTCTAAAATTGCGTAATCGCTTCAAAACTCATTTTTTACGGCTCTAACCCACTCCCTGGCTGCCAGCTAACCAACTCCAAAAGTTTCAGGCAAAAAGCAAAACGTTTGTAGCTCCCGGGAGTCGAACCCGCGCCTCCAGATTGGTAGGCAAGGCCACTAACCTCTTGGCCAGTTTTTTTTCTGGCCTCTTTGGCCGACCCCCGTCCATTTCCGCCAAGAAACTCTGCTAGCCTGCCCTCCGGCCGGATCTGCCCCCTATTCCAATCCTTATCAGAAGCCGTGTCCGTATTCCTAGTCCAACCGCCAGAGCTAATCGATTTCCGGGCGTGGTCCCGTTGAGCTGGTGTGCTGAATTTTGAGTACTTTTTCGGTTTATTCCGGGGTTTTCGGGAGGGGAATGTCTAGTTTCTCTTTTTTCGCTGTATTTTAGGAATTTAGGCTTTGAAAATCCCTTTTGTTGCTTAATTTTAACCTTTTTCTAGCCGTTTCATAGTTTAAACCGCGTATGAACTAGATTTAAAGTTTGTAACAGGATTTGTAGCTTGTAGTTTGTACTGTTTCGAGTTTTTTTTGTAGTTTCAACACCGTATGTTTACGATTTAATGAATCCTGTAGTTTTTGTACCCTGTAGTTTACGTTTTTTGCCGGTTTTTAGCAGTTTTCTAGATATTTTGATGGTTTAAAAAGCGTGTTTAATCGATATAAAGGTTGTAACAGGTTTTGTAGCTTGTAGTTTGTATTTTACATCGTCTTTTTTGTCGCCGGTTTTTGGCTCGTTTTTAGCAATTTTTCCGGGTTTTTTAGCTTTGAAAAAGCGTATTTAGTCGATTAAAATGTTATAAATGTTTTTGTAGCCTGTAGCTTTCCTTTTAATGCTGTAGTTTAAGTTTTTTTTAGTAGAATTCTGGGAGGGAACGCGTGTAGGGCGCGGCGCAATCGAGGCGTATGATTATCGCCAATCGGCAGCAGCAGCCCCCCACTTTATTCTTTCCTACTAGCCGCCTAAACGCCGCGTCGTATCGCCCAGATTTACTTTATAAACTTGTAAAGTCGGTTTTTCTAGCTTTTCGGGGTTTCATTTTGTTTATATCGATGTATTTTAGCTTTTTTCGACTTGGAATTTGCGAAATTTCGTTGTGTTTCAGAGATTTTTCGCCTCAAAATGACTTGGAAATTTTTTAAACGCGGTTTTTTAGCTTTAATTTTGTTCTTATGCTTTGATTGCGGTTTTTCCGGCTTTCAATTGACTATATTTGCGTTTATTTGGCGATTTTACGGCTTCGAATTTCATCTTTTCATTTTTTTTAGAGTTCCAGAACTACGATTTCTGTTCTAAATCTTTTAAAATATGTCTTCCAGCTTTAAATTTTGTTTTTATAGTTTTATTTAGCCATTTTCGAGCGTGAAATTTGATATCTTTAATTTTTTTTCACTTTTTTTGACCTGAAAACCGGAAATTCATTTGGTTGTCTCGCCGAAAAGTTGGCCACTTGACACCTCGACGCTTCGAGCGCTTCAAGCAGTTTTTTTTCGGGTTTTCGACGTCTTCCGCTTCTTCTTCTCGTGCTCCATCTCCTCCTCCTGCTCCTCGAATACTCCTCCTCCTGCCGGATATCACCAACTTTTCCCTCGGCTTTTCCTGGCTTTTCCCCCGCTTCTCCCCTCGTCTTTTCAATTGGCCGCTCATCCCCGGGGGAATTCTCCGCTGAATTCGACGAGTTTTTATATTTTCTTGTCAGTTTTTAGCTTTTTAACCCTCTAAATCTTTTAAGCCGATGTGGAAACTCGAGTTTTCAAGGAAATTCTGGGGTTTTGGACCTAAAAAACGTTAAAAATTCTTGATTTCCGTGTTTTCTTAGTTTTTTTAAACACTTTTCTTGCCTGGGAAAACCTTGGCAAAGTAGAAATAAGTGTTTTACCGTGTTTAGAAACCGGGAAAAGCCATATTTTTGATTTCTTGGTTATTTTACACTTGTCTTAGCCTCGATAAAAACTGAACTAAGTATTTTACCGTGTTTAGAAACCTTCAAATTTCTTTATTTTTGTTTTCCTCTTCTTTTAAACATTTTTCTCTTGGTGAAAACATCGAAAAAGTATAAATAAGTGTTTTATCTTGTTTAGAAACCTTCAAAATACGTTTTTTGCTTTGTTTTGCTGTCTTTTAACACTTATTTTCACTCAAAACCCTTAGACAAAGTATAAATAAGCCATTTTAACCATTTCCAAGCGATGAAAAACTTGATTTTCGCTTTGATTGCTTGTTTTCCATGCCATTTTCGCCTTTTCCTTGCCAATTTCTTGGTTTTTATCCACTTTTTGTTCATTTCCAGGCGGGTCCCCCCACCGGCTGTGGCTGGTGATGAAGAAGCTATGCCGGTTGAAGAACATCGTCGCCCTGCTGCTCATTGGCTGGATCGGGGGCATCGGGTACGACTTTTTGCCGGTTTTTAGCGTATTTAGGTTTTTTGTAGGCCGAAGAAGGTCGCTAGAAAGCTTAAAAACGCCTTTTTAGCGTTTATTTTAGTTTCCAAAGTTTCTAGTCGTATTTTTTGGCGTTTTCTACGTTTTTCTGGGCTCGAAAAAGTCGTTGAAAAGTTAAAAGCTGTTCTTAGCTTCTATTTTGGCTTTGGAAAGCTTCTAGGCATGATTTTTAGCGTTTTCTGCGTTTTTATAAGCTTTAGAAGTCCAGTAAAACATTTTATAGCCTTAAATTTAGCCAACAAAGTTTCTAACAATAGTTTTCAAAGTTTTCTACAATTTTTCCTGATACTTTATCCACAAACATGATCAAGAAACGTAGAAAACTTTGAAAAACACCGTTTTTTTGCAGGTATCTGGTGATGGTCAGCCAGCACGAGGACGGGTATCGCAACAAATTGATGGTACGGTTTTTTTTGAAAGGCTCAAAAGAGGTTTTTTTAGGACGGCTGGGACGACCGGGGCGGCAAGGCGAATCTGGCGCGGTTGCGCGCGCGGGGCGCTGAAGAGGAGGCGGCGGATAGCCGAGTGCAGGTATCAGTTTTATTCTAGCTCTTTTTCGCCCGAAAAACGGAGAATTTTGATTCAAAAAATTCAGAAATCTCGATGTATTTTCATGTTTTCAGCACCCCGACGTGGCGGCAGTGGTGGTGCCGGTGAAGCTGGACAACGCCGTCATCCACCCCAAACCCCAGCCCCCGCAAACGTGGCAGCAATTCGACTCGGCCGCCTATTTGAGTGTGCGTTTTTCGACGGTCTAGACCAGGTTTTTCGCCCCGATCCCTATTCTGCAATCCGTTTTTTTCCTAAACGCCGTTTTTTTCGCGGGATTTCGGGTGTTTGGTCGAGAAAAAGACGCTGAGAAAAGGACCAAAATTGCGTGAAAACGTGCCCGAAAACTAGTCCGAATTTTTGGAAATTTTCCGATGCTTTGTAAAATAGCTACGTTATTTTTGAACGATTTTAGTGCATTTTTTAAAATCCATAGCCGCTTTTACGTATTTTTGATCAAAATTGCGCAAAAAAAGAATTTTTGGCGATTTTGACGGTTTTTATAATGAAATTGAATTCGTCAAACGAAATTTTCGTCTTTTCGAGATTTATATGTAAAACTAGTTTTAAATTTAAAAAAAATTAAAAATACGTTTTTAAACTCGAAAAACTTGATTTGTTTGTGAAATTTGTCTGATTTTTTAGTTTTTTTAAAGGTTTTTTTATGCTTACTTTTTAGGCGATTTTTATCCATTTTTGCAGCGCGGCGCGCTGAAGCCGGGCGAGGACAAGTACGCGGCCAACAAGTTCAACCAGCAAGCCGCCGACGCCGCCCGAATCGATCGCCCGATCACGGACAGTCGGGAGGGAAGGTACAGCTGGGTTTTTGGATGGGAAAAGTGAGACTGACCCATGCCAGTGACTCAGGTGATTGTGACCTTCTTGCAGTTGTCGACAAGTACAGTACGATGTCGACAGTCTCGAACCAACCGCCATCATCATCACATTCCACAACGAGGCACGGTCGACGCTGCTCAGGACGGTGAGCACCAGGGTTTTTTCGGAGTTTGTGGCCTCGAAAAATGGCTTGTTGTTGTCGTTTGTAGTCAGCTGTTTGTGTAGCTGTCTTCAGCTTTTTGTAGCCTGTAGTCTGCGTTTTGTAGCCGAATCTGAATTTTTGTGGGATCTTTGTAGCTTGTGGTTTGTCGTTTTATGCATGTATTTTGTAGCCTGATACGGTTTTTGTAGTTTGTAGTTTTCCGTGTTTTTGCACTGTGTAGTCTGGAGCTTTGTGGCCGGATACAAATTTTTGGTTTTTGTAGTTTGTAGCCGCGAATATTAGTCTGTAGTTTGTAGCCGGGATTTGTAGTTTACCTTTTTTCAGTTTTTTAGTTTGTAGCCTTATATCAATTTTTTATGTAGTTTGTAGTCCCTTTTTAGCGAATTTTCTGCTTTGTAGTTTGTAGCCTCCAATAAAATGGTCCGTTTTTTGCAGGTGGTAACGGCGCTGCTCCGTTCCCCCGCCCACCTCATCAAGGAGATCATCCTCGTCGACGATTTCTCGGCTGATGGTCCGTTTTTTTGGTTTAATTTTTAAATATTTATTTTTATAGGTTTTCCTTTTCTTTTTTTTTGTAATTTTAAGTAATTAATATCTTTCAGAAAACATTGGGAAAGAGATTGCCCAAATCGACAAGGTGACGGTGATCAGGAACACGATTCGAGAGGGACTCATCAGATCCCGGGTCAAGGTGGGAAATTAACTTTGGAAAAATTATTTGATATTATTTTTTAAAAATTCGTTTTTCGAATATTCCAAAAAAACCCCGAGTTTTTCAATTTAAAATTAAAATTTGTGTATTTTTCGAAATTTTAGAAAGGCGGAAATCTAAAATGTCGGGATGAAATTATGTAAATCTTTTTCAGGGAGCCGCCCTGGCCACAGCACCAATACTGACGTTCCTCGATTCACACTGCGAATGCAACACCCAATGGCTTGAGCCCCTCCTCAACAGGATCAAGGAGGTCGGCTAGCGGCGGAGATTCTTTGCGCAAATGGGGCACTAAAACTGAAAATATCGATTTTTTTCTACAAAAAAAAAAGAATATTTTTACGTGTTTCAAAAAATTCCCATCTTTCGCGTTTTTGAGGGCAGCTTGCAGAGATTCTTTGCGGAATTTGACGGGGCAAGCTAGCAGATAACCTCTTTTGCAGAACCCAAAAGCCGTGGTGGCTCCGGTGATCGACGTCATCAACATGGACACGTTCAACTACGTCTCCGCGTCGGCCGACCTGCGTGGAGGTATCGGAACACGATTTTTCACCTCATTTTTCCCCGTTTTAGCATTCGACTGGAACCTGGTGTTCAAGTGGGAGTTCCTGACCGGCAAGCTCAAGGAGCAACGCCACGCCCATCCCACAGCACCCATCAAGTAAGGACCGGGGGTTTTTGCCGCGCCGCTTGATCTCTGGCGTTGCGTGGCGTGGTACGGGATCTGCGGAAATCCTTAGATAAAACGTTTCGTAGAGATACACATAGATTGTTTTGCCAATTTCGCCCAAAAATGCCGTCATGCAAAAAATGCCGACAAACGAAAGTGAATCTGAAAATCTTTGCCTTGTCGGCATTTTAGCGAGAATTTTCTGCATTTTGGCTTGAGAATTTTCCGCATTTTTGCTTGTCGGCATTTTTAGTGACAGTTGTCGGCATTGTTTCAGTTTGGAATTTGGCAAAAATTAATAATAAGCTTATTAAAAACAGTAATTAAAATAATATTAACGACAATCCACCTTTTTTTTTGAGGAGCCCCGCGATGGCCGGCGGCCTGTTCACAATTCGGAAGGACTGGTTCGAGCAGCTCGGCACCTACGATATGGATATGGACGTGTGGGGAGGCGAGAATTTGGGTCGGTTTTTCGTCTTTCCTACAAAAAACCGTGGCCAAATGGTTAGTGGCCTCGCCTGCCAACCTGAAGACCCGGGTTCGACTCCCGGGACCTACAAACCTTTTGCTTTTTGGTCTAAGAGCTTAGAATTGGCTATCTGGCTACCAGGAGGCTCTCCTGAGCGGTGAAGTGCTAATTTCAAACCGATTACGCCCTGTTTTTCCGGTCTCGGGTTCGACTCCCGGGACCTACTAACTTTTTGCTTTTTGCCCGAAACCCTCAAATGACCCCGTTTTTTTGCAGAAATGTCGTTCCGCGTGTGGCAGTGCGGCGGTTCGCTGGAGATTCTGCCGTGTTCCCGGGTTGGCCACGTCTTCCGCAAGCAACACCCATACACATTCCCCGGCGGATCCGGAAATGTTTTCCAGAAGTGAGTCGGCTTGGGCTTGGCTTAGGCTTGAGCTTGGGCTTAGGCTTAGGCTTAGGCTTTGCTTAGCCTAATTTCCCCGTTTTTTTGCAGAAACACTCGTCGTGCAGCGGAAGTGTGGCTGGACGACTACAAGCAGCTCTACCTCAAGCAGGTCCCCTCCGCCCGCTACGTCAAATACGGAGAGTAAGTGCCCGTTTTTTGGGGGCGGATTTCATGGCGTAATCGGTTGCGTAATTTTTTTTTGACGTGATTTTCGTGGCGTAATCGAATTAATGGCGAGATTTTCATAGCGTAATGAATTCGAAAAATCGATTTTCATGCGGTAATCGAATTGGTGACGTGAGTTTGGTAGCGTAATCGGTTTCTTTAGCGCGAATTTCATGCCGTAATCTGTTTCTTTGGCTCGGATTTCATGGCGTAATCGATTAAATTTTGGCTTTTTCATGGCGTAATCAATTGCTTTAGCGCGAATTTCATATCGTAATCGATCCCTTTTCAGCATCACTGCCCGGCTGGCCCTCCGCGAGAAGCTGCAGTGCAAATCGTTCGACTGGTACCTCAAGGAGGTCTACCCCGAGTTGAAGTGCGTTTTTTTCTCCCCGTAGCGGCTTACTGTGGCCAACGAATTGCGAAAAATCTGCGTGTCATTTCAGGGTGCCGAACCGGAACAACGGGCAGCTCTACTTCCTCAAGAACCAGGGACAGTGTCTCGGTACGGTTTTTCACTTTTTTTTTGGCTAGCTAGCAGGGGTTTTTGAGGAATTTTCGGGTCGGGCAGGCTAGCAGAGCTTTTTCAGGATCCGAAAAATCTTGCCTGTTTCAGACGCGATGAGCAAGCCAATCGGGGAGCCGATCGGCGTGTACGCGTGCCACGGCACCGGCGGCAATCAGGTCCGTTTTCCGGGCCGAGTTTTCATGGCGTAATCGATTCCGGGAGACAATTTTGATTGCGTAATCGCTTGTTTGGATAGCGTAAACGATATAAAAAACCGTATTTTCCTGGCGTAATCGATTCGGCTGGCGCGATTTTCATATCCCTAATCGATTCCCGGAGGCGATTTTCATGGCGTAATCGAATTCTGGCGCAGATTTCATGGCGTAATCGGTTTTTCCGGCGCGATTTTCGTGGCGTAATCGTTTGGAAGATCCGATTTTCGTGGCGTAATTCAATTCTGGCGCAATTTTCCTCGCGTAATCGATTAGCTGAAGCGATTTTCATGTCGTAATTTTTCCGTTTTTTTCAGGAATGGGAATTCAACCCGGACAACGGCCACCTGCGGGCGACAATCTCGAAGCTGTGCCTGAACGTTGACGCGGAGAAACGGGTGGTGACGCAGACATGCACAGAGAAGATGGAGAGATGGCTGATGTTGGAGAAGAGCGGATGGCTATTCCAGAATGGACAATGTCTCGCCATCACCCGCAATGACGCCCCCTCTGTACCCGGCGAATCACACAAGTAACCACCGTTTTTTTATATTTAATGATTTAAATAAAATATTTAATAATTTAAATAAATAAAATAGAAAGTCTATTTAAAATCATTTTTAATTTTAAAATCAACCATATTTTTTAGCTTTTTCTGAGCATTAGAACTTATTTAACCGAAAACAAAGTTAATTTGTCAATGTTTTCAACCGTTTTTCTATTTTTTTGAAGCTTTTTCTACTTTAAAATCCCTAAAAATTACCAAAAACAATTTTAAAACACTTTTTACTCAAAAAATTGCTAAAAACGCACTTTAATGGGACTGGTTCCTTTGCGGGGGGAAAGGCCACGCCCTTGGCTTAGGCTAACCATTTTTTTGCAGGCTAATCGTCGCGCCGTGCGTCGACTCGGACGGGGACCAGAAGTGGATCTTCGAACGGGCGCCCGGCTTCAACTAGCCCACACGTCTTGCTATCTCTCGCCTTGCCTTGTCTCTCTCTCTCTCGCTCTGTCTCTCTCTCCCACTCTCTCTCCCCTTTCTGTGCCCATATTTGTTGCCATTGGCTACCGTAGCCCCCAGCCAGAATACGAGGTCTCCTCCCCCACCCCATATTGCCTTGGCCACGCCCACCCCCAAATGTTGCCTTTTTTGCCGTGTATTTTTTGTCTCTCTGGGTCTCTTTCTCTCGCTCTGTAAATGCCCCTCTCACCCTCTGGCTCTCTCGCCGCCACCGATTCTGACCGTCCAAGCAAAAAGCAATACCGCTGCCGCGGCCGGGAGTCGAACCCGCGACCCCGAAAAACCTCGCGTAATCGCTTCAAATTCGATTTTTCGTGCAAAAACACACTTCCTGGCGCCCAGATAACCTTTTCTGAAAGTTTGAGGCAAAAAGCAAAAACCCCGTCGCGGCCGGGAGTCGAACCCGCGCCTCCAGATTGGTAGACAAGCCCACTAACCACTTGGCCACGACTGCGAGTGGACCAAATTTTTTTGCTTGTCGCCGGAGAATCGGTTTCTGCCTCACTCTCTCTCGCTCTAGCTGTAGCTGTCCCTCTCGCCCTCTCCCCGACTCACCCTGTACACACATGATCGACATTTGTGATATCAAACACCGCCCATAGAGTGTATCTTATTTATTCCCGCAGTGCTTGTCTCTTGCCTGTTTTTCTGTGGTCGATAAATTATTTTGCCGTGATCGGAAACCATTCTTTTATTTATATATTTGTTTCATTGTCTTATTTTATTTTATTTGCAAACGGTATTGGCCGCGGGCAAATTTCGAATTTTTGCCATCGATTTTTTTATTTTACGTTATTCCGCGCCCAAATTAAAACTCTTCGTGTATTTTCTGGCGCTCCATCGAATGGCGTGCAATACATTTTATGAAAATCCCGAAAATGCCGAAAACTAGCTGCTTTCACTTAACGTTCAAGATGCCGAAACCGTGTTTAAATCTGTTTTTTTTTTGCTGTAACTTTTCCCTATTGCATTATTTTTCCCGGAAATTGAAATTCTGAGCGTATTTTTCGGCGCTCTCTCGAATGGCGTCACGAAAATGTCGCGAAAAAATGGCGCCACTATCGAAAACGAGCTTTTAACCCCGATTTTTAGTTTTTTTTGTGTTTGTTTTTGATATTACAAATTTATAAAAAGAAGTAGAGAAAAAAACGCTGGGAAAAAAACAACAAATTTTAGGCAAAATACAAAAATGCGCCCAAGCCCCGGCCCTGCCGGCCATCAGCACGGCCATTGGACGACGACGGCGAGGAGGAGGAGGAGGAGCAGAAGGGCTGCCGTGGTGGATGGAGGAGCAGCAGCAGCTGAGGACGACGGCTGAAAACGATGCGTATAACGCTAAATTGAACAAAACTACGGAAAAAATGCTTTGAAATTCAGAAATTGCAGTTTTTTTGGGAGAATTTTTTGAGATTTAAAAGTCGTTTCCCCGCCCAAAAAATGGCGAAGTTTAATTCCTAACGCTAGTAAAACACTTGCTCGACATTTTTTAGTTTTTAGCGTAAAAAAATGGATTTTCGGCGAATTTTAGATGTTTTTTTTTTGGCATGACAAGAATTGAGAATTTAATTGAAAAAAAAACTAGTTGGTAATTAAAAAAATGAAAAACGCTGTATTGCCCGGAATTTCTGGGTTGTTGGCCAAAAATTAGATTCGCCCGCGCGAAAAAAATAGGTTTTAGGCAAAAAATTGTCGAATTTTAATGATTTTCCGGTATTTTCTCCCCCCCCGGTATTGGAAAAGTTCCTGCTGTGGACTGACCGGCGGCGGCGGCGGTTGCGTGGTGGTGCTCACACTGCTGGTGGTGGGAGCGACGTCCGGGCACTTCGTGACAACCTGAAGAAAAAACCTTTTTCGTGCCAATTTTTTTGTAGCCTAATTCATACATTTTCGTCTAATTTGTTTCCCCAGTTTTTCGATGAAATTTAATCGTAACCAGGGTTGAAAAGCCGCTACGCGGCTTTTCACCCCTAGCCTTTGCGCGGGGATCTTTAAAAGTTGGGCTTTGCATAATTCGGGCGAAGAGCTAGAGCGAACCCTAAAAAATAGCAAACGCAACCGGCCGCGAGCGCGACAAAAGCCAAAATGAGGCTCCTAGCGCCTCGTATGCAAATTAGTCTATTTCCATATGTTTTTAAAACGTTAAAATAAGGTATAAAACGAAATTTTAGTAAAAATCTGATAAGCGTGCAGTAATCTACGCCCTCGACTACCCCTAACTACCTTATTTCTGGACCAAAAAATTCTTTCTCCTTCGAGTTATGGTTGGAACCCGGGTTTTTATGCAAAGTGTCTACACACACACAGACACTATTTTTTTATATATAGTAGGATTATTTATGATTTAAATCGTCATTTCTGTCCAAATTGGGGAGGATTTTCCGCTGGGAGTGTACGAGTTACACCGTCCGGTGGACAGTTCAGTTGAAAAATGATTTTCGCGACCCAGGAGTTTGTTTTTTTCGTGGAATTTTTTCGGGTTCCCCGCTTCAAAACAAGGCTGAAAAATTGGATCGCACAAAAAGTGATGCAAACCACAAAAAAAAAATCGATTTTTTCGCCCGAAATGCCCGATTTTTGGCGAATTTGCAAATTTTTCAAGGGTTTTTCGAAAAACAGACCCCTACTGACGTGTTACTAGACATTTCCCGGGTTTTTTCGGAAACATCCCCCCCCCCCCCCCGATGTTGGAAAAGTTCCGATTGAACTGACCGTGGTTCGGGTGGTCGGGGAGATTGTTGTGGTAGTGGGGGCCGCCCTCGTCGTTGTGGTCGCTGTTGTCGTTGGCCTCGTCGTTGTCGCCGCAGTCGTCTTAAGCTTGTGGTTTTTTTTTGCGAAATTCAGGCATTTTTTAGCTCGAAAAATGGCGAAATGTGATGAAAAACGGCGATTGAAATACTTACAATCAACGAGGGAGGTGTTGTTGTCGAGGGAATCGTTGTGGCCGGGCTCAAGGATTCGGTCGTTGTGGCCGGGTTGGATTGTTCGGTCGACGTCTCTTCGGGCATCTGGCAAGAAATCGATTTTTAGAATCTCCCATTTGCAACAATGATTTTGAGAATACGGTTTGCCCGAAAAAAGGTCCTCGCCCCCCTCTAGCGGTCGACAGTGATGTCCGATTTCGATGATTTAGGTATCTATCGACAGCTCTCCACGAGCCGAGGAGATTCCGATTTTCAAATTGCACCATTTTTTAACGTTTACTGATATTTTTGCGAAGTTGGCTGAATTTTCGGTGCTGTTGCGCATGCAACTGTTGTTAACGAAAACCCCAGATTTCCGAATTTTTACAGCTTTCCTGGCAGCCCAAGGGCAGGGGCTTTGAAAGGCATTTGAGAAAACACAGCATGGATGGGAATGCAGCCGATCAAATTGAATTTTTGCACAAAATTGCGTAATTTGCGCCTTAAAAGATGAAAAATCGGGTTAAAAGTTCGGCAATTTCACAAATCGGAAAGAACAGATCTCGTCAGCTCGTCGAGAGCTTTCGTTAGATAACTAAAGCGTCAAAATCGGACATCAAAACTGGATTTTTAACAAAATTTCAATTTTTTAAAGCCTTAAAAATTTTTGAAAGCCGTCGCAATCATTTTTGTCGCCTTAAATGTGGCCAATTTTGGATCTAGCCACCTTATTTAAATCCACCCCCCCGATATTAGAAAAGTGGACTGACCACCGTGGTGTTGCTGTCGTGGTGCTCCTCCGCAGCCGAGGTCGTCGTCATCTCCTGCAAAAAATTACTAGCCCCGATAGCTTTATTAAAAATTACAAAATAAACCCGATTTTTCAGCCGTTTCCAGGATTCCGCTCCCCCCCGAAACGAACTAGCACTCACGGCGATGGCCTCCGTCGGTGGTAGGGACGCAGGGCCGGTGGTGGACGCATTCGCTGCCAGGAGTGCTTTCGCCTTGGCCGCCCAGATGGGGTAAACTGAAATCCATGGATTAAATATACCATATTTATTATTATATATTATTAAAAATACTTGAAATTATTGGCTATACCCGTCTCCACCTCTCTCTCTCTCACTCTCTCTCTCTCTCTCTCTCTCTCTCTCTCTCTCTCTCTCTCTCTCTCTCTCTCTCTCTCGGTCCACCCTGCCCTCTCGATGACCCCCTGGACTACCCCGGTGATTAATGATCGGAAACGGCTTACTCGACATGACTTGCAGGGGAGCTTCGGGTGACTCCCAGCGGTCGATTCCCCCTAAACATGGGACTGGTTATTAAACAGAAGCCATAGGGCTCAAACGGCGAAAAACAAAAATAAAAAAAACCGAAGCGAAGCAATAGAATTGAAGGGAGCAAACGAACGGCATTTGTCGGGGCCCCCAACCACTCTTTCCCAACAGGCAGGCCCAATCTGAAGGCCATCCGGCCGCACCATCAGCCAGCAGGGTTCCGAGTGCCTTGGGCAACCTAAAGCAACGCGTCAAATGGGGGCCTCACGCCCGGGCAAAATCCCGACACCCAGGCTCCTGACAGCCAGAAAAATTTTTTGGAGACCTTGTAGGGCAAAACGACCGGAAATATCACCATTTGGCTGTCGGGATTATGGCTGGAATTCGAGAAAATGACCTACCATAGATGACGTGCGCCTCGTCGTCGACCCACACGACGCGACGATCGTGGATCGTCCCTCGGTCCACGGGTGGACATTGGTTCTCGCTGGGCCCATCCGCGGGGCATATCACGTACTCTGAATCGGGCATTTCGGGTCCACTACCAACTGAAATTGAGGCCACCCTGCAGAAATGGGACAGAAAGACGGGCGTATTTACGATTTCGGTAAGAGTTTACTGTACCCCCCCAGTGGGAATGGGAAAATTTTTTAGCGTCCCGAATCGGTACCGCCGTATCCCAATCCTCGTCACCCAATCATGACGGGAATCCCGCTACAAGAGAACCAGCCTCGAAACCTTGGAAATGTCTTGCATAACTGCACAGGGAACTTTTCCACCCGGAGAAATTTTTTTTGGATTCACGAAAATCCGTTTCACGAAAAAGAAAACTTTTCCTCACTTTTGATCGACACCGTTGGCAGAAACTGGCGCGACAAATTGCCATTTTTCGGGAAATCCCTCAAAATCGACATGCGCCAATTGCGGAACTGAGGGCCAGTCGTTCCCGAAAATCAGGTTTTTCGTGATTAGTTTTTTTGTTTTGCAAAGTTTTGCTCAGAAAAGTGTCGTTAGAAAATTCGGCTGCTCATCGTTTTTCTGGATCCCCATCGCTGAGCAAAATTCAGTCCCGACCGGACAGAAAACGGTCAAATGCCCAGGGCGGGGGGGGGGGGCGGTTTTTTGGGCACCCGGTATGTTTCGGAGTGTCTTACCGTGGGTTCCGGCCGGCGACGACGCCCTCCCATCGAAGAGCCCAACGACGGCGGCGATGAAGAGGAGAATCGGCCGGCTCTTTGGTTGCATCTCTCCTGAAAAAAAATTGACGCTAGAATAGGCGGGAATGTAAAAACGTGAAGGCTGGGGGAGATGGTGGCTTAAAAACATTGCTGCTGTGATGCAGTGGAATGGTCGGCACAGCCCCTAGAAGCAAAGCTCTACCCTTCTTTAAGAATAAAAAAAAACATAGAAGAAACTTGTATAATAGCTTTACGACCCTGGTTTTGGGCTGAAATTCAAATACTGGCCGTATTTTTCGATGGTCTATCGAATGGCGAAGCGAAAATGTCGCGAAAAAATGGCGAAAACGTCGAAAATTAGCTTTTCGCCCTATTTTTAGCAATAATTCTTGTTTTTGCCATAGTTATTTAACCCTACAATATTTTGAGTTCCTATGAAATCGCTTAGTAAATTATTATTAGTACAAGTAAATCGCAGCCGATAATCGCAAAAATTCTTTGCAAAAAGGCAGAAAAGTTGAGATCAAAATCATCGGCAAGCGGCGGGTGGAAAATGTGGCATTCGGGGGGATGGGGTGACCTTAAATACCGATAGGGAGACCCGGGAATATGGAGACAAAATAGTGATCGACTGACTTGAGGACCGTTCGATTCATCAGAACGGGTCTCTTTCTCTCTCTCTCTCCCTGTCTCTCTCTCTCTCTGTCTCTCTCTTTCTCTCTCTCTCTGTCTCTCTCTTTCTGTCTCTCTGTCTCTCTCTTTCTGTCCCTCTGTCTCTCTCTTTCTGTCTCTCTGTCTCTCTCTCTCTCGCTTTCTCTGTCTCTCGCTCTCTCTGTCTCTCTCTTTCTCTCTCTCTCTGTCTCTCTCTCTCTCTCTCTCTCTCTCTCTCTCTCTCCCTGTCTCTCTCTGTCTCTCTCTGTCCCTCTCTCTCTCTGTCGCTCTCTGTCTCTCTCTTTCTGTCTCTCTCTCTCTCTCTCCCTCTCTCTCGTCTTCGAAATATGTTTGCCCCACTCATTCTCAGCACCCCGAAAATTACAACATTAATTTCCCCCAATTTCCCTCCCCCCGCCAGTCCACTTCACCAATCATCCCAAAACATCAATATCAAATTCTTGCAATTTTTGAACACCTCGGCGATAGACTGATGACTGATGGATTGGATGACAAAGGGGGGGGGAACGACAAAAATCAAAAAGACTCCCCCAGATCATCCGACAGGTATAACATATAGAAAAAGTGGTACACATAGGATAACGGGGGGGGTAAAATAACGGGGGGCACTCATTATTATGAAATTTGCAATTACGGTGGGATTTTGCGAGTGCCATTCGATAGAGCGTCGAAAAATATACTAAGAGAATTATTTTCAGCCCGAAATAATGTAATGGAAATTTTTTATTGAATAAACAAAAATTGAGAAAAATCCATGGGCAGCACATAGGATAACGGGGGGGAAGCCAAATAAATTTTGAGATTTTCGATATTTTGAACATGCCATTCGATAGAGGGCCGAACAATATACGAAGAGCCATTTTTACAGGCCGAAAAAAGCATATGTAAAAACACTTTTATCATAAAAAAAAGTTTGAGTCACCCCCCCCGTTATCCTAGTGTACCGGAAAAAGTTATAGCGAAAACAAACCTCGCGGCTCTATACCGATAGGGGGGGTATCGGTCGATCTAGGGGATCATTTTTTTGGTCTAGGGGCCCTTTTCCGGGTCGAAAACCCCCCTAATGCCCTCTGCATGGGGGGAATCGAGGCCCCTCTTTCCGATTGCGTTTGCAGAATTTCGATAAAATACAAGTTTACAGCGTTGCAGCCGGTGTTATTCATTTTTTGGTGTGATGGGGGAGAAATTGCATAACGTGAAAAAATACAAATATTCTGGTAAGAGTCTAGAAACCCCCCCCAGCCGGAATCAACTTTTGAATCTCGCCCCCCCCGTTATCCTAGTGTACCGGAAAAAGTTATAGCGAAAACAAACCTCGCGGCTCTATACCGATAGGGGGGGTATCGGTCGATTTAGGGGATCATTTTTTGGTCTAGGGGCCCTTTTCCGGGTCGAAACCCCCCCCCCCCCCCTAATCCACCCGGAATGGGGGGAATCGAGGCTCCTCTTTCCGATTGCGTTTGCAGAATTTCGATAAAATAAAAGTTTACAGCGTTGAAGCCGGTGTTATTCATTTTTTGGTGTGATGGGGGAGAAATTGCATAACGTGAAAAAATACAAATATTCTGGTAAGAGTCTAGAAACCCCCCCAGCCGGAATCAACTTTTGAATCTCGCCCCCCCCCCCCCTTTGTGCTAGCGAGCTCTAAAGTATACCAAAATGTTCGCCGTAGGCTAATTAGTAAGACTACATTGCAGTTCAGGCGAAAAAAGTGGTGAAAAATAAAAATAAGGAAGGTAGAAAAGTTGAAAAGTCGGCTGGGGGGGGGTTTCCTAGACTTGAGCCAATATTCTTACTCTTGTCAGTGGAACTGATCTGGTGGGGAGTGTGGTCGGACGTTACGCACGGCGCGCCGTCGGGATAACACGCAGATTAGTACAAGAACGTACAAAACAAACTAGATAAAACATTTTTTGCGCTTTGCATCCTGATTTGCAGTCCTCACGGTCGTAGAACTCTCGAAAAGTTTCCTGATCTCCCTCTTCAAGGATTTCTATTTTATCAAAATTTCATTTCATCCATTTTCATGCCGGTGACGATTTTGTTCAGCAAAAAATTTGGTTTTGTCGGGGGGCCCGGCTAAAATTCCGGGGCTGACAATCGTAAACAACGACCACAATTCAAAATAAAGACACACACGACCCGCGTTAACGTGCGTAATTGCCAGAGATAGCCAAAATATGATTGGGTGTGGAATTTGCTTTGTTTCACGATGGGCCCCTGCGAATTTCCCGGGGGCCGAGGTCATCTTTGGTGTTAGGCGGGGAGGGGGGGGGGATGAGCTGCGATGCCCCCCTGATTGTTTTGTCTTTAGCGGAGGGCGCGTGCTTTTCGTGGATATATAACCCCCACCCTTGGCCCCAGCCTTCACACTTTTACATTTCACATTCGCCCCCCCCGTCCCTGATTCCTTCTGATTCCATAGTCGTTTCAGGCTGGTGATGGCCCCTGGGAAGCTCTGGATTGTCTTTTGCATCGGCCTCTGGGCCATGTGCCGGCCGAAACCCATGCCGGCAAAGGGTGAGTGGCCTCTTTTAAATTTCCGAGAGTTCTTATTATTACGTCATTTTTCTTTATGAGCATCGCCTTAATATCGGTTCAGTTGGGCTCCTTTGCCCGGCAAGCCATGCGTCCCCAAGGAACTGTATTCCAAACAGTGGGGACCACCGCCTCAACTCCACCGACCCGAGAGTCGTTTTCGCCGGGAAGGACGTGTTCTTTGGTATGATGACTCTATCTCTCTTTCTCGCTCTCTCTCTCTCTCTCTCTCTCTCTCTCTCTCTCTCTCTCTATCCCCCTATCTCGTTTTTAGTTTGTCCGCCAAGGACAGTTGCCTGCTTAAAGCTGGCGGTGCCAATTGATGCCGGGTGCTACTCGGCAGTCCGAGTCATTCGCCAGCACATGTGCGGTACGTTTTTTTTTCTTCCAATGCTATGCTTCCAGCCCCGGCGACCACAAGCCCGTGGGGATCTGATGGGGGACCGGTGTTCGAAATGGAGAGTAAGTTGATTTTAGTCACCAAGCCATCGGACGACGAGGGGGGGGGGGAAGGGGAGGGCATAGGCAATCATTCAAGTCGTTTTATGCTAATCAATGGAATTTAGTCGACGTGAGCCTATTGAACAAGAAAAATGTGAACCCGGACACCGAGAAGAATGGCAACGTGAACCCGGACAACGAGAAGAATGCCAACGTGAACCCGGACAACGAGAAGAATGCCAACGTGAACCCGGACAACGAGAAGAATGCCAACGTGAACCCGGACACCGAGAAGAATGGCAACGTGAACCCGGACAACGAGAAGAATGGCAACGTGAACCCGGACAACGAGAAGAATGCCAACGTGAACCCGGACACCGAGAAGAATGGCAACGTGAACCCAGACAACGAGAAGAATGCCAACGTGAACCCGGACAACGAGAAGAATGGCAACGTGAACCCGGACACCGAGAAGAATGGCAACGTGAACCCAGACAACGAGAAGAATGCCAACGTGAACCCGGACACCGAGAAGAATGCCAACGTGAACCCGGACACCGAGAAGAATGGCAACGTGAACCCGGACAACGAGAAGAATGGCAACGTGAACCCGGACACCGAGAAGAATGGCAACGTGAACCCGGACACCGAGAAGAATGCCAACGTGAACCCGGACACCGAGAAGAATGGCAACGTGAACCCGGACAACGAGAAGAATGGCAACGTGAACCCGGACAACGAGAAGAATGCCAACGTGAACCCGGACAACGAGAAGAATGGCAACGTGAACCCAGACAACGAGAAGAATGGCAACGTGAACCCAGACAACGAGAAGAATGGCAACGTGAACCCGGACACCGAGAAGAATGGCAACGTGAACCCAGACAACGAGAAGAATGGCAACGTGAACCCGGACACCGAGAAGAATGGCAACGTGAACCCAGACAACGAGAAGAATGGCAACGTGAACCCAGACAACGAGAAGAATGGCAACGTGAACCCGGACACCGAGAAGAATGGCAACGTGAACCCAGACAACGAGAAGAATGGCAACGTGAACCCAGACAACGAGAAGAATGGCAACGTGAACCCGGACACCGAGAAGAATGGCAACGTGAACCCGGACACCGAGAAGAATGGCAACGTGAACCCAGACAACGAGAAGAATGGCAACGTGAACCCGGACACCGAGAAGAATGGCAACGTGAACCCGGACACCGAGAAGAATGGCAACGTGAACCCGGACACCGAGAAGAATGGCAACGTGAACCCAGACAACGAGAAGAATGCCAACGTGAACCCGGACACCGAGAAGAATGGCAACGTGAACCCAGACAACGAGAAGAATGGCAACGTGAACCCGGACACCGAGAAGAATGGCAACGTGAACCCGGACACCGAGAAGAATGGCAACGTGAACCCGGACACCGAGAAGAATGGCAACGTGAACCCGGACACCGAGAAGAATGGCAACGTGAACCCAGACAACGAGAAGAATGCCAACGTGAACCCGGACACCGAGAAGAATGGCAACGTGAACCCAGACAACGAGAAGAATGGCAACGTGAACCCGGACACCGAGAAGAATGGCAACGTGAACCCAGACAACGAGAAGAATGCCAACGTGAACCCGGACACCGAGAAGAATGGCAACGTGAACCCAGACAACGAGAAGAATGGCAACGTGAACCCGGACACCGAGAAGAATGGCAACGTGAACCCAGACAACGAGAAGAATGGCAACGTGAACCCGGACACCGAGAAGAATGGCAACGTGAACCCGGACAACGAGAAGAATGCCAACGTGAACCCGGACAACGAGAAGAATGGCAACGTGAACCCAGACAACGAGAAGAATGCCAACGTGAACCCGGACACCGAGAAGAATGCCAACGTGAACCCGGACACCGAGAAGAATGAGAAGGGGTCCGAGCTCGACCAGGATGTCCAAAGAACCTCGGTGAGTTCTAGTTTTGTCAGGAGGCGAGGGGTGGGGGGAAGGCGGGCAGCGGAGGGGGGAGGGGAGTGAAAGTGATTACGGGGAATGGTCAGCCGATGAGCACACCCCTATGTATGGCTGCACTTGCCGCCGCAAGTTCTATATGCATCGTTTTAGAAGGGCAGTGCCGGAGGGCGGCCCGGAAATTGGCTCGTCCTGACCGTATTGTTCCTCCAAGTCCTATGGTACCTCTGAGGAGGAATCAAATAAACGAATAAACTTTTCCGGCGTCCGTTTTTGCCCGCCGCGGAGTTAAGCACAAAATATCGGCCTCTCCACATGTCATTCTGTACAGGGTGTCCCAATAAAAAAGGTCACGCTGGTATTTTGCTATTTCAAATCCGATCGATTTGAAATTTTGCACAGAGGTGCGGACGGGAATTCAAAATGTTCACAGAAACTTTCAGCCCGATCGGTACAGTAGTTTACGAGTTATTGCGAAAATAAACTCTATTTTACGTTTTTAACCTGGATTCCGCCGGAATTGAGCCCTGGAATGTATGGAGAAAATGAAGCGCCGACCCTTTTTTATCCTAGGAATTTTTTATTTCGCAAGATTCGGGTCGAAAATAGGCTATTTGAGTATTTTTTTAACAAGGGCTAACGACGCCGATGTTAAGAAGAATGAGGGATTTAGAGCCGGAAATTGATGTTAATTGATGCAAAGTCCAAAAAGATAGCCGAAAAAATGAAGCTAAAGTGTGGGGAAAACAGTATTTTTACAATAACTCGAAAACTACTGTACCGATCGGGCTGAAAGTTTCTGTGAACATTTTAAATTCCCTTCCTCTACCTCTGCGCAAAATTTCAAGTCGGTCGAATTTGTAATAGCAAAATCCCAGCGTGACCTTTTTTTATTGGGACACCCTGTACTTACAGGGTGTCTCAAAAAATTTTAAAAAATTTAAGAAAACGAAACCCGCTTGTTTTACTCGCCTTTTCAAGGGGCTTTCGAATGGTGTCGGAGCCATCCCGATTCGAGCTTCCTCTGGACCGCTAGTTCGACTTTTCTTTTGGGACACCCTGTACAAAAAAAATAGTGTTTGGATGTGTTTGTGCGTGTGTATTTTTCGATTTATTCGGCAGGGGAGCAGCATTGGCTTCCGTCAGTTATTAAAAAAATTTATTGCCACAGATTTGATATCGAATTAGGGGTAGATGAGGCGGGCGACGAGGCTAATGGTGACGACGAGCAGCAGGGCGGAAGAGGGCCACGATGAGGAGGAGGAGGAGGGCGTGGGAGGGTCGTCGGGCACTTCGTAGGTACCGCATCCCGGCTAAAATTATCAAACAAACGATATCTGGCGATTGACTGGCAACCAACCGGCTCGCCCGGCTTTTGCTTCTCCTTCCACAGGGCCAGCACGGACGGATGCGCTGGAATTGGGAATTGGGAAAAGAGAGAGAGAGAGAGAGAGAGAGAGAGAGAGAGAGAGAGAGAGGCAGCAGCAAATTGGTACCGGGCGTGAAGGTGAAGCTTCCAAGATCTTGATCTGAATTTTCCTTTTTTGTTGCGGCTGATTATGAGAGCCTCACCGCAGTTGCAGCCAACTTCCGAAAATATGCTCCCATAGCATCCGATCTTGTCATCCGGCAGCGCCTTCTTGGTCATCGATAGGCAGAACGTCTCCGACTGGGAGCAACCTGGAATGCAATCAGGTGTAAACATCGGGTAGAGGGACGGGGGCGGGGGGGGGAGGAACGGAATCAGGCGCACGCTGGCCTACCAACTGTTCACAACCGCAGCTTTTTTGGCCCTAAGACTGGTTTTTGGCTCGGCAGCACGTCAGATTTTTGCGCGCAATTCGCATGTGGTGAAAACATTTTTTTGTGACGGCCCAAATTGTTGAGGCAACAAAAAACTAGAGAATAGCTGGTAGGGTCTAGGAAACCCCCCCAGCCGGAATCAACTTTTGAATCTCGCCCCCCCGCTTTGTGCTAGCGAGCTCTAAAGGGTAAGAGTTTACTTTACCCCCCCACAGCCGAAGGGTCTCAAAGTTTTCGGTATTTTCGCTTATTTTGTCGGGATTTTCGCAACGCCATTTGATAGAGCGTCGAAAAATATAATAAGAGTTTTAATTTGAGCCTACAATAATGTAAAATAAAAAAGTTATAGCCAAAAACTTCCGGCTGGGGGGGGGTAAAGTAAACCGTAGCCAAAAATAAAAATAAGGAAGGTTGAAAAGTCGGTGGGGGGGGGGGAAGGGGGAGGTGGGGTTTCCTGGACTTTAAAGGCACGTTCAGGGACGTTTTTTTTTGGAAAAAAGCGAAGACTTTTGCCGCGGCCGGGGGTCGAACCCGGGCCCCCCGCTCGGGTGGCGCGGATGGATACCAATCAGCCACAGCTACAACCTGGAGAGGGGGTGAAGGGCGCCCCACGCCGCAATGGAGGGAAATTGCCACCCACTCCACGGGCAGGTAGTGCGCGCGGTCGTAACGTCCATAGGGTGTATGGGACGAGTACACGGCCCCTCCCTGAACGTGCGCTTTAAGGGTTTCTGGAAAGGTGGCAGGCTGGCAGAGACCATTTGGGAAGTGTGAATCGATGAACTGGAACCAATTCAAGAGTTGGGTAAGAGTTTACTTTACCCCCCCCACAGCCGAAGGGTCTCAAAGTTGTCGGTATTTTCGCTTATTTTGTCGGGATTTTCGCAATGCCATTCGATAGAGCGTCGAAAAATATACTAAGAGTTTTAATTTGAGCCTACAATAATGTAAAATAAAAAAGTTATAGCCAAAAACTTCCGGCTGGGGGGGTAAAGTAAACCGTAGCCAAGAGTTGATTTGCAGACTTCAAAAAAGGATATTTCTAACTTTGTAGAATGGAACACGGCGATTCTAATGATGCCCAAGCAGCTCTGTTCTATTTCGCACCGGGGAAAAATGTGCGCGGGGGGGGTTATTGAGCAGGACTTCGATCCTTTCCCTATTTTCCCGGTATTTTTGCAACGCCCGTCGATAGAGCATCAAAAATACACTACTAGTTTTGTGTTTTAGCTTAAAATTATGTAATAGAAAAAGTTGGGGCAAAGACAAAACTACTTTTGAAACTGGGGCTAGTAAGCTAGTTTGATATTGTAAAGATACGATTCGATAGAGCATCAAAAATTATACGAAAAGTTTTAATTTCATCTCAAAATAGCGTAATATCAAAGAGTTATAGGGAAAACACGGTTTAAACATGGTTTCTATATGTGAGCGTAAGTCGTTAGTTAGTTTTCGACATTTTCTATATTTTTACAAAATTTCTTAAACGTCATTCGAAAGAGCGTCAAAACATAAACGAATAGCTTTAATTACAACTCACAATAACGTATTATAAAATAGCTATATAAAGAGCTTCCCGCACCCCCCCCCTCCCGGGCGCGTGATAACCCACGATAGATGACCAATCTGTCGTTGCGCAAGTCGCGGATTGTAAACCAGGTCGTCCTGCCGTCAGTCGCACTCTTCGGGGGGTTTGGCGTGCAGTCCTGGTCCACATTGTCCACTTTCTTGGCCAAGTTGCAGGCATATGGGACTATAAAACTCGTGATGATACTCTAGTTTACCCCCTTCCCTCCCCCCCGACCAGCCACAACTTTTCAGCCATACGTCCTATTAATGCGTGGGGTATCTCAAAATGTTTGCCGTTGTCGAATTACTCGAAAAAATTTGTTTTCTTACCCCAAAAATTGTTAGAAAAGTTTTTATAACAATTATAAGAAAGGTTTGATTTAGTTAATTTTTGCCGATCCAAAGTGAGTTTTTGTATCTCGGAGATCCTTAGACCTACAGAGCTGGCAAGGGTACCAAAATGTAGCCCTTGATTTGTAGAATCGGCCTGCGGTGCATTGGAGTCGAAAAAATAACGGAAAATAACAAATATTTGAGTTTGAAACCCGTCGTACATTGATTTTACGATATTCCACACATTAATAGGATGTATGACTGAAAAGTTCGGGCTGAGGGGGGGGGGGGTAAACTAGAGTCTAGCCTTAGGTATAGACTGAAGGACATACTCAATGGCCACTCCGTTGTGGCTGCATCCTGGGCGGAGATGACGACGGAGAGCAGGGAGAGCCCGAGCATCGGGAGCAGCAGCAGAGAGCCGCGAACCATCAGAAGAAGACGAATCGAATGGGAATGATTGGACGGAATAATGATCCGCAGATGGAGCGCAGCCCATTCCCCCATCCGGGCAACCGGAAATTCGCCCAAAAACGCTGAAGCGACATGCTAATCTAATCAAATCCAAATTCGCTTCAAAATCTGACGTCGACCCGCTTGAAAATGGGCTTCATATTTTGCTGCGGAGGATCCCCGTGTCTGGCCGCTCATCCTGATTTGCACCCGAAAAAGTCGATTTAGCAGGCGGGTTTGCCCGTTTTTGCGCTCTCGGCTATTTGTCGCCCTCTCGTCCTCCTTTCTGGCATGTGAAGCCATTTTTGCAGGCTCTAATTGTTGGGTGGGAATGGCGTGCGTCACCTTCGCGTCGCCGTCGCCGCAGAAAACTAGAGGGGATAGCTGCGGGGGACAGCACGACGGCGCATCGTACACTCATCCCCCCCCCCTCCCCTCCCCCGCCCGGCTGACGAGCCGCGAAACCACGGGGCAATCGGTTTAATTTCGGGGGAAAATTGCCGGAAAACAAATGCGGGAGTTTGCTGTAGCCAAAGTGGGAAACGATAAGGATACATCTGAACCTAATAAACGAAATCATTGGTCCTTGAGTATTCCCGGCGGCGGGGGGAGGCGAACCAACCTTTTTTCGGGGCGGCCCTGGTGGGGATAGTAATCAAATATAAAGTGTTTTCACATTGTTTTTAGCAAAATTTGAGCCTATTTTAGTCGGAAAAACTTTTTAAAAAGTTAGAAAACGCTTGAAAAAGTCGAAAATTTGGTCATTCTTTGGTCGAAAAAATGCTTTTTCGAGCTAAAATTAAATTTTGTAAAGTTTCTAGGCTTAGGACTAGCTATCACCATTTTAGAAACACTTCCAATTACAATTTATATAAAAAATCTAGGCTTGAGCCGGAAAAAGTTCGGTTCCTCCTTGACTTTTCCAGCGCATTTCCGGGCCAAAAAGTCGCCCTCCCCAACAAATTTGTCGCCTTTTGCCGCTCGCAAATATGTTTTGTCACCTTTTTCTGCCTCCATTTTTGCATGTGCAAGCATTATTTCGCGGCCGGCCCTAATTGTTGTGGGAATGACGGGAGGGGGGGATGATTCGGTGTCATCATCGCCGCGAGGCCAGCCAGGTGACAATCGCCAAAATGGGGGGACAATTTAATGCGGACGGGGGACCGACTAAAAATTTAAATTTTGTGTGAAACGAGGAGACTTGAAAACTAAGTCTAAGCGCAAACGAAGCTCACATTGAAACGCTTAGTAGATTTTCCGTCCGAAAGCCAGATACTGTTTTTTTCCAGCTCCAACCATCCGATAACGCCTTCTTTTTCGCTGCCCGTCAAAGCCGAGCCACCGTTGCCGACGCGCCATCGAATGGGGGGTGCGAAAAACGCGGAAAACGGGCGGTTCTTCGATGCGCAATCTTGCGTCGCCGTGCGAACATTGGCGGCGCAACCTGAAAAAGTGATTTTAGCGCGTCATCACAGTTGTTTGGCCCCTTTTCGATCCGGGATTCGGGATCTGCGCAAAATTTGGCACCAGATAGCATTGATAATTGGCTTTTTGGCGGGTTGTTTCGTTTAAAAAGTTTATTTTGTACGTTTTCCAAGATTCGGGGAGCGGGGGGCTGTAGTTTGTAGTCGCGGAGGGGGGCAGGCGACGCGCGACGTGTTCGCCGCTTTGCCCAGTTGGCTCTTTCTCTCTCTGATTCCGCCCGAAAAAGCTTGATTTTTAAAATATTTCTTTACTTGGCTGTTTAAAGTATACTCCCCGTTAAAATGCGCGTATTTTGGAGCGTAGCGTACGGCGGAAGCTGCTCCGCCACTTTTTTTAGCGCGAAACTTGTTTTAGAGTGTTTTTCGAATGGTTTTAGCTTCAGAAAAACATTATTCTTTTAAGGTATTACTTTAAGTGCTTGTTTAAAGTATGCTGCCCGTTAAAATGCACGTATTTTGGAGCGTAGCGTACGGCGGAAGCTGCTCCGCCACGGTTTTTAGTGCAAAACTTGTTTTTCAGTTTTAAGAATAGGTTTAGCGCAAGAAAAATAAGGTTTTTTTGCGGCTTACTTTTTGAAAATATAGCCTTTTAATAGCGCTTTTAGGCTCATTTCAAACTATCAACGGTAATAATAGTCTTGGCGCAAGAAATATGCAGTTTTTCGCATTTTAAGCGCGCATCTTGTCGTTGGAAAAGTTTTCGACCTGTAAACGATTGATTTAGGGCCCGATTTCGTTGGTTTTCTTTGCAATTTGTCTTTTTCTCGCGTTTTCTCGATTTTCTACGTTTTCCGCGCGCTTTCACGTCTTTTATCACTTTTTTTTTCAGCCGCCCTCCGCACGGAAATGCGTGGATTGGCCGTGCTGCTGGCCGTGTTCTCGACGTCGAGCGCCCTCTACTTTCACATTGCCGAGACCGAGCGGAAATGCTTCATCGAGGAGATCCCCGATGAGACGATGGTGCGTTTCTAGTCTTTTCGATTGGTTTTAGGCCTGAAAACTGGCCATTTTGACGAAAAGTTCAAATTTTAGGCGATAAAATGGCGTTTTTTTTCTGGAAAGCTGATGGTTTGGCAATTATAGGCCGTTTAGCGCTAATTTTTAGGCCAAAGGATGAAGAAAATGCCGTTTTTTTTCTCGGAAGTTGATTTTTGGCAATTGTTGGCCGTTTTACCGCCATTTATGGGCCAGAAAATGGGGGTTTTTAGGCAAAAACTGAATTTGAAAGGATTTTCAGCCGAAAATCGGGGGTTTTTTGAGGGGAAAACTGAATTTTGCACTTTTTAGCCGTTGTAACGCTGATTTTAAGCCTAGAAAATCGCCTTTTCTGGCGGAAGCTCGGTTTTGAAGAATTCGTAGTTGTTTTAGGGTTTTGGATTGAATTTTGGGCCAAAACATGCGTTCCAGGTGACGGGCAACTACAAGGTGCAGCTGTACGACCCGAACACGAAGGGATACGGCGACTACCCCAATATCGGAATGCACGTCGAGGTCAAGGATCCCGAGGAGAAGGTCCGCTTTTTCGCCATTTTATGGATTCGCGGAGGTTCTTTTGGCATTATCGGGGGTGTAAAAGTCTAGAAATGCCTAGAAGCGTAATAGCAAATATTTAAATGTTTTTTTCCGTAAAATTTAACGAATTTTCAGGTGGAAAAACTAGCGAAAAACTTTGAAAAATTTTTAAAAGTCGAAATTCCAGTAAAAAAAATTATTTTTCTGTATTTCTGAATCGAAATTTGTAAGGGTTTTACGTGTAGGAATAGTGTAAAAGGCTTAGAAAATGCCGCTATGTATGATTTGCAAAATTTTAATTTTAAATTGTGCCGTAAACCCCTGCCCCCCCCCGGTAATGCAGCAGAACCGATTTTGGTGTATTTATTCCGATTGATATTTTTCAGGTGATCCTCTCAAAGCTCTACACATCCGAGGGAAAATTCACGTTCACATCGCACACACCCGGAGAGCACGTCATCTGCCTCTACTCCAATTCCACGGCTTGGTTTAGGTAAATCGTCTCTGCTAGCTGGCCCCTCCAATTCCTCAAAGAATCTCTGCTAGCTTGCCGGGAGCAAAAATTTACGGGTGCTTAAAATAGCTACAAAATTGATGCTTTAAATTTGTAAATTTTCCCAAAAGGTTTTTACGATTTTGAGCCCCTAAAATTCCTCAAAAAACGCTGCTAGCTGGCCTTAATCAGAATTTCATACCGTAATTTATCTATCCGAATTTCCCCCCAATCGATTCCGCGACGAAAATCGGTTTTAAAGCGAGCAAGACAGGCACAAATTCCGCAAAAATCTCTGCTAGCTACCCGGAAAACCGTTTGCTCGCCAATTTCATCGCGTAATCGTTTCCGGGGGTGCTTCCAAGCGATTACGCTATGAAAATAACCTTTAGAAGGGGCGTTACAGCCGGAATTCCGCAAAGAAACGCTGCTAGCTACCCGCCTCGTCTATTCCTCAAAGAATCGCTGCTAGCCTCCTCCAATAATCTCCATTTTTCAGCGGCGCCCAGCTCCGCGTCCATCTGGACATCCAGGCCGGCGAACACGCCCAAGACTACCAGCAGATCGCGGCCAAGGACAAGCTGAACGAGCTGCAACTCCGCATCCGGCAACTCCTCGACCAGGTCGACCAGATCACCAAGGAGCAGAACTACCAGCGCTACCGCGAAGAGCGCTTCCGCGCCACCTCCGAGTCGACCAACCAGCGCGTGCTGTGGTGAGCGGCTTTTCTCTTGCTGATTTCCGCAAATGGTGTTTGCCAGCTGACGCGGGTCATTTTTAGGCGATAGAAAATACGTTTTGAGCCTGAAAATGTGCGGTTTTTCTCGAGAAATCCAGATTTTGGGTGGAAAATCGCATTTTTCGTTTTTGTCAGAGATTCCAGAGGTTTTTATTTTTCCGCGAATGGCCGCTGCTGGCCTGATATACGAATTTTTACCATAAAAATAGTTAAATTTTCGTGAAAAACTCAGTTTTTAGCCGGAAAATTAATTTTTCGATTTTTGAGAAAACTCTGGATGTTTCATTCCTCCGCAAATGGCCTCTGCTACCTACCCCTTTCCGCAAATGGCCTCTGCTAGCCTGGCTTGCCGATTTCCGCTCATTTTTTCGTTTTCTAAGCATAAAAATGTCGGAATTTTCGTAAAAAATCGGTATTTTAGGCGAAAAATCACTTTTTGGCACCAAAATTGTTCGAGATTTCTAGGGTATTTTCCGCAAAGGACCCCTGCTAGCCTGCCCGGCAATTTTTCGGCTAATTTCCCCCGATTTCCAGGTGGTCGATCGGGCAAACGCTGGTGCTGCTGCTGACCGGGGCGTGGCAGATGCGCCATCTCAAGGGATTCTTCGAGGCCAAGAAGCTCGTCTAGACTACAGGCTACAAACGACGGCTACAAACTACAAATTCTACCCCTGCGCCCCCCTTGTCTCTCTACCGGTATCCACAGATCACTGATGTTTTTTTTAGAAGAAGATAAAAGCCGCTAGGGAATTTTCTCTTTTTTCTCTCTCTCTCTCTCTCTCGCCCGCCTCTCGTCTCTCTCGTCTCTCGTTTTTGATTTATTTATGGGTTCGGCCGGTTTCTCGTATTTTTGTTTTTTTAGCCCCCGTCCCCTCGCAAAATGTGATATCTTCCCCCATTTCCTGTATTCTTTTTTGCGCGTGTGTGTTGCTGCCCCCCTCGAATAAATTGGGTTCTCCTCGCCATGTTTTGTTTTATGCCTTCAAAATGCAAAAAGTGATAGCAAACGGCTTTTCATATATTTTGTGGCGTTTTTGGGTGGATTTTGAGCGTATTTTTGGACGTCTTGATGGTATTTTCTAGATTTTTAAGACGTTTCCGGGGGATTTGGCGCTCAGCTTTGTCGATTTTTAGGTCTTTTGATAGCTATTGACTTCTTAGAAAGTGAAAAAGCTAGCGACAAACGCGCAGAAGTTTTTTGCTAGTATTTTGCTGCTTTTCCGGAGATTTGGCATTGGTTTTTGACGATTTCAGCTAATTCTGGGGCTTTTTCAACACTACTTACTTCTAAGAAAGTGAAATAGCTAGCGAATCGAGGTTTTAGACGATTAAAACGATTTTAGAACGGTTTCCCGGGATTTTCAGGCTTTTCCGGGTATTTGGCAGCGAGTTTTGTCGATTTTCGGCTTATTTTTAGCCATTTGGAACGCTACTAGACCTTAGAAAGTGAACATAGCTTCGAAGTTTTTTTTTGCGATTCCATTTCATTATTATAGCTTTTTCAGCATTTCCCATCCAATTTTCAGGGGTAAAAATGGCGCTGGGCCGTCTTGTGCAGGGCCTGAAATCGCCGTGGGCCGTCGGCTTCTCGACGTTTGGCCTCGCCTACGGCGTCTACAACATTTGGGAGTACGTTTTTGTTGTTTTTGACGTTTTTTTCTAGGTTTTCGCGATCGGAAATGGTCTTTTCTCGAGCATTTTTGAGCAGAAATGTCGAGGAAAAGCTAGAGTCCTTGAAAACGCGCCAAATTTGCTTAGAGTAGCTTCGTTTAAGCTCCGATTTGCTAGAATTAGACGAAAAGAAACGATTCATCGATTGCTGAAACTTTTAGAGAAGTTTTTGGCGCCTTTGGAGCAGAAATTTTCCGTTATTTTATGGTTTTACAACCCGCCAGGGCTTTTCTAGCTGTTCTAACCTTTTTTTTTGGTAAGATGAAGCCTAGAATTGCTCGAAATTAGGCAAAATCAAATTTATAGATTCTTGCAACGTTTAGGCGACGATTTTGCCTCATTTTCGACTCAAAACGGCTTCTCTGCCTTTTTTTCAACGTTTATCTAGCCTTAGAACGGACGCGATAAAACCTGGAAGTGCTCGAAATTCGGGGCAAAATGATTATTTCTCGATTTCTTGAGGTTTTATATGCATTTTGAGCGGTTAGTTACAGAAAATATCTATTTTTTCGCTTACCTATTTTTGTAAGTCGCTGCAAAACGATATTTCTCCTTTTTGCAGCTCGACGCAATCGGGCACCAAGTACGAGCTGCACGAGGAGCTGACCGGCAAAACCTACATCGTCACCGGGGCCACGTCGGGCATCGGACTGGTGTGTGCATTTTGATTGCTTAACCAAATGGATTTCCCTGTCGTAACGGATTCCGAGCCTTGTCCTTCCGATTTTAATAGCGTAATCGGATGAAGCGCGGTTTTTTTTTAACAATTTTTAGGCTAAAAAATTAACTGGGCGATGTTTGGCATTTTTTCGAGAGTTTCCTGTCTTAATCGTTTCCCAGGGCTGTTTTGCCGATTTCCATAGCGTAATCAGCTGAACCTGGGGGTGTTTTTTACAATTTTTTAGTAAAAAAAAGTATTTGAGCGATTTTTGGCATTTTTTTTTGCTGGATTTCGCGTCGTACTCGTTTCCTAGTCTTGCCCTGCTGATTTTCATGGCGTAATCAGATATACATGCTGTTCTGAACCGTTTTTACAGGAAACGACGCGCGAGCTGGCGAAACGCGGGGCCCGCGTCGTGATGGCCTGCCGAAATCGGGAGAAATGCGTGCAAGTGAGGCGGGATGTCGTGCTCGAGACGCGCAATAAACAGGTACAATTTTCTGCGCTGCTTTTCGAGCGATTTCCGGCAAAAATTGACGTCGATTTTCGGCCCATTTTGCGGTTTTTGTGATGCGAAATGGGGTGGTATCTCCCCTTTCATTTCCGCCTTTTTCCAGGTGTACTGCCGCCAGTGCGACCTCGAGGATTTCGACTCGATCCGCAACTTTGTCGCCAAACTCTCAAAAGGTAGTTTTTTTTGTGCTTAAAAATGAATTTAATTCACCGATTTTTGTGATTTTAATCAATTTAAATTCAGGCAAATTCGAGCTGGACCGCATCGACGGCGTGCTGCACAACGCGGCCATGATGCAGACGCAGCGCGACATCAACAAGGTCGGCCGAATTTCGAATTTTAGAACAAACAAATATAAAAATCATGCTAATAAATCCATTTCCAGGACGGCATCGAGAAGACGCTGGCGACGAACCACATGGGCTCCTTCTTGCTGACGGCCCTCCTCCTCGACAAGCTGCTCGCCCAGAAGCAGCCCGTCCGGCTCGTCTTTGTCAACTCCAACGTCATCGACAGGAAGTGCGTTTCGGGCGTTTTTTGTGTAGCTTGTAGTCGGCCGGTGTCCAGCGCCACGCAAAATTTATAGTTTGTAGTTTTTGATTTTTATTGTTTTATTGTTATTTTTGATTTGTAGCCTAGATTTCGACGGGTGTAGTTTGTAGTCTGTAGCCTAGGTAGACGAGTTCTAATTTGTAGTCTAGCTCCGACGGGCTGTAGTTTGTAGTCTGTAGTAGTCTAGGTGGGACGGCTGATTTTCTAGCGTAGGGCTTCACATTTTGTAGTCTGTAGCCTAGCCGAAAGCTTGTCGTTTGTAGACTAGGTCTCGACGTTTTGTAGCCCGTAGTCTGTAGTCTCCAGCTTCTAGTCCTTCTTCAGACGCTGTGCTTTGTAGTTTGTAGCCTGTAGTTTGCAGCCAGCGTTTCTCGGGAGTATTTTGTAGTCTGTATTCTCACTCGATAGAGTTTGTAGTCTGTAGCCTTCACCTCAAGCACACTTTATTAACGGCAACTAAGAAAAGAGGACAATTTTGTTGTTGTAATAATTGGGTTATGAACACGAATCGATACGCGGATATACACTACACGACGACGACGATGATGATGATAGACAGTAGAAGAACACGAAGGCGAAGAACGTACGCACAAAAAAAGGGCGGAAAAGGGGGGGAAGAGAGAGAGAGAGAGAGCGAGAGAAACGCGGAGGTGTACTTGTTGGTGTTGTTGTTGCGGGGCGTCTTCTCGGCCGTTGGTTGGGCGGTGGCTGGGGGATGTTCATCTACTGCTGCTGCTGCTGCTGGTCGGGCTGGGGCGGCGCGGCGGGCGGCGGTCCCATCTTGGCGAGCATGTCGGCCGCCTCGCGGGCATGCCACTCGTCGGCCCCGTCGTTCGGCGCCAGCCCGTCAATCTGCAAACACGGGGAGTAAGCTTGGGGCTTTTGGCTTCAATGGGCCTTTAAAGGGGGTGTGACAGCTGGATTTTTGAGATTTTGCCTTCAATGGGCCTTTAAAAGGGAGACTAGGCAGCTGAACGGCTAGCTGATGCGCTCCATTTAAAGGGGGCGTGACCAGCTGAACTGCTAGCTGTCGCTGCCTCTTTTAGTGGACGGGGCCCGGCTGAACACCTAGCTGTCGCGCTCCCCTTAAAAGAGAGGCGTGGCCGGCTGAACTCCTCGCTGTCGTGCTGCCCGCCTGTACCTGTTGAAGACAGTCCCTGGCCTTGTCCCGTTCGCCGATCCCCTCCAGACAGCGCGCCATGTACAGCAGATTGTCGATGGCCGTCGGCTCCTACAAAACTCTGATTTTTCAGGACCATTCAAGGCGAAGTTCCACAAGCCACGCCCATTTTAAAGGGACGTTCAGGCACAGATCGATACCTGTTCGTAGGCCTTGGTGAGGTCGACGAGGGCGAGCTGCAGGCTCGGCTCCGACATCTCGTCCAGGAAGCGCGTCGCGTCGCTGGAAAACAGCGATTTTCGTGGCGTAATCGATGCAAAGAGCGTACCGCTCGTCGGCGGTGAGCATCGTCAGCTGGTAGATGAACCGGCCGCGCATGTGCAGCAGCACCGGATCCGCGGGGCTGACCGCCACCGCCGCGTCCAGATAGGCCTGAAAAAGGGCAGGATTTTCATGGCGTAATCGATTGAAAAGTTTGGTTTTTATAGCGTAATTGATTAAGAAGCCAATTTTGATAGCGTAATCGAATAGAAAAATCGGATTTTCACTTCGTAATCGATTGAAAAGCTCGATTTTCATAGCGTCATCGATTCGAAAAGGCGCATACCTTAAAGTTGTTGGCGAGAAAGGTCTTCTCGTTGACGTGGCCCGCCTCGGCGATGACGCCCGCCAGGATGGTGCACTGCTTCAGCACCTCCCCGTTCACCGGGTCCAGCTCGTCGGCCCGCTCAACGGCTTTCATCGCTGAAAGTGAGGGGAATTTCCGGATGTCACTCTCCCTTTAAACGGGCAACATTCCGCAAATGACCTCTGCTAGCTAGCTGGAACTTTGGCGGGCTAGCAGAGGGCATTGGGGAATTTTGTAGTCGCTGTCACGGTCCCTTTAGGCAGTCAAATGCTAAGCTTAGGCTTAGGGGGAAGTCAAAGGCAAAGCCTGCTAAGCCTAAGCCAAGCCTAAGCCTAATCTAGCTAAGCCCGCTAAGCCAAGCAAGCTCTCCCACCCCTCTCAATAACGGCAATTGGCACGGTGGGCGGGGCTTGGGCGGTGTAGGCGGCGTAGGCGGCCTGCGCCAGCTGCACGGCGAACGGGATCCAGCCCTCGGGCCCCAGCCGGCCCTCGATCTCGGACAGCTTGGCTGTCACCTGCAATGGGGGCAGGTAGCAGAGAGCATTGAGGAAGAGCGAAAACCGATTTTCAAAAAAATTCGAAGCTGGTGGCCAAGGGGTTAGTGGTCTTGGCGGCCAATCTGGGCGTCCGGGTTCGACTCCCGGGACCCACAAACTTTTTGCTTTTTGGTTTAAACGCTTAGAATGGGATGTCTGGCAGCTACGAAATAGATTTTGGAGGTAAAAACTGCGTTTTGAACCGATTACGGCATGTAATAGGGTCTCGGGTTCGACTCCCGGGACCCACAAACTTTTTGCTTTTTGGTTTAAACGCTTAGGATCGTTTTTTCGATGCCAGGAAGAGCGAGATAGAGAGAGAGAGAGAGAGAGAGAGAGCGCCACCCACCTCTTCCCCGCCGAGATTCCCGTTCAACAGATCGGCAATCCATAGGGCGACAGCCTGCGGGTCGAGCACGACGGGTGTATGATGGGGGGCGGGGGCGGGGTGTTCAGCAGCGGCCGTCGTGGTGGCGGCGGCGACGTGTCCATCGGTCGGGTCGAGCATCCTCTTTTCGGGAAATGGCCGCCGTTCCAGGCCCGCCTGGCTTTATTCCGGCATTTTTATGCTAATTTTGCAGGATTTCCGGGGTTGTAAATGCTAAATAAATGCAAATTAGATTTTTGGGATGTAGAATAACGTGGCGTAATCGATTTTTAGATCTGTCCAGGCGCCTTTAGAAGCGCATTTCATGGCGTAATCGATTTTTCCTAGCTGTCACCACGCCTTTAAACCCGAATTTCATCGCGTAATCGTTCCTTTCCAGATGCGAGCTGAACATTGACGACCTGAACGCCGCGGAACGCAAGAAGTTTGACGGCTACGAGATCTACAAGGAGACCAAACTGGCGAACGCCCTTTTCGCCAAGGAGCTCAGCGAGAGGCTCAAAGGTAGAGTAACCAGTTACGCGATTAAAAACGCCGAAAAGGCATGAAAAACGCCCCAAAAATCTAGTTTCTGTGAAAAATTTGGCCCTGAAAGGCGCGGCCAAGTGGTTAGTGAGCTCCTCTGCCAATCTGACGACCCGGGTTCGACCCCCGTCCGCGGCACACTTTTGCTTTTTGCTTTAAGAGTTCAGAATCGAGGCGCTGGAGTTTAGGGAGCATCGGCTTGACCGATTACGCCATCCAATCCGCCTGTTCCAGATACGAACATCACGGTGAACGTGGCCGACCCAGGGCGGACAAAGACGGAACTGTCACGGAAAATGGACGACGAGGTCTTCTTCCTGTCACGATGGATTCTCGGTTTCGTCAGGTACCACAATCACGCATTCTTTCTAAAGGGCGCGTGCGCGTTGCGTGTAGCGGCGCGGAAAAATTCGGCAAAAATCTCTGCTAGTAGGCCCAAAAAATTGAATTCTTTCAAATTTTCTAGTTTTTTTGCTCAATTTTCCACCGCGCTAGTTATCGCGGTTTTTGAAGCCTTGTGCGGCCCTTTAAAACGCGGCATGCTAGCAGAGACAATTTAGGAAATTGGTAATTTTTCGTTTTCCAGTTTCTGCATGGGCGAGCGGAAGGTGGTGAAGGCTGTCCGCCCGATCCTCTACGCCCTCTGTGATCAAGAGATGGAGGGGAAGACTGGCGATTTTATTAAGTGCGTTTTAAACTTTTGAAAATAGGTCTTGAATTTTTAATTAAATTTTAAGCTCTAAAAATCAAATTTTTTTCATTTTTTCAAAATTTGATTTTTCATTTTTAGGCTTAATTTTCGATTTTTAAAAATTGCACAACCACGTTATTTAATTTCTAGGGTGTTTTGCTTTAGAGCAAATTTGTCTAGAAGCGATTTTTAAATAAAATTAATTTTTAAAATTTAAAAATTCAATTTTTTTTGTTTTTGAACTTTTAACGCTATTTTGAAGCTGATGCTCCCCGTTTTAGTCGTGAGCGCAAGGAGCAGCCGTGGAACGAGACGGTGCTCGACGTCGCCAAGAGGTTCGACTTTTTTCAACATTTTTGAATTTTTTTTGCGATTTTACGTAGTTTTTATTTTCGTATTTTCAGACAGCGACTGTGGGCGACGAGTGAGGCGTGGACACGACTCCCCACCCAGATGGCCCTCCTCAGGAATGAACTCGGCGAACCGCTGGATACGGTAACGTTTTTGCCGGGTTGTTTTTGAGGAGAGGCAAACTAGCAGAGAGTTTTGGAGAAATCTGGAATCTGCCGATCGGAAAAAATGGAAAATTCCGCAAAGAATCCCTGCTAGGCGCCCTGTCACGCCCCCTTTAAGCCGATTACGCTATGGAATTCGGGGCCAATGGTTTCTCAAGGGGTCTTTGCTAGCCTGCCAGGTTTCCAGGAACCGATTACGCGCTGAAAATAGGCTAGGCGATCTAGCAGAGATTCTTTGCGGAATTTTCCCGATTTTTCAACGGTTCTCTGCTAGCGCGCCCCTAATATTTATCCCTGTTTTGCAGGCCTCTTCCCCCTCATCGGGCGCCAAATCGGGTAAATCGTGGTGGCGACTGCTCTGGTAGACGCCGGAAAATGGAATTATCGATTTTTCGCGTTTTTTGTAGTCTGTAGCTTGTAGCCTTCTAGCTGCCTCCCTTGTAGTCTGTAGTCTGTAGCCCCTCGTTGTGTTTTTATTGTTTGTTTTGTTTTGTTGTATTTCTCTTTCTTGTTTCTCTCTCTCTCCCTCCGATCCGCTACGCGACGATACTCCCCCCGTTTTTATATATGTCGATTTTTATGGCGTAATCGATTCTCCAATTTCCGTTTTTCTCGCTCATTTGCTCGCTCATAATTACGTGGCGTGTACGAATAAATTGGGCCCCGTTTCGATTTACAGGGCGTAACTGGTTATTTTGACGACACAACACGATATTCACGTCGTCATCGATTAAACGGAGGCTTTTTGGAGCGTAATTGGTTTATTTTTCGGGATTTGCGAGGCCTGATCGGTTTTTCTAGAAGATTTTCATGGCCTAATCGGGTTTTCTGAGTTGTTTTCGTGGCGTAATCAATTGATTTTTGCCGAGTTTCGTAGCGTAACCGATTTTTTGAGGATTTTATCACGTAATCGATTTTCTAGACTATTTTCATTGCGTAATCGACTCCCAAGTATTTTATTGCCCATTTCAATAGCGTAATCGAATCGCCGGCCGGCCAAAAATGATAAATTATAACGTATAATCGATTATAGCTTATCGTCTCCTCGTGACAGGGTACGGTACCGGGGTCGCGTACATGATGACGTACTTTCCGTTCTGCTCCGTCTTGCACATCAGATCGTCCATAAACCTGAAAAAAACGACGCTGAATCGATTACGACAAAAATGGGCATGGCCAAGTGGTTAGTGAGTTTGGTTGCCAATCTGGGGGTCCGGGTTCGACCCCCGGTCGCGGCGAACTTTTGATTTTTGCCTGAACTTTTTTGGCGGTTGCTAAATAATATTTTCCACGTTATTTCTGCTTTTTTTGGAGTGATTTTCAAGACCTACCGTGTCCTTGAGGCGAAATCTGTCGGCGCCAGTAGCGACTCGAACGACACGCCGAACACGCCCTCCGCCGCTTTCTGAATTATATTTTTTTACAAAAATCAATTTTTTCGGGTTTATTTTTCGTTTTAAAGGGGCTCGGACAAGCAATAGAAAGGCCGATTACGCCATGAAAATTAGTTATTTGGGCTTCAGTTAAAAAATATACCTGCAAGAGATTAGCGGAGGCCTGCAAATTGCATGCCGGCTGCCCGGTCTTGGCCTCTTGCTCCAGTTGCTTCTGGTGGATCTGGAATAGGCCTTGAAAACCAATTTTTTTTGCGTTCCAATTACGCCACTAAAATCTACTTACCGCCTCCATGGTATTATCGATGACAGTCTCCAGATGCTTGTTGCAACAGACGAAGCCTAAAATGAGCGTAAATTCCGATAATTCCCGGCAAAATCCGTGTAAATTAAAGGGACCGGGACAGCTGCGCTCAGGCGATAACTTGATTTTAAAGAGTCAATTACGTCATGTAATTCGAGTTTAAAGGTCCCGTCAAGTCTAGACTATTCGATTACGCCATGTATTTAGACTTTAAAGAGGCAAATTAGCCAATTTTAATCGATTACGCCACAAAATCCACCTACCTTTCCCGTTAACATAGCAGCCGGGGATGTCGACTTTTGGCGGGGGCGGGACTTTGATCTCAAGGATTGGCGGGGGGATGTTTGAGGCGCCGGTTGGCTGAAAAACAGAGGGTGTAGTTTGTTGTCTGTATTACAGGATTGTAGTCTGTAGTCTGTAGTCTTACTTGCCCTCCTCCGGCTCCCCGATTGATCCGCCATATCCATAACCGCCCCTCCTCCTCCTTGGCCGCCCAGTTGATAGCCGCCACCGGTTTGGTACTGAAACTACAAACTGCAAAATATTGGCTACAGACTAAAAATCTGCTCCAGGCTACAGACTACAAACAACAGACTATAAAAGATAGACTACAGGCTACAAAGTCTAAGTTATGGGCTACAAATGAGGAAAATGATGCCTGGAAGACCCCTGACTACAGACTACGGCTTGGAGCTACAGACTACACCTCTGACATACAGACGACAAATCTGCTCCACGCTACAGGCTACAGATTTAAGAGTACCTACTACAAACTACAGACTACATGCAGACTGTAGCCTACAGACTACAAACTCTTGGCTACAGACTACAAACTGCAGCCTCCTACCTGCCCTGCTCCTCCTGCACCGTAGGGTGAGGCGCCGAAGGGGGAGAAACCCCCCTGGAAACCGCCGAACTGCTGAGCGCCCGCCGAGAGGGGCGAGACGGCAATCGCTGATTCTGAAAGAGGGGGAGAATTTGGGCTATAGGCTACAAACTACAACCTGGGCTACAAATCGGGCTACAAACTACAATTTGGGCTAGAAATCGGACTACATACTACAAAGTAACTAGAATTTTGACTATAAACTCGAGATCAGTCTACAGAATACAAACTACAAAATAGGCTACAGCCTACAGTTTTGACAACAGGACACAGGCTACAAACTACAAAATGGGCTACAAACTACAATACAAGCTACAATTTTGGGTACAAAATGGGTTACAAATTAGACGACAGACTACAGAACGAAGAGTGAACTAAAAGATAGGCTACAGACTACACAATCGACTACGAACTACAGACTACAAACAACAAAAACCCACGCTGCCCAAAGAGATCGCCGCTTTCGCCGAGGGTGATCTGTGGCCCGGTGGCTGTCGGGTTGGCGATGGAGCCGACCTGCGCCGGGTTCAGGTAGAACTTCTGCACGTCGCCGTTCGGCTGAACATTAGAGGTTTAGTGGCTCAAAGAATCTCTGCTAGCTTGCCCTGAGCGAGCTATTTTATGGCATAATCGATTACGCTGTAAAATTAGGTCAAAAATGGCTAAAAATTAGAAATCTATAGGAATTCATGCCTTCCTAATCCCTTTAAAATGGACCCACCAGCGGCACAAAAGCGGTGACTTGTCCATTGGGCCCTCGACTGAGTGCAGCCCCTCCTCCCCCAATCGTCGGCCCAATCCCTGCCGCTCTCTTCACTCGGACTACGGTAGCCCCGCCCCCCCCCCCCCCCGTCTGAGGCCAATCGATGCAGCTCGAGCAGTTCGGCGTTCAGTTGCAGGATTTTGGCGTGGATCTGGTCCAGGGTTGCGTTTGTTGGCACTGGAAAACTCGGGATTAAGTTGAAGTTAAAGGGCCCGGCAAGTCGAATTTTTCCGATATTTTCATGTCGAAATCGATTAGAATTATCGCAACTTTTCGGCTTTTTCGATGCAAATCCTTTTTCTGCCATCCAAATAACCGATTTTGAAACTCTAGGCCAAAAAGCAAAAAGCAAAAACTTTTGCCGCGGCCAGGGGTCGAACCCGCGACCCTATTTTAACGGCAGAATCGGTTTAAAATCTGATTTTAAAGCGTTACATTGAATTTTGGTAATCAGAAAGACGATTCTGGGCTTTTGAAGCAAAAGCAAAAACCCTGCCGCAGCCGGAGGTCGAACCCGGGTCGTCAGACTGGCAGCCTACCACGTTAGCCACTGCGCCACAATCCTCCAAAACTTACCGTGGAGGTCAGCGTGGAGGATTTCGCTTCCAGAATGGTCCAAAACAGGCTCCTTGGGCTGTTTTTGGCGGTATTGCTGCCCCTGAAAATAGGCGACTCGGGGTGTTACACTCCCTTTAAAACGCACATCCTGGGAGCACGAGCTGCTGTCCGTTCACCTTGAGCACCGGGTGCCGATTGGGGCGTGGAGGACCTCGTGGATTACGGTAGGGGTTAGACGGTCGACAATCGGCTCTTCGTCCTGAATTTTCGAAGCTGTTTTCATGGCGTAATCGATTCGGGGGCTGTCACTGCGCCTTTAAAGGATGGAATTGGGTTAAGTGGCAGAAATTATAGCTATTATAGCCTGAAAATTGGAAAGCAACCCCAAACCCGTGGCCAAGTGGTTAGCGACGTTGCCTGCCAATCTGACGACCCGGGTTCGATCCCCGGCCGCAGCAAAGTTTTCGTTTTTGCTTTTTCGCAGATTTTTTGACGTGTTTTTACGCTTTTCACCCTCACCCCAGCCAACGGAATCCCGGCTTCCACGTGCGTGAAATTCGCCGGAATCGGGACGTCGTCCTGCGAGCGTGTCCAGAATCTTCGGAATCTCGGTCGTAATTTCGTAGCGTTGCGTAGCCGTCGGTTCCTCCCCGCTTCCCTGCCCTCCACGTCAAGGCGATTCCGCTGGAAAATTGGGGTTTAGGTTGTTGGATTTCCATAGCGTAATCGATTAGCCTCTAGCAAAAAAATATATTTTTCTGGTTTTCAGGTTTTCTAATTTTATGTTGTAATCGGTATTTGATAAGAGTTTTTCAGGGCTTTCGAATAGTCTATAAATCATTACGATAGCTAATTCCTAGGCAAAGTTATGGCCGGTTAAAGGTTTGACTGGAGGCTGGGCTTAGGCCTAGGCTTAGGCTTGGAGCTTAGGCTTAGGCTTAGGCCCAGGCTAAGCAGGCTTAAGCTTAGGCTTAGGCTTAGGCTTAGGCTAGGCTTAGGCTTAGGCTAGGCAGGCTCAGGCTTAGGCTTAGGCTTAGGCTTAGGCGTAGGGGTCGACCATGGAAATCGACCATATCGATAGGCTAACAAATTTTTTTATTTTTAGCTTTTTCGGATTACTGTATTTTATTAATATTATTTCGACATTGTGTAGAGGTTTTCAAGGACTTTCAATCGATAATATCTAAATCATTGCTCTACCATCAATCCTAGCGCGAGTTATCGCCATTTTAAGTTCCGGGATCCGGGCTACAAACTACAATAGGCCGTATCTCCGGCTACAAACGTCGGATACCATGTTTTGTAGCTCATTTTGCAGCGCTTTCAAGCGCTTTCGAATGAAACTATCTTACGTACCAATATAATTTCTCTGGTTGTGATCCCACGGCTCAATTTTGTAGCTTGTAGCCGCCGCCTTCATCCTGTAACCCACGACACTCCTCGCCGCCACCTGCGGGATCAAAAATCGCCCTCTCGGCCGCCCGCGGGTTTGTGCCCAGATACCGGGGCGGTGTGGCCTGAAAAAGAGGCGTGTTCTCGAAAATCACCCCGCGCTAAGCGGTCGCTAAAAATCGGAATTTTGGGCTCGTCGATCTCGCGTTTAGGTAAGGTCGTGTCGAACGAGGAGAGGTGTCGATCTCCTGAAAAAATCGGGGTCATCAAACCGATTACGCTATGAAAATAGGAATCGGGTTCAGATCTTAATCCCCCCAAATGTTGCCACCTGCTTTTCAGTAATTTTGCTTTCGCTTTGGTTTTACGCCGATCTGGGTCCTACCTGGAACATTGCCTCCTTTTCCACCGCCAACCCCGTCCTCCTGGGCTAATTAGCCGACCTCAGGTCACGGCCTTCTTCCAGTACTGTAGCACCCGGCTGTGGCGATGAGGGAATGGGAGAAGATCTGCTACGGATCGAGCCTGAATTATGTGGTTACGATCAGGAAAAAATTTTAGGCTTAAAGCAAATAGCAGGCGGTGTGACCTCACCGGGATCAGACCCTCAACTTTATATTACTGCCAGTAAGCGCTCCAAAATTTTGTTTTAAGGGGGCGAACTTGCTACCTGACATCTAGAAAGCCTATTTCAAGGTGCTGAAGCAAAAATCAAGATGCCTGCCGCGGCCGAAGGGTCGAACTCGGGCCCTCAGATTGTCGGACCCTCACCTTAGCCGCTGCGCCAAAGTCAGATTTGATTGTTTTGGGGTTTTATTGAGGGAGCGAAGACCGATTGGCTATTTTAAAGGTTATGACGCCCACCGAATCGACTACGCCATGAAAATCTGCGGCACTTACATCGCTGGCGGTGCTGATCTGCCAGATCGACTTTTGCAGGGAGATTGGGGCGGGTAGACGAAAATGAATGTAGATAGTAATAGTAGATGCAATAGCATTCTAAAACAAGTAAATTCCGAAATATATAACGAAAAAGTTTCAAAATGCGAAAAAAATGCGATTTCGGATCGCAATTTCGTCTTCAACGGTCATACAAGTGCTAAATATCGGATTTAAAGCCTTAAACTAATTAATTATCGGATACCGAATTTTAAGCGCTATAAAATGTTATAGAAAACGTAAAATCAGCAGTTCCTCGATTTTCTAGAATTTTATGGAGTTTAAAAAATCCAGAAAGTGCAGAAAAAGCGACATTTTCCTTCAACGCCCCCCCGACAAGCTGCTCGCCCAGAAGCAGCCCGTCCGCTCGTCTTGTCAACTCCAACGTCATCGACAGGAAGTGTTTCGGGCGTTTTTTGTGTAGCTTGTAGTCGGCCGGTGTCCAGCGCCACGCAAAATTTATAGTTTGTAGCGTTTTGATTTTTATTGTTTTATTGTTATTTTTGATTTGTAGCCTAGATTTCGACGGGTGTAGTTTGTAGTCTGTAGCCTAGGTAGACGAGTTCTAATTTGTAGTCTAGTTCGGACGGGCCGTAGTTTGTAGTCTGTAGTAGTCTAGGTGGGACGGCTGGATTTTAGCGTAGGGCTTCACATCTTTGTAGTCTGTAGCCTGGGGCCGAAAGTTTGTCGTTGTGTAGACTAGGTCTCGACGTTTTGTAGCCCGTAGTCTGTAGTTCCAGCTTCTAGTCCTTCTTCCAGACGCTGTGCTTTGTAGTTTGTAGCCTGTAGTTTGCAGCCAGCGTTTCTCGGGAGTATTTTGTAGTCTGTATTCTCACTCGATAGAGTTTGTAGTCGTAGCCTTCACCTCAAGCACACTTTATTAACGGCAACTAAGAAAGAGGACAATTTGTTGTTGTAATAATTGGGTTATGAACACGAATCGATACGCGGATATACACTACACCACGACGACGATGATGATGATAGACAGTAGAAGAACACGAAGGCGAAGAACGTACGCACAAAAAAAAGGGCGGAAAAGGGGGAAGAGAGAGAGAGAGAGAGCGAGAGAAACGCGGAGGTGTACTTGTTGGTGTTGTTGTTGCGGGGCGTCTTCTCGGCCGTTGGTTGGGCGGTGGCTGGGGGATGTTCATCTACTGCTGCTGCTGCCGCTGGTCGGGCTGGGGGCGGCGCGGCGGGCGGCGGTCCCATCTTGGCGAGCATGTCGGCCGCCTCGCGGAGCATGCCACTCGTCGGCCCCGTCGTTCGGCGCCAGCCCGTCAATCTGCAAACACGGGGAGTAAGCTTGGGCTTTGGCTTCAATGGGCCTTTAAAGGGGTGTGACAGCTGGATTTTTGAGATTTTGCCTTCAATGGGCCTTTAAAAGGGAGACTAGGCAGCTGAACGGCTAGCTGATGCGCTCCATTTAAAGGGGCGTGACCAGCTGAACTGCTAGCTGTCGCTGCCTCTTTTAGTGGACGGGGCCCGGCTGAACACCTAGCTGTCGCGCTCCCTTAAAAGAGAGGCGTGGCCGGCTGAACTCCTCGCTGTCGTGCTGCCCGCCTGTACCTGTTGAAGACAGTCCCTGGCCTTGTCCCGTTCGCCGATCCCTCCAGACAGCGCGCCATGTACAGCAGATTGTCGATGGCCGTCGGCTCCTACAAAACTCTGATTTTTCAGGACCATTCAAGGCGAAGTTCCACAAGCCACGCCCATTTTAAAGGGACGTTCAGGCACAGATCGATACCTGTTCGTAGGCCTTGGTGAGGTCGACGAGGGCGAGCTGCAGGCTCGGCTCCGACATCTCGTCCAGGAAGCGCGTCGCGTCGCTGGAAAAAACAGCGATTTTCGTGGCGTAATCGATGCAAAGAGCGTACCGCTCGTCGGCGGTGAGCATCGTCAGCTGGTAGATGAACCGGCCGCGCATGTGCAGCAGCACCGGATCCGCGGGGCTGACCGCCACCGCCGCGTCCAGATAGGCCTGAAAAAGGGCAGGATTTTCATGGCGTAATCGATTGAAAAGTTTGGTTTTTATAGCGTAATTGATTAAGAAGCCAACTTTGATAGCGTAATCGAATAGAAAAATCGGATTTTCACTTCGTAATCGATTGAAAAGCTCGATTTTCATAGCGTCATCGATTCGAAAAGGCGCATACCTTAAAGTTGTTGGCGAGAAAGGTCTTCTCGTTGACGTGGCCCGCCTCGGCGATGACGCCCGCCAGGATGGTGCACTGCTTCAGCACCTCCCCGTTCACCGGGTCCAGCTCGTCGGCCCGCTCAACGGCTTTCATCGCTGAAAGTGAGGGGAATTTCCGGATGTCACTCTCCCTTTAAACGGGCAACATTCCGCAATGACCCTGCTAGCTAGCTGGAACTTTGGCGGGCTAGCAGAGGGCATTGGGGAATTTTGTAGTCGCTGTCACGGTCCCTTTAGGGCAGTCAAATGCTGCTTAGGCTTAGGGGAAGTCAAAGGCAAAGCCTGCTAAGGCCAAGCCAAGCCTAAGCCTAATCTAGCTAAGCCCGCTAAGCAAAGCTCTCCCACCCCTCTCAATAACGGCAATTGGCACGGTGGGCGGGGCTTGGGCGGTGTAGGCGGCGTAGGCGGCCTGCGCCAGCTGCACGGCGAACGGGATCCAGCCCTGGGCCCCAGCCGGTCCTCGATCTCGGACAGCTTGGCTGTCACCTGCAATGGGGCAGGTAGCAGAGAGCATTGAGGGAAGAGCGAAAACCGATTTTCAAAAAAATTCGAAGCTGGTGGCCAAGGGGTTAGTGGTCTTGGCGGCCAATCTGGGCGTCCGGGTTCGACTCCCGGGACCCACAAACTTTTGCTTTTTGGTTTAAACGCTTAGAATGGGATGTCTGGCAGCTACGAAATAGATTTTGGAGGTAAAAACTGCGTTTTGAACCGATTACGGCATGTAATAGGGTCTCGGTTCGACTCCCGGGACCCACAAACTTTTGCTTTTTGGTTTAAACGCTTAGGATCGTTTTTTCGATGCCAGGAAGAGCGAGATAGAGAGAGAGAGAGAGAGAGAGAGAGCGCCACCCACCTCTTCCCCTGCCGAGATTCCCGTTCAACAGATCGGCAATCCATAGGGCGACAGCCTGCGGGTCGAGCACGACGGGTGTATGATGGGGGCGGGGGGGAGGGTGTTCAGCAGCGGCCGTCGTGGTGGCGGCGGCGACGTGTCCATCGGTCGGGTCGAGCATCCTCTTTCGGGAAATGGCCGCCGTTCCAGGCCCGCCTGGCTTTATTCCGGCATTTTTATGCTAATTTTGCAGGATTTCCGGGTTGTAAATGCTAAATAAATGCAAATTAGATTTTTGGGATGTAGAATAACGTGGCGTAATCGATTTTTAGATCTGTCCAGGCGCCTTTAGAAGCGCATTTCATGGCGTAATCGATTTTTCCTAGCTGTCACCACGCCTTTAAACCCGGAATTTCATCGCGTAATCGTTCCTTTCCAGATGCGAGCTGAACATTGACGACCTGAACGCCGCGGAACGCAAGAAGTTTGACGGCTACGAGATCTACAAGGAGACCAAACTGGCGAACGCCCTTTTCGCCAAGGAGCTCAGCGAGAGGCTCAAAGGTAGAGTAACCAGTTACGCGATTAAAAACGCCGAAAAGGCATGAAAAACGCCCCAAAAATCTAGTTTCTGTGAAAAAATTTGGCCCTGAAAGGCGCGGCCAAGTGGTTAGTGAGCCTCTGCCAATCTGACGACCCGGGTTCGACCCCCGTCCGCGGCACACTTTTGCTTTTTGCTTTAAGAGTTCAGAATCGAGGCGCTGGAGTTTAGGGAGCATCGGCTTGACCGATTACGCCATCCAATCCGCCTGTTCCAGATACGAACATCACGGTGAACGTGGCCGGACCCAGGGCGGACAAAGACGGAACTGTCACGGAAAATGGACGACGAGGTCTTCTTCCCGTCACGATGGATTCTCGGTTTCGTCAGGTACCACAATCACGCATTCTTTCTAAAGGGCGCGTGCGCGTTGCGTGTAGCGGCGCGGAAAATTCGGCAAAAATCTCTGCTAGTAGGCCCAAAAAATTGAATTCTTTCAAATTTTCTAGTTTTTTTGCTCAATTTTCCACCGCGCTAGTTATCGCGGTTTTTGAAGCCTTGTGCGGCCCTTTAAAACGCGGCATGCTAGCAGAGACAATTTAGGAAATTGGTAATTTTTCGTTTTCCAGTTTCTGCATGGGCGAGCGGAAGGTGGTGAAGGCTGTCCGTCCCGATCCTCTACGCCCTCTGTGATCAAGAGATGGAGGGGAAGACTGGCGATTTTATTAAGTGCGTTTTAAACTTTTGAAAATAGGTCTTGAATTTTTAATTAAATTTTAAGCTCTAAAAATCAAATTTTTTCATTTTTTCAAAATTTGATTTTTCATTTTTAGGCTTAATTTTCGATTTTTAAAAATTGCACAACCACGTTATTTAATTTCTAGGGTGTTTTGCTTTAGAGCAAATTTGTCTAGAAGCGATTTTTAAATAAAATTAATTTTTAAAATTTAAAAATTCAATTTTTTTGTTTTTGAACTTTTAACGCTATTTTGAAGCTGATGCTCCCGTTTTAGTCGTGAGCGCAAGGAGCAGCCGTGGAACGAGACGGTGCTCGACGTCGCCAAGAGGTTCGACTTTTTTCAACATTTTTGAATTTTTTTTGCGATTTTACGTAGTTTTTATTTTCGTATTTTCAGACAGCGACTGTGGGCGACGAGTGAGGCGTGGACACGACTCCCCACCCAGATGGCCCTCCTCAGGAATGAACTCGGCGAACCGCTGGATACGGTAACGTTTTTGCCGGGTTGTTTTTTGAGGAGAGGCAAACTAGCAGAGAGTTTTGGAGAAATCTGGAATCTGCCGATCGGAAAAATGGAAAATTCCGCAAAGAATCCCTGCTAGGCGCCCTGTCACGCCCCCTTTAAGCCGATTACGCTATGGAATTCGGGGCCAATGGTTTCTCAAGGGGTCTTTGCTAGCCTGCCAGGTTTCCAGGAACCGATTACGCGCTGAAAATAGGCTAGGCGATCTAGCAGAGATTCTTTGCGGAATTTTCCCGATTTTTCAACGGTTCTCTGCTAGCGCGCCCCTAATATTTATCCCTGTTTTGCAGGCCTCTTCCCCCTCATCGGGCGCCAAATCGGGTAAATCGTGGTGGCGACTGCTCTGGTAGACGCCGGAAAATGGAATTATCGATTTTTCGCGTTTTTGTAGTCTGTAGCTTGTAGCCTTCTAGCTGCCTCCCTTGTAGTCTGTAGTCTGTAGCCCCTCGTTGTGTTTTTATTGTTTGTTTTGTTTTGTTGTATTTCTCTTTCTTGTTTCCTCTCTCCCTCCGATCCGCTACGCGACGATACTCCCCGTTTTTATATATGTCGATTTTTATGGCGTAATCGATTCTCCAATTTCCGTTTTTCTCGCTCATTTGCTCGCTCATAATTACGTGGCGTGTAACGAATAAATTGGGCCCCGTTTCGATTTACAGGGCGTAACTGGTTATTTTGACGACACAACACGATATTCACGTCGTCATCGATTAAACGGAGGCTTTTTGGAGCGTAATTGGTTTATTTTTCGGGATTTGCGAGGCCTGATCGGTTTTTCTAGAAGATTTTCATGGCCTAATCGGGTTTTCTGAGTTGTTTTCGTGGCGTAATCAATTGATTTTTGCCGAGTTTCGTAGCGTAACCGATTTTTGAGGATTTTATCACGTAATCGATTTTCTAGACTATTTTCATTGCGTAATCGACTCCCAAGTATTTTATTGCCCATTTCAATAGCGTAATCGAATCGCCGGCCGGCCAAAAATGATAAATTATAACGTATAATCGATTATAGCTTATCGTCTCCTCGTGACAGGGTACGGTACCGGGGTCGCGTACATGATGACGTACTTTCCGTTCTGCTCCGTCTTGCACATCAGATCGTCCATAAACCTGAAAAAAACGACGCTGAATCGATTACGACAAAAATGGGCATGGCCAAGTGGTTAGTGAGTTTGGTTGCCAATCTGGGGGTCCGGGTTCGACCCCCGGTCGCGGCGAACTTTTTGATTTTTGCCTGAACTTTTTTGGCGGTTGCTAAATAATATTTTCCACGTTATTTCTGCTTTTTTTGGAGTGATTTTCAAGACCTACCGTGTCCTTGAGGCGAAATCTGTCGGCGCCAGTAGCGACTCGAACGACACGCCGAACACGCCCTCCGCCGCTTTCTGAATTATATTTTTTACAAAAATCAATTTTTTCGGGTTTATTTTTCGTTTTAAAGGGGCTCGGACAAGCAATAGAAAGGCCGATTACGCCATGAAAATTAGTTATTTGGGCTTCAGTTAAAAAATATACCTGCAAGAGATTAGCGGAGGCCTGCAAATTGCATGCCGGCTGCCCGGTCTTGGCCTCTTGCTCCAGTTGCTTCTGGTGGATCTGGAATAGGCCTTGAAAACCAATTTTTTTGCGTTCCAATTACGCCACTAAAATCTACTTACCGCCTCCATGGTATTATCGATGACAGTCTCCAGATGCTTGTTGCAACAGACGAAGCCTAAAATGAGCGTAAATTCCGATAATTCCCGGCAAAATCCGTGTAAATTAAAGGGACCGGGACAGCTGCGCTCAGGCGATAACTTGATTTTAAAGAGTCAATTACGTCATGTAATTCGAGTTTAAAGGTCCCGTCAAGTCTAGACTATTCGATTACGCCATGTATTTAGACTTTAAAGAGGCAAATTAGCCAATTTTAATCGATTACGCCACAAAATCCACCTACCTTTCCCGTTAACATAGCAGCCGGGGATGTCGACTTTTGGCGGGGGCGGGACTTTGATCTCAAGGATTGGCGGGGGGATGTTTGAGGCGCCGGTTGGCTGAAAAACAGAGGGTGTAGTTTGTTGTCTGTATTACAGGATTGTAGTCTGTAGTCTGTAGTCTTACTTGCCCTCCTCCGGCTCCCCCGATTGATCCGCCATATCCATAACCGCCCCCTCCTCCTCCTTGGCCGCCCAGTTGATAGCCGCCACCGGTTTGGTACTGAAACTACAAACTGCAAAATATTGGCTACAGACTAAAAATCTGCTCCAGGCTACAGACTACAAACAACAGACTATAAAAGATAGACTACAGGCTACAAAGTCTAAGTTATGGGCTACAAATGAGGAAAATGATGCCTGGAAGACCCCTGACTACAGACTACGGCTTGGAGCTACAGACTACACCTCTGACATACAGACGACAAATCTGCTCCACGCTACAGGCTACAGATTTAAGAGTACCTACTACAAACTACAGACTACATGCAGACTGTAGCCTACAGACTACAAACTCTTGGCTACAGACTACAAACTGCAGCCTCCTACCTGCCCTGCTCCTCCTGCACCGTAGGGTGAGGCGCCGAAGGGGGAGAAACCCCCTGGAAACCGCCGAACTGCTGAGCGCCCGCCGAGAGGGGCGAGACGGCAATCGCTGATTCTGAAAGAGGGGGAGAATTTGGGCTATAGGCTACAAACTACAACCTGGGCTACAAATCGGGCTACAAACTACAATTTGGGCTAGAAATCGGACTACATACTACAAAGTAACTAGAATTTTGACTATAAACTCGAGATCAGTCTACAGAATACAAACTACAAAATAGGCTACAGCCTACAGTTTTGACAACAGGACACAGGCTACAAACTACAAAATGGGCTACAAACTACAATACAAGCTACAATTTTGGGTACAAAATGGGTTACAAATTAGACGACAGACTACAGAACGAAGAGTGAACTAAAAGATAGGCTACAGACTACACAATCGACTACGAACTACAGACTACAAACAACAAAAAACCCACGCTGCCCAAAGAGATCGCCGCTTTCGCCGAGGGTGATCTGTGGCCCGGTGGCTGTCGGGTTGGCGATGGAGCCGACCTGCGCCGGGTTCAGGTAGAACTTCTGCACGTCGCCGTTCGGCTGAACATTAGAGGTTTAGTGGCTCAAAGAATCTCTGCTAGCTTGCCCTGAGCGAGCTATTTTATGGCATAATCGATTACGCTGTAAAATTAGGTCAAAAATGGCTAAAAATTAGAAATCTATAGGAATTCATGCCTTCCTAATCCCTTTAAAATGGACCCACCAGCGGCACAAAAGCGGTGACTTGTCCATTGGGCCCTCGACTGAGTGCAGCCCCTCCTCCCCCAATCGTCGGCCCAATCCCTGCCGCTCTCTTCACTCGGACTACGGTAGCCCCGCCCCCTCCCTCCCCGTCTGAGGCCAATCGATGCAGCTCGAGCAGTTCGGCGTTCAGTTGCAGGATTTTGGCGTGGATCTGGTCCAGGGTTGCGTTTGTTGGCACTGGAAAACTCGGGATTAAGTTGAAGTTAAAGGGCCCGGCAAGTCGAATTTTTCCGATATTTTCATGTCGAAATCGATTAGAATTATCGCAACTTTTCGGCTTTTTCGATGCAAATCCTTTTTCTGCCATCCAAATAACCGATTTTGAAACTCTAGGCCAAAAAGCAAAAAGCAAAAACTTTTGCCGCGGCCAGGGGTCGAACCCGCGACCCTATTTTAACGGCAGAATCGGTTTAAAATCTGATTTTAAAGCGTTACATTGGATTTTTGGTAATCAGAAAGACGATTCTGGGCTTTTGAAGCAAAAAGCAAAAACCCTGCCGCAGCCGGAGGTCGAACCCGGGTCGTCAGACTGGCAGCCTACCACGTTAGCCACTGCGCCACAATCCTCCAAAACTTACCGTGGAGGTCAGCGTGGAGGATTTCGCTTCCAGAATGGTCCAAAACAGGCTCCTTGGGCTGTTTTTTGGCGGTATTGCTGCCCCTGAAAATAGGCGACTCGGGGTGTTACACTCCCTTTAAAACGCACATCCTGGGGAGCACGAGCTGCTGTCCGTTCACCTTGAGCACCGGGTGCCGATTGGGGGCGTGGAGGACCTCGTGGATTACGGTAGGGGTTAGACGGTCGACAATCGGCTCTTCGTCCTGAATTTTCGAAGCTGTTTTCATGGCGTAATCGATTCGGGGGCTGTCACTGCGCCTTTAAAGGATGGAATTGGGTTAAGTGGCAGAAATTATAGCTATTATAGCCTGAAAAGTGGAAAGCAACCCCAAACCCGTGGCCAAGTGGTTAGCGACGTTGCCTGCCAATCTGACGACCCGGGTTCGATCCCCGGCCGCAGCAAAGTTTTTCGTTTTTTGCTTTTTCGCAGATTTTTTGACGTGTTTTTTACGCTTTTCACCCTCACCCCAGCCAACGGAATCCCGGCTTCCACGTGCGTGAAATTCGCCGGAATCGGGACGTCGTCCTGCGAGAGCGTGTCCAGAATCTTCGGAATCTCGGTCGTAATTTCGTAGCGTTGCGTAGCCGTCGGTTCCTCCCCGCTTCCACTGCCCTCCACGTCGAGCGATTCCGCTGGAAAATTGGGGTTTTAGGTTGTTGGATTTCCATGGCGTAATCGATTAGCCTCTAGCAAAAAAAATATATTTTTCTGGTTTTTCGGGTTTTTCTAATTTTATGTTGTAATCGGTATTTGATAGAGTTTTTCAAGGGCTTTCGAATGGTCTATAAATCATTACGATAGCTAATTCCTAGGCAAAGTTATGGCCGGTTAAAGTTTGACTGGAGGCATAGGCTTAGGCTTAGGCTTAGGCTTAGGCTTAGGCTTAGGCTTAGGCTTAGGCTTAGGCTTAGGCTTAAGCTTAGGCTTAGGCTTAGGCTTAGGCTTAGGCTTAGGCTTAGGCTTAGGCTTAGGCTTAGGCTTAGGCTTAGGCTTAGGCTTAGGCTTAGGCGTAGGGGTCGACCATGGAAATCGACCATATCGATAGGCTAACAAATTTTTTTATTTTTAGCTTTTTAGGATTACTGTATTTTATTAATATTAGTACGACATTGTATAGAGTTTTTCAAGGGCTTTCAAACGATATCTAAATCATTACTCTACCGTAATCCTAGCGCGAGTTATCGCCATTTAAAGTTTCGGGATCCGGGCTACAAACTACAATAGGCCGTATCTCCGGCTACAAACGTCGGATTTCCATGTTTTGTAGCTCATTTTGCAGCGCTTTCAAGCGCTTTCGAATGAGCTATCTTACATTACGAAATATAATTTCTCTAGTTTGTAGTCCACGGCTCAATTTTGTAGCTTGTAGCCTGTAGCCTACCGTACCTTGGCCACTCCTCGCCGCCACCTGCGGGATCAAAAAATCGCCCTCGGCCGCCCGCGGGTTTGTGCCCAGATACGGGGCGGGTGTGGCCTGAAAAAGGGGCGTGGTCTCGAAAATCCCCCTTGCCTTCAACGGTCCTTTAAAATCGGAATTTTTGGGCTCGTCGATCTCGCGTTTAATTGGGTCGTGTGGGAGCAGGGAGGGGGTGTCGATCTCCTGAAAAAATCGGGGTCATCAAACCGATTACGCTATGAAAATAGGGTCTCGGGTTCGACACCCTGTCGCGGCAGAATTTTTTGCCTTTTGCTTTTCAGTAATTTTTTGCTTTTTCTTTGGTTTTTACGCCGATCTGGGTCCTACCTGGAACATTGCCTCCTTTTCCACCGTAACCCCGTCCTCCTGGGCGCTAATTAGCGGGCCTCGGTCCACGGCCTTCTTCCGGTACTGTAGCACCCGGCTGTGGCGATGAGGGAATGGGAAGATGCTACGGATCGAGCCCTGAATTATGTGGTTACGATCAGAAAAAAATTTTAGGCTTAAAAGCAAATAGCAAAAGATTGTGACCTCGCCCGGGATCGAACCCTCAACCTTATTTTCATGGCGTAAGCGCTTAAAATTTTGCTTTAAAAGGGCGAACTTGCTACCTGACATCTAGAAAGCCTATTTCAAGGTGCTGAAGCAAAAATCAAGATGCCTGCCGCGGCCGGGGTCGAACTCGGGCCCTCAGATTGTCGGCCCCTCACCTTAGCCACTGCGCCAAAGTCAGATTTGATTGTTTTGGGGTTTTATTGAGGAGCGAAGACCGATTGGCTATTTTAAAGGGATTATGACGCCCAGGGAATCGACTACGCCATGAAAATCTGCGGCACTTACATCGCTGGCGGTGCTGATCTGCGGGTCGACTTTTTGCAGGGAGATTGGGGCGAATTGGGCGAAAGTAGATGTAGATAGTAATAGTAGATGCAATAGCATTCTAAAGCAAAAATTAAATTGAGAAATATATAACGAAAAAGTTTCAAAATGCGAAAAAATGCGATTTCGGATCGCAATTTCGTCTTCAACGGTCCTTTAAAGTGCTAAATATCGAATTTAAAGCTTTAAACTAATTAGTATCAGATACCGAATTTTAAGCGCTATAAAATGTTATAGAAAACGTAAAAAATCAACAGTTCCTGAATTTTCTAGAATTTTATAAAGTTTTAAAAAATCCAGAAAGTGCAGAAAAAGCGACATTTTTTCCTTCAACGCCCCTTTAAAAGGCGAATCCGGTAGAAATTCGTGGCGTTTTGATGATGATGGGATTTGTGGCGGCTGGCAGCATCATCGGGGGGTTCAGCCATGCCCTCGGCGGGCACAAAAAGTGGACCGTATCGCCCAGTCAAGCCACCCAGGCAACCATTCCCCTATCAAACGCCCCAAAAAAGCCTCAAAACGGGGGCAGAACGCACCGCCGAAACGTAAATTCCCCCTTGTTTCCGCCTCCTAAAGGCACCGGCAAGGTTTCGAGCAAAAAGCAAAAAATTTTGACCCCGGACGGAATCGAACCCGCGACCCGAATTTTATGCCGTAGTCGGTTGAGAATTCAATTTTAATTTTAGCATGGGGTTGACTAGCAGTAAGAAGACCAATTGTAAGTTTCTGAAGCAAAAAGCAAAAAGCAAAAAATTTTGACCTCGGCCGGAATCGAACTTGCGACCCGAATTTCATGCCGTAATCGGTTAATCGCTAAATCTTTTGAAACTTTTTCATCTCCACAATACCCGTTGGCCGCCAGTTCGCACGTTCCCCACACCAGAGCGCAATTTTTAGGGGGATTTCACGCCAAAAACGCCCCAAATTCCCACACCACTCCGCCACACTCCAATTTACAACCAAAAAGGGGGGCTGGGAGGGGGAATTTGATGAAATTGGGCCTTTCCTCCACCTATCGAACCAAATTTGGAGCCTTTTCTAGGCAATTCAGACTTTTCAATGGCTTCTGCTGGCCTGCCCCTTGCTTTTCTATCCGATTACGCGATGAAATCCCGATTTTCCAGGGTACCAAATGGCTTCATCGTGGCCGGGGAAGCGGTGCAAATCGATCGGGGATCTGCCGGACGCCCTTCTGCCAAGCGCCGGGCTTTTTGGTGCGTCTTAAAGGGCGGGTGAAGGCAAAATCCAAGGTTGTAGTTTGTAGTCTGGCTGATTATTAGCCCATATTCTGTAGTTTGTAGTCATATTCGTCCATTTTTTAGTTGTAGTCTGTAGCCTGTAGGCCAGAGATAGTAGTCTACCCACCGGATTTAAGATTTGTGGCGATTCAAGTTTGTAGTCCAGCTCCGTTTATAGCTTGTAGTTTGTAGTCATGCACCGATTCTTGTAGCTTGTAAAGTTTGGCTACTTTTTATAGTTTGTACTCCGCCGTCTGCCCTTGTTATACCCAGTCTAGAAATTGTAGCCTGTAGCCTGTAGCCTAGACAGTCTAGACCTAGTGGGCCCAGAAATTGTAGTCTGAACGCTGTAGCCCATAGCCTGTAGCCCGGACTTTGTAGTTTGTAGTCTGTAACCTAAATCCCATTTTTTCAGGCCGTCTCCGCGATCGTGTCAAATCGTCGTGGGCCCTGCTCCCGTCGAGGCGACGCCCGTCGGCCGTCGATTGTGGTTTGTCGTTTAGAGTTGTAGTCTGTAGCCTGTAGCCTGCCCCCATTTTACGCAGAATTCGAAAAGCTGGGTGCATTTTTGGTGCGGTATCGAAAAAAAGCCGAAATTTCGAAAAACCGCGGGCTTTTGCGTAGTTTGTAGTCTGTAGCCCCGTAGTTTGTAGTTTGTAGCCTGTAGCTTACCCCCTTTCCAGAAACTCACCCAATGCTGCCGAAAAAGCCGGCGGTCGAGACGCCCGCACCGCGCAAGACGAGCGTCAAGGAGGAGCTGGTCGCGTTGAAGGTATCGGGGGTGTAGTTTGTAGCCTGCACTTTGTAGTTCAGTTCTGTAGTTTGTAGCCCGTACTTTGTCGGACTGCTTCATAGTCTGTAGCCTGAGGTCTATGGTGTCGTTTGTGGTCTGTACTTTGTGCATTTCGATCGTCAAGTCGTTGTAGTTTGTAGTCTAGGAAACCGCGAGAATTTGTAGTCTGTACTTTGTAGTCGGCCGTCTTCCATGGATTGTAGCTTGTAGTCGGCGCCCATTTCCAGGCTGCCATCACCCGCAAGCTGTCTCTTCTCCCTCCCTGTTCGCCCACTCTCTCCTCATCATCCGCTTCATCCATCGATCAATACCCCGAGATGTCAATCGACAGTCAAGGTAGCGATTTTTGGCCAAGCCCCGCCCGCTCTCGCCTTGTCACGGCCCCTTTAAAATTGCAGACGACGACGGCCCGGGTTTCCCCGACTTTTTCATCGTCGACCGATCCATGCTACGGCAGCCGATTTGAACGATTGATCGACTGATCCAATCGATAAATTTTGTGAAACTACAGACTACAGAGTGACCCAATAAATTTAGCGCCGAGACCCGTGGCCAAGTGGTTGGGGCCTTGTCTACCAAACTGGCGACCCGGGTTCGACTCCCGGGACGTACAAACTTTTTGCTTTTCGCCTTAAAAGCTCAGAATCGTGCATGCCGTGATTGGGAAGAGAGATAGCTAGAGAGAGAGAGAGAGAGAGAGAGAGAGAGAGAACCATACTTTTTTTCCATCCAGCATTTGAATCCTTTGACTACCGGGTACAAACCACAAATTCGTCATTGCGCCCTCCTTGAACCCGATGGCCGAGTCGGACATCACCAATCAGGAAGGCTTCGAGCTGGCCGCCGAACCGACCGCCGACGCGTGCTATTCCCACTGCCGCCCTGACAGTCAGATGAATGGAATGATTGACAAATGGTGGGGCATTTATCTCTCACACACTCTCTCTCACTCGCTCTCTCTCTCGCTCGCTCTCGCTCTCTCATTCGCTTTACTGCCTGACAGATACGCGATTCTGATCGTTTTGAGCAAAAAGCAAAAAGTTGGTAGGTCCCCGGAGTCGAACCCGAGACCCCAATAACATGCCGTAATCGCTTTGAAATTAAATTTTAAGCGCTGCTCTAGGCTTTCCGGCTGCTAGATAACCGATTCTGAAGCTTTCAGCCAAAAAGCAAAAACTTTTCCGCGGCCGGGAGTCGAACTCGGGTCGCCAGATTGGCAGGCAAGATCGCTAACCACTTGGCCATGGTTTCGGAGTAGATTTTTCGAGAATTGGTTACGACACGAAAATCCGCCTGTCTCCTGGCAGGTACGCGTGTGCCCTGCTCCACTATGACTCCCGCCACTTTGCGATGACACGCGCCGAGGTGGAGCATGCGGTTCGAGTGCTCGGCGGTGTGGTACGTAGCTTTGGCATTATCCGGGGGGAAGGGCTACGCAACCCCCCCGATAACGCCAAAGCTCCGCAGATGACGAGCGACAGCCTGTGGTCGATGCCGTTCTACTATGGGGCGATGGCCGGCCTTTTCTGCTCGATCCTCATCTTCTTCCTCCATTTCTTCTGCACCCGGGTACGGTAGCCACCGGGGTACTGTAGCGGAAAACCCCTAAACTGGCTTCCAGACGATAGAGTTCGCGGGTTACGGTATCGAAAATTGCCTGAATATTCGAACTGTAGCCCAGGGAAACGTATTGTAGCGGAAATTCGCTAATCTGGCACCTATTTTCTGGATCGCGCGAGCTACCGTACCCCCAAAAACCCCAATTTTTTTGTTGCAGTCTCTGACGAAACAGCGCACCCTGCAGCTGCACGTCGACAACCCATCGCTGCTCTCCACGCGCGCCACCAGCTCGTCGATGGGGCGGGGCTAAGCGCCGCCGGCTGTCACCGCCCCTTTAAACGGATCGATATCTCGCATTTTGGATGTATGTATGTCTGTGTCTCGCCCTTTTTCTGTCTCTCTCGCTCTCTCTTTTTTCGGGCGAAATAAAGGCTTCTTACGTTTTCTCGGAGGGTTACGGTATCAAAAATGGCTCGGATTTTCGTACTGTATCCCAGGACAGGGTATTGTAGCGGAAAATCGCTAAACTGGCTTGCAGGCGATGGTTTGAGCGGGTTACGGTATCGAAAATTGCCTGAATTTTCGTACTGTAGCGGAACATCTCTAACCTGACATCCATTTAATGTATTGAGCGGGTTACTGTACCTCTAGATCCAAATTTCCCAGCCAATTAACAATTTTATTGCGTAAACTGGATGCCAGCGGAACTGGGGGTTACGGTAGCCGAGCTCTAATTGGCCGACCAGCCGCCGTCGACGGGCAGCACGGCCCCGGTGGTCATCGACGACGCCGAGCTGAGCAGGTACAGCACCGCTGATGTCACCTCGGAGGGCTCTGGAATATGGTGGGGATAACGGCAAACCGGCAACTCACCGGCAAAGCGCTGCAACGGGATCTGCGCCAACATTGGGCCCGCCTTCGCCGCGTCCGACCAGTTCTGGGAGATGAACAACTGTTTCGTGGCGTACGACCCGGTTTTCCGTTGAGCTGGCGACCAGTTTAATCGATTATCGATCGATCCGCTAGCTACGCCACACTCCGCCAACCGTACGGTCCCGTAAAGTCGCGGAATTCATTCAAAAAATGGCAAAATGCGTTTTTTTTCGCTTTTGGCTTGATTTTTTTATTTTTTCCGATTTCCTGGCAATCTGCCATCCAAAAAGTCCGAAAATGGCTCAAAAAAATAAAAATGTCTACTACCTCTCTGCCCATATCCGTGAGCACGACCGTCGGGTTGACGGTATTGACGCGTACCCCCTTCGGGCCCCATTCCCTTGCCATCACCCGCGTCGCCATGTCCAGCCCGGCTTTTGCGCTGAAATTCTCGGATTTTTGGGCCCGAAAACTGGTGTAATAGCGGGGGGGAGGGGTCGGACGCGTCTGACCTCCCGAAACCCATTAAAACCCCCCAACCACGCACCTGCAATACGCCAAATGGCCGTCAATAGGACGCAGCGATGCCTGGGAGGAGATGTTGACGATGGAGCCTCCGCTTTTCCCCGCTGTCACCATCCCTTTAGCCACAATCTGCGCCACCACCATCGGCGCCCGCAGGTTTACGGCTAGGACCCTAAAAAAAATATTTTTCATTTTTTCCACATGTTATTTTATTCCCTACCCTCCAGCTAGGTTTCCCTGAAAATTTTAGGCTTTTAGGACCACGTTTGGTTGAGTTAAACCCGGTTAAACCGCCCACTTTGTGTTGCAGGGACCAGTACGGCGCGCTACAAATGACGCCCCTACCCTGTGCCCTCATCGATTTCCCTTAGGCCCGGCTAAAATTCGGGGCGCCCCCAAATTTGAGGTTTTTCGCTAATAAAAAGTGTTTTTTTTCAAGTGTTTATGCTTAATTTTGTATAGATTAAATGGGGATACGTTTCTCAAGCATATTTCGATCCGGAGGCGCTAAAATTTTGAGCACAACGTCGTTTAATAGCTTTTTTTGCGGCCCCGATGATTTCGTAACCTTTTCTGGCTGTTTTTATGAGCTTTTGGCGCTGTTTTTGGTATATTATAGTTTTTTTGATGCTTGGAATTGCTGATTTTCGATAGATTGAGCTAAAAACTTGGGAGAATTAGCCCGAAAAAAGCTAGTTTTGGCCTAAAATTTGCGATTTTGTGTTTTTCTTCGGAAATCACTTCTTTTTCTTGTTCTCCAGATAGTAACGAGCGTTTTTGTACATTTAATAGGCTTGAAAAAGCTACGGAAAATGCTGTAGGACCATTAATAGATGGTGATTTGCCGGAATTTTTGTAAATTCCTGATTTTTCGAGTTTTTTTTGTTATTTTTTTTCGTTCTATTTAACAGTTTCTGGTACTTCGAATTGAAATGTCAATTTTGAGAGTAGTTGATAGGTTTTTCAAGGTTCGTGCGTTTTAATAGATACCAGTTTTCCCCAATTTTTCTAATTTTCGACGTTTCCCGATTTTCTGCTTTTTCCAATTTCTTTTTTCCTCATTTTCACGCCATTTTCGTTTTATTTTTTGTGTAAAATCTATTTCACGTATTGCAGGAAAGCAAATGGCGGACGAGGGCGAGCCGGCGCCTCCAATTGGCGGCCCGAAATCGCGGGTAACGACCTCCCGGCGCCCGCCCCTCGACATCTCCAGCCTGCACGTCGACGTCAACCGCCCCGCCGCCGTCATCTCCATTGGCACCAAGGTAGCTTGCGTGGCTTTTTAGTTTTATAAAATGCTGTGTAAAGGTTGCTGCCAAATTTTATCGAGAAATTGGCTTTTTGGACGCCTAAAAATGGAATCTTTTAACGTAAAAGTTGTGGTGGTTCTGTTCTATTTCGCGTGGGGGAAAAAACTGTGCGGGGGGGGAAAATAGGCTTCGCGGAACCTTCCATCTTTTCGCTATTTTCTCGGTATTTTTGCAACGCCATTCGATAGAGCATCAAAAAATATACTAAGAGTTTTTGTTTTAGCTAAAATACTGTAATGTAAAAAAGTTATAGCAAAAAAACAAAAAACTATTGAAACTGGTTCCGGAATGTTAGTTTTCGGCATTTTCGCCATTGTTTTCGATATTTTGAACCCGTCATTCGGTAGAGCATCAAAAAAATATACTAAGAGTTTTAATTTCATCTAAAAATATTGTTTTATAAAATAGTTATAGCAAAAACAGGGTTTATTCGGCGTTTCCACATGGGATCGTGAAGTCGAAACGTGTTTTCTAACCTGTGATGTTTAAAAAGTCAGGCCAAATGTAGATAATTGATTTCCCGTTTTTTTTCGCGCTTTTTGGCTTGTAAAACGGATTTTTGGCGCTCAAAATTTCTATACAACTCTAATTTCTATTTTTTTTTTCTTATGAGTATGTAAAATTTCGTTAAAACGCTTTTCTTTGGTTCAAATTGATGTTTTGGGCTAATAAGGCTCATTTTCGGCCCCGAAAATTACATTTTCTAATTTCTTTCGATGGAGAACGTAAAATTTCACCCTCAAGATCATTTTTCTACTAAAAATAACTCTTTTCGTGCTAAAAATGCTCATTTTTGCCCCAGAAAACTCCATTTCTGATTTTTCTAGATAATCCGGAGCGGCTACTCGGGCGAATTCGAGCCCCGCGTGCAAGCGCTCACGGAAAGCCTCCTCCCCGGCGACGACCTCGAAACGATTACGACATGTAAAGACGCAGCCGAGGCCATCGTGGCCCGTCTCTTCAACACAATCTTCCATCGACATCTTCTTTTGCTCCCCAAGGGCACCAAGGTATCGTTTTTCGCTTGATTTTAATGCCGTAATCGATTGCAGGTGGTGATCGTCGAGTCGCTGTTCGCCCCCACAAAGCTCAGGGATCTCTACTGTCGCGTGCTGATCGAGCAGCTCCAGGTGGCACAGGTACGAGGGGAGGCTTAGCGGAGGTTCTTCGCGGAATTTTTCCTGGCGTAATCGGTGACGCGATGAATTTCAAAAACGACGTAAACTATTACGCAAGGAAGAAGACTTCTGAAATGGCAAGCGAGCAGAGATTCTTTAATGAAATCGACTGGGCCAGCTAGCGGAGATTCTTTGCGGGAAGCTCTTACCCCTAATTTTGCAGGTCTCCTTCCTCCCGTCAGCCCTCACCGCCACCTTCCCGTTCAACGTCAAAAACGCGCTGGTCGTCGAGCTGGGCGCATCGGGACTCCTCGTCACCCCCATCCACACCGGCACCACCCTCATCAACCAGGCCATCTACAGGTACGTGCACACGATTTTTCCGGTGCTTTTACGTTATCGGGGGACCAGATTTTTCGTAACGCTTTAAAAAAATTTGATGAAAAAATGCAAAAATATCGATTTTTCGACCAAAATTTGAAATTAAATTTTGTTAAGGTTGTTTTCCACTTGAAATTTAGTGAAATTTACAAATTTTCTTGAAAAAATACAAAAATATGAATTTTTCGACTAAAAATATCGATTTTTCGTCCAAGATTTCGAAATTTGAATTTTAAAAAATTTTTGAGAACGTTTTCAACCTGAAATTTGGTTAAATTTTACTTAAAACATTATTGAAAACTTACTATGAAATTTACTGGGCATTTCTAGACTTATCGCGAAAAATTGACCCCCCCCATAATGCAAAAGCTCCAATTTTTCTTGTTTTGATTTTTTTTTTGCATTTGATTAATTCAATTTAGCCCGCGCGGCTACGCCTCGGTCGTCGAAAAAGTGCGCCATCAGCTCGGCAAGCACGCCCGGATACGCCTCGCCGACGGCCAGCTACGCGCCACAACTGATGACGACTGGGCAACCGATTACGCGAGGGAAACGGCCGACCGGTTCGCCCATGAGCACTCGTTTTGTACGAGTTTCGAGAGGGCGAGAAGCCTCGAAAATCCCGATACCCTGCAGCCGCAGCTGCCCGAGTTGGCGCTCGATTTTGGCCCTCACAAATTGCTGGTAAATTTTTGGAGCTTGTGCATTATCGGGGGGATGGATTAAAAAGACAAATTTATCGATTTTTTGACCAAAAATGACGGTTTTTAGGCAAAATTCAACTAAAAAAAGTTTTCTAAATTTTTTTAAATGTTTTTCAATTGAAATAGAGAAAATATCTGCTTCCCAAATGGTCTCTGCTAGCTCGCCTATTTAAAAAATACAAAAAAAACATAGATTTTCGACGAAAATTGCAGAATTTTAGGCAAAAATTCGTCTAAAAATTTTTCATTTTTTTAGGCTTCCCAAAGGGCCACTGCTAGCCTGCCCGGGCTTGTAGGGGCTAGATGTTTTAAAGGGAGCGGAACAGAAAAAACTACGATTTTTTTAGGTGCCCGGCTGGCTACGCGAAACCGGCTACGAGGTGTTATTCGAGGAGTGCGACGGAAACGAGACAATCCCCCTCCACAAGGCCATCCACCAGACGATACGCAACTGCCCCATCGACATCCGGGCCACGCTGCTCGAGAACATTTTGGGTACGTTTGGGGGCAAAATTCCGCAAAGGGGCTCTGCTAGCTTGCCTAGAGTAAAATTCGGGGTTAAAAATTACCTTAAAATCTAATTTGCGTTTTTCGTTTTAAATAAGTAAAAAATAGTTTAATATTTTGTAGTAAAATTTATTAATTTCATTTTAATTCTCGTAATATATGAATTTTTCCTCAAAAAAACCTCTGCTAGCTGCCCCCCCAATAACCCTTTCTTTTCCAGTATGCGGCGGTATGGGCCACGTGCGTGGACTGTACGCACGACTACGCGACGAGGTGACGGCCATCAATGCGCAGTCGGGCACCCTCCCGAATGCCCACCCGAAGTTCCATCGTTTCGATGAGGCACGCGTCGAGGCGTTGTTGCCCTGGATCGGCGCGTCCATGCTGGCAGATTGTGACTATGGCCTCAAGAATCGGTTAGTTTTTGGGGGGTAACTAGCCGAGATTTTTGAGAATTTGGGGCAAGCTAGCAGGGATTCTTAGAGGAATTGAGGGGCAAACGAGCAGCGATACTTTGCGGAATTCAGGGCGAAGTTGCGGAGCTTTTTTGAGGAATTTAGGCTCAGCTAGCGGCGATTTGTCGGTAATTGTAGGGCAACCGAGCAGCGGTTTTTGAGGAACTGGACGAGGGCAGGCTAGCAGAGCTTCTTTTCGGAATTGAAGGACCAGCTAGCAGAGATTTTTGAGGATTTCAAGGGAAAACTAGCAGCGTTTTTTGGGGGATTTTAAGGGCAAACTAGCAGCGATTTTTACGGCTTTTAGGGGCAAATTAGCAGAGATTTTTAGGAATTTAGGGGCAAACCAGCAGAGTTTTTTTGAGGAATTGAGGCCTAATCTGCCCCTTTTCAGGTCAATCTCCGACGAGCAATGGGGCCAGTTGAAGCACGTGCCCGACTGGCCCGATCACATGATGGTCGAACGCGGGCCATAAATTATTGAAAAACTGATTTTTATCTTCATCCCCCCCATTTTCTTCGCTTTTACGTGTATTTTCGTAGCTTTGTAGCTTGATTTCTGTGTGTTTTTTGGATTTCTTACGTCCTGTAATTATGATATTGACGTTGCTCTCGTTTTTTTGGTGCGAATAAATGGCTTTAAAATTCTGATTTTAGAGTGGATTTTATGGGAAAATTGGTTGAATCTACCGCCATTTGTTTCTTGAAATAACGAGTGATTTTATTTTGTGGTTGTAGTTTTTGTAAATTCGAGATTTTGTAGTTTGTAACCTATTTTTTTTTTGTTTAGGCGATTTTTTAATTTTTAGGGGTTGTCCCGTGAATTTTCAGTAATTTTTAGGCTCCTTTGACGTTTTTGTAGCCTGTATTATTCGGCAACGAGTTCTGAAGTTTGTAGTCTGTTTTTTTCAGGGGGCTTTAAAGCTTCATTTTGATTTTTTGCAGCCTATTTTTTTGTATTTTCAATTTTCTTGCATTTTCGTAGCTTGTAGCCTATTTTTCAGGGGTTTTTAGAGATTTTGTGGCTTTCGGGTTCATTTTTTAGCATTTCTAGAGCTTTTTGTAGTCTGTGTTTTAATTTTCTGGGGGTTTTTTATAGTTTTCAGTCGATTTTTCAGGGGTTTTTTTTTGAGATTTTGTAGCTTGTAGTTCAATCTTTTAGTCTGTTTTAGTTATTTTCAATTTTCCTACAATTTGTAGTCTGTAGCCTGTAAATTCGCGATTTTCAGCCGCCCCCAAACACGATGGATTCCGAGGGCAGCGACGTGGAGAACGGGATGGAGCACGAGACGGTCGAGGTGTACGAGGACGGCCCCATCGATCAACAACTCGCCGATGGGGATGGCGAAGAGGAGGGCGAGGCTGAACCTGTTCAAGATGACGCGATAAAAGGTGGGTTTCCTAGCCTTTAAAATGGGCGGGCTAGCGGAGAATCTTGAGGAAAATTGGGCAAGCTAGCAGCGTTTCTTGAGGAAAAGTCGCCGAAGTCTGGGCAATTTTGCGGAGAATATTTGACTTAAAACTGGGCAAAATCGCAGATATTCTAGAAAAAAATTCAACTGAAAAACGGAGGCAATCTAGCAAAGATTTTTGAGGAAAATCCGCCCCAAAACCGGGGGCAGGCTAGCAGCGATTCTTGAGGAAAAGCCCCGGGTTTATCTCTCCTTTTCCAGCCATCTACGGGCACGAGAAGGACGTGTTCTGCGTGTCGACGTCAAAGACGGGCCGCTGGCTGGCGACTGGAGGGGAAGACGATAGGGCGCAGATCTGGGATCTCACCAATCAATCCGACGACCCCGTGCTGACCATTCAGGTACCGATTTCGACGGAATTCGATGACTTTCTGTCTTTTCCGGGCTCGTTTTTCATAGCGTAATCAGTTCCTGGGACTTGGGGAGGCTAGCAGAGATTCTTGAGGAAATTGCACAGCGTAACCGATTGAACAGCTTAGGAGAAAATGCTTCTTTGAGGACATCATTACTTTCTACCGTTTTCAGGCTCGGTTTTCATCGCGCGATCAGTTCCCGGGGGTAGGCTAGCAAGGATACTTTGAGGAAATTACCTAGCGTAATCAAATAGACGGGGAGGCTAGCATAGATTCTTTGCGGAAAATCACAGATTTTCCCGAAATTACGAAAATTTCCCGAAAATTTAGGTAAAAACGACCTAATCGGATGAGAGGGAGTCTAGCAGAGATTCTTAGATCCGAATTACCTACCATAATGGGTCCTGTTTCAGCACAACGACTCTGTTGTCTCGACGGCGTTCAACCATTCGTCCACCCTCCTTGCCACGGCCGACCTCTCCGGCCGTATCGTCATCACACAACTCAGTGATCTGTCGATGAGAACAGAGATTGCCGACAGTTCGGATATCGAATGGATGGAATGGCATCGAGGGTCCGATATCCTCTTTGCCGGCGATTCGGATGGCACGCTGTGGATGTGGCTCATCTCGCAGGTATCGAGTTTTAAAGGCGATGGAACAGATAGGAATACTTTTAAAACTTTTTTAACGCTCTTTAAAGGGCCGTTGAGGGTCGTAAAAAATTAGGAAATTTTGGTGATAAAAAGTCCAAAAATTGGCTTTTTTCACCTGAAAAATGCCGATTATTAAAGGGGGTGTGACAGCTGGGGCAAAAACCCGGTTTTTTTTGTTAATTTTTGTCGTCAAAAACCACATAAAAATCGATTGTTTTCGACTGAAAACGGCTGACCTTTTTTACGTGATATCACGATCTAATTTTATAAGTTTTAAACAGAGAAATAGCGACATTTTGAATTGCTATTTTTGAAATTTAAATTGAACTCGTTTTTCGACAAAAAATTAAATTTTTAAGAATTTTCGAAGTTTTTTTGATAATTTTCCTTCCTGAAATTTAGCTAAATTTTCTAAAAAAATGCTATTCAATTTTTTGGGAACCTCCCCCGCTAACGGAAAAGCTCCTTCCTTTCTAGGCGGGCGTCGCCCAACAAAAGGTCTACTCTGCCGGCAGCTCCCCGGCCAGCGCTGGCCATCTACTGCAAGACGGCCGACGTCTCCTGGTCGGATACTCGGGTAAATTTTTTGCATTCCGCAAATGGCCTCTGCTAGCCTGCCCCTAGTGGATTACGCCCTGAAAATCCCCTCTTTAGACGGCCAGTCGAAGCTGTGGAACCTCGGGGATCAGTCGAACTGCTCGCTGTCGTGCCGCTCGCCGGTGGTGGCCATCACCTCATCTACCGTCTCCCCGCTGGCGGCTATTGGCTACGAGAATGGCAACGTCTTCCTCGTCAACACCACACCCGCCGAGAACGCCGGCGGAGGAACGCTGCGCGTCTTGGACAAGTACTTGGCTCCCGGAGCTGGTAGGATTTTTGAGTTTCCGCAAAGAATCTCTGCTAGCTGGCCCCCCGGCCATTTAGAACGCGTAAGCGATTACGCGAGGGAATTCCTCTGCATCTCGCGGAATTAAATTTTTGTCGCGTAACCGATTACCGAATGAAAAATTCCGGAAAACAAAGTTCCCCGGGGTTTTTGTGGGGGGGGGGGGGGGGGGGCCCCGAGCGGGGGGGGGCCGACAGAAGGGGGGGGGGGGGGGGGGGGGGGGGGGGGGGGGGGGGGGGGGGGCAGGCGGGGGGGGGGGGGGGGGGGGGGGGGGGGGGGGGCGGGCGGGCCCTTCCCCCCCCCCCCCCTTCCCCCCCCCCCCCCCCCGCAAAAAAAAAAACGGGGGGGGGGGGGGGGGGGGGGGGCAAAGGATCTGTGCTAGCCTGCCCTCGTTCAGGACCTTTCGCTAAGTCGTTGCCCGCGTAATCGATACGCAATCAAAATTTGATTTTTTAGCGCGTAACCGGTTACGCTATGAAAAATTACAGGCAACAATTTAAAAGAAAATTGGAAAATTCTGCAAAATCTCTGTTAGCCTGCCCTTATGTAGAACCTTTCGCTAAATCGTCTGTCGCTCCTGTCATGCCCTCTTTAAAGCCATTTAGAAGGCGTATTCGGTTACGCTATGCAAAAAATTCCGCGAAAATCTCTGCTAACCACTCTCATTTCCAGACACCCGCCGTCGTGGACGCCCCGAAGACCCGGAAATGGAGGTAGATGAGGCAGAAGAGATTGGGACTGCGGTGGAGAGTCTCCAATTCTCTGCCCTTCATCCATGGCTGGCTGTTGGAAGGAATGATGGATCTGTGACGGTCTATGATACGCAGACACAGGGAATGACACGATTCTCAGCCACAAATGAGGGAGGAATGGCCGTGTGCAGGTGAGGGTTTTTGTCGCGTAATCGGTTCGGGGGCTAGCAGCGGCTTTTTCAGGAAATTCTGGGCAGGCTAGCAGGGATTTATATGGAAATCCTGTGCAGGCGTCCCGGCAAGCTAGCATAGATCCTTTAGGAATTTTGGGCAGGCTGGCAGTGTTTTTTGGGGATTTTTCGATTCTGCAGCTCGTGGCCGGCTAGCAGAGACTTTTTAGGAATTTTTTGAAGGAATCGAGGGCAAACTAGCATTGATTCTTGAGGAATTCTCGATTTCGGGTACTGGCAAGCTAGCAGAGATTATTTAGGAATTTGGGAGAAAATCCTCGTGCAAAGTAACAACGATTTTTGGCGGAAGAATCGGAGTCTGGGGCGTTTTAGCAGTGATTCTTGCGGAATTTCCGGCATAGCGGGGCTTTTTAAAGAATACCGGGCAAACTGGCAGCGATTTTTGAGGAATTCTGGGGCAAACTAGCAGGGATTTTTGAGGGAATTCGAAAATCATGTTTTTCAGGTTATTCTGGCTGGGCTACCGTCTGCTGACAGCCTCCGTCGACGGCCGGATACGGTAGGACTTGTTTTCGTCTCCTTCGTACGTTTTCCTAGACTGTACGACGTGCGCAGCGGCCAGATGACGCGCGAGCTGTGCTGCGGCGGCGACGACATCCTCGACATGGCCATCGTCGAGGAGGAGCCACAGCTGAAGCTCGTCGTCGCGTGCTCCGGAGGGGCCGTTCGCTTCATGGATTGTTGATGATCATTGAAAATTTTCCGGCTCCTCAAAGTGTCTCTGCTAGCTTGCCTACCTTGATTTTCGTGTCGTAATCGATTGGGAAACTTGCAGCGATTATTAGGGAATTTTTTTGGCCCTGCTAGCTACCCCCTGTCTTGGTTGTTACGTTTTTGCTTTGTTTTCCACTGTTGCTCATGTTGTCGTTGTTGTTGTGGCATTTTTGTTGATTTGTTTGTTTTGAAAAAAATTCTGGAATAAATTTTTACGGTTTTATTTGATGTTGTTTGTGTAAATTACGGGGTTTTCAAGCCCTGTTATTTTTCTGAATTTTTACAAATGTGAAAATAACTTTTCATTGAATTTAATGTTTATTCATTAATTTTTTGATGTCTATGTAATTTTTTTCACTAAGTTTTTGAGGCTTGAAAATGTTTTCCGAGTTTCGAAAAAATTTAGGGAGTAATTTTTCATTAATTTCATTTTTAGTTTTTATGTTTTTGCTGTTTAAGAAAATTGTCCATGTTTTAGGCCCGAAAAAGGCGATGGGCGACGAGGGACCCGCCTCGCCGGATGGAAATGAGATGGAGACGGCCGCCGCGATGGGAATACAACCCCGAGAAGTGCCACAACACCTCCAGGGCGAATCGCTGCTGCATTTTCTGCACAAAACGGTATGTTGAGAGGAGGCTGGCGTAGAGTCTTTGCGGAATCCTGGCGTTTTCCACTCCCTTTAGGAGCCATTTTCATCGCGTAGTCGGTTCGAAAATCGTCCGAAAACCATTTTAAAAACTATTTTCATAGCGTAATCTGTGGGATTCTTCTCGAAAATCATTTTAAAAGTTTTTTTGATGACGTAATCGATTCAGGAAATCCGGGTAGTCGATTACGCGATGAAAATGATGCTTAGAGGGGCAGCTAGCAAGGATTCTTTGCAGAATTCGCGCTGTTTTGTTCGCTTTAAAGTTATTTTGTTGCGTAATCGATTACGTCAGGAAAATGGCTGTTTCTCGAGAATTCGAGGGCGAGCTAGCAGGGATTTTTGAGGGTTTCTTCGCCGCTTGGTAGATTTTGATCTCAGGTGCCCGTGCTCGGCTCAACCCCGGACAATGCGGCCCTGTTTCGCACGCTGATGGAGTTGGCGTACAGCCCGATGCCGGCCATAGCCTCCGGCTTCTCCGGTCTTCCGCTCGACGAGCTGCGCGAGGGCTGCATGAGCCTTTTGGTCGGTTTTCGAGACGTTTTTGTCTGATTTTCGTCCATTTTCAGGAGGAAATGTTCTCAAAAATGCTGCCAAGCGTCCACCAACAGCCCGGCGCAATGCCCGAGATGCTCATGGAATTCGCCGAGGGCCCGCAGCTGCAAATGCTGATCGAGGCGTCGCTGCGGAATGTCGGCCATAGGTGGGGAGTGGATTCCGCAAAAATCTCTGTTAGTTTGCCGCCTGTGAAAGACTGTTTTTCTAGCGGAATCGGTTAAGCATTTTTTCCCCGCAAAGAACCTTTGCTAACTTGCCTTCTATTTATTAGGCGGGGCTGTTCAGGGCGTAATCCATTTGGCACGATTTTTTCTTCCCCAAAAATCTCTGCTAGCTGCCCCAAAAATCCCATTTTTTCAGGAATTCGATCCTGCTCCGCTACCTCCATATTCTGACGATCGGCCTCGGCGAAGTGAAGGGAGTCGACGTCATCTGCCGCTACATCTTCACCATCACCGACCCGCCGCATGTCGGTTTTTTCGATAATACCTGCTGTCACCATCCCTTTAAGCCCGAATCGGATCCGGAAAACCGCTCATGCCAGGATCTGGTTGAAATCCCCTTTTTCCAGCTGGAAGTTCTCTGCGCCTACCTGGCCACCGTCGTCCCGTACATGCCGGCGTTGATGGGGCTGAGCTACGAGGTGCTGCTCGACCAGTGGACCGCCTTCGATCGAGAGGTCAAGGGAAAAGGTAGCGATTACGCGATCAAAATCAGAGCATGCTAGCAATGTTTATTGAGGAAAATCCCGGGTGTCAAGGCCTCTTTAATGCATTTTTCCAGGCGACAACTCTTTCGAGAACTCGCTCCGCTGGCTGCTCACCCTGCGCATTCTCATCCAGCTCGAGAAGGGCGCCAAGGAGGGACAGCCGATCAAGTACAACGGGTACGTTTTCTCCTCTCTCTCTCTCTCTCTCTCTCTCTCTCTCTCTTCAAAACACAGTTTCCAGATTCCACCCGGGACCCAACACCGGCCCCCTGCTGACAAAGATCATGAGCTGGCTGCTGGACAGGCTCGAGACGGCCGTTGAGGTGAGGGGAGGGCGGGCTAGCGTAGGCTCTTTGCCGAAATTCGGGGTTTTGGAGCATTTTTTTTGAATGATTTTCATAGCTTAATCGATTTTAGGGTATCTGAGAACCGGTTACGCCATGAAAATGAGGGCAACTAGCAGAGATTCGTGGCGAAATCTGGCACTTTTTGGCCTGTTTGAACGCGATTTTCATAGCGTAATCGATTTCCGGGCATCTGAGGACCGGTTACGCCATGAAAATGGCTCTAAAGGTGGTGGGACAGGCCAGCCAGCAGAGATTCTTGGCGAAATCTGGCGTTTTCCTGTCGTGTTTTGACCGCGTAATCGGTTAGCAGCTTCTCGTAATCCATTACGCTATCAAAATGGGTCTAAAGGTGCAGTGACAGGCCAGCTAGCAGAGACCCTTTGCTAAATCCAACCGATTACGCCATTAAAATACCCGTTTCTTTTGCAGAACAACGACACGCAACGCGTTTGCGACGCGGCGATGGCCGTCGAACGTCTGCTGGGCGCCCTCGGCAGCGGTGTCGACCGGAAGGCGCCCCTTCCAAACCAGTAAGCCGCTTTTAAAGGGAGGGTGACACCAGTCTTTTTCAGCCCGGGCAAACAGCAGCTGCTCCTCATCGGCACGCGCGACATCTACAAGCTGTCCATGCAGCTCGCCAAGCTCCTGCAGCTCGTCCTCTTTGCCGTTGATTATCGAGGTTCGTGGGTTTTGTGGCGTAATCGATTCCTTGCTGTCACGATGCCTTTAAAAAACTTGGGCAGGCTAGCAGAGGAAATTTGGGATTTAGGACAGGGGAGGGAGACTAGCAGAGGCCATTTAGGAGGCGTTTCGCAGCTTTTTCATGGCGTAATCAATTTGGGAGGGTGATCTCACGGATTTTCTAGCTGTCACGCTCCCTTTAAAAAGCGTGCGCAGGCTAGCAGAGGCAATTTGGGAGCTATTTCGGCAGCGATCGTCATGGCGTAATCGATTTCTGGCTGTCACGCTGCCTTTAAAAAGCGTGTGCGGGCTAGCAAGGGCGATTTGGGAAAATCGCCACCCGGGCAGGCTAGCAAAAGTCATTTAGGAGACGGATCGGAAGCGATTTTAGTGGCGTCATCGGTTTCTGGCTGTCAATCTCCCTTTAAAGCGAGTGCTTTCAGATCATCCAACCCCTCAACAGTCGGATCCCCTCGACGCCTTCGTGCTCCTCCGCAATGCCATCTCCCACTTTTACAACGTCGAGGTGAGCGGCCTTTCCTCAAGGATCTCAGCTAGCTGGCCGCTTTCCTCAAAGATCTCTGCTAGCCGGCCTGTAACCCTCCCCTTTAATGCTTTTTAGATGAGCCACCTGTGCTCGTACTACATCCAATGGCTCATTCTGTGTTTCGTGGATGGCTGTCTGCAGGATGGAAGAAGGCTTTTTGCCGAATATGTCGAACTCGCCCACGATACGCCCACTTTTCTGGTGAGCAAATCGTCTCTGCCAGCCTACCCCTCTATTTTTCAGGCCTCCGAATTTGACGCCGATTTCGCGGACGACACGTTGAACCTGTTGGGGCAGTTAGACGGGCTGACAAAGCGGAAACAGGCCCATCAACTGGCACACACGGGCATCATTGGACAGGGAAAGAGCCGGGCACCGCCTCCGCCTACGGTACGTGGCTTTTTAAAGGACTATTCAAGGCAAAATCTGTGGGCCAGGCCCCCTTTAAAGGGCCGTTGAAGGCCGGAAATCCATAAGGAAATTCGGCTAGTTTAGGCCATTTAAAGAGGCGTTGAAGCCAAAAATCCATAAATAAATTAGCTTGAAGGGACTGGAACACCTAGAATTCGCCTAGGCCACGCCCCTTTTAAAGAGATAGGGGCGGCATAAGTCAATCGATTACGCGTGGGAAAGAAAATGTCTCTGCGCCTCTCCCCTGGGCGCCCTCTCTCGCCGCCGGTCGCGCTGGGACCTGTTGAACCCCCTCCCCAAGGGGGGTTCAACAGATGCCGTCCTCATCTCTTTAAGGCCCATTGAACGTTTATAATCGAGTGTTTTTCCAGGTGCGCGACCAGTTGCGCCGAATGACGTTCCTCGACTCGGTGCACCAGATGATGAGCACGGTGGTGGGCAGGGAGAGGCAGATGAAGACCGCCAGGGCTGTGGTAAGCGAAGGGGTGGTTAGCAGGGGTTTTTGGGGAATTTGGGCAGATTAGCAGCGATTTTTGGGGAAATTTTGAATCCCGGGCAGGCTTTCCTAGACGCTTTAGGAATAGGAAAAAAATTCCTGGCGACCTGGCGGCGATTTTTGGGGAATTTCAACATCGGGCAAGCTAGCAGAGACCATTTAGGAATTTGGGGCAAGCCAGCAGAAACCTTTGCGGAATTCCACCCTCAATTTCCAGGCCAATCTCCTCCTCCATCGCGTCTGCGGCGATTCCGTTGGAGCCGATTACGCGTTCGCCGACTACGACCTGGAGAAAGAGATGATCAACAGGTCCGGCAGGGGCGGGCAGGGCAGGGCAGGCTAGCAGTGATTTTTGAGGAATCCATAATTTTCCATTTTTTTAGATACGTGGTGATCTCGCGGCGGCTGTCGACGTCGGTTTGCGATGGTCTACTGGGGGCGCTCTCCTTTTTCTACCCAATCACCCACTACCTCATCCCCGTCATCAAGGCGGCTATTCTCGAATCTATGGTGAGTTGGAGGGTTTTTGACTTCAATGTGCCTTTAAAAGGGTGGCCTTGTTTAACTTTGGCTCGTCGATATTTTCGCCTTTCATGGTCCTTTAAACTCGCTTCTTTTGAAGGCTCTCCTCGAATCGTCGTACGACCGCCTCGTCCAGCCGCCCGGCGAGAAAATCCTCCACAAAATCGACACCTGGATGCGAATGGGACTCAAGGTGAGCTAGCAGCGACAATTGGGGATTTCCCAGATGTCACTGCACCTTTAAAATTGGAAAGCAGGCTAGCTGAAGCAATTTGGGGAATCCGGCTTAGCCTTTTCCTACCGTAATCGGTTCTAAAACCTCGTTTTTCAGGCCGGTCTCCTCCCCGCCTGCCTGTGCCACATTGGTGAGCTGCTGTCGCTGTGCTCCTCCTACGAGGCATTCCTCATCATCCACGAAATATACAACCATTTCAAGGTATACTGTAGCTATTGACGGGGTTACGGTACCCTTTCCAGCTTCAACCCGACCTCCACGCCGACGCCGAGGAGATGTTCGCGCGGGCCGTCAGGGGCGAGGCGTGCAGGCAACAGGTGGGGTAGCTAGCGGAGGTCTTTGAGGAATCCATTCGATTCAGGAAACGATGCGCACCCCGGCCCTGTACGAGTTGATGATCGCCATCCTGCAGCGGGACATGGCCCAGCGGGGCCGCTTCTTCGAGGAGATCTCCCTGCTCATGCCGGTCGGGTTTTGTAGTTTGTAGCTGAGGCAACAAACTACAAAAATTGTTCTAATCCCTGTTTTTTTCAGTCAGCCGACGCGCTAATGGAGACTGAGGCGAACGGCTCGAGCTCGGCGGCCGCCACGGTACAGGATATTGCTGAACCGCTACATTAATCCATCAGCTTTTTCGTCAATTTTTTGACTTGCCAGTCCCTTTAGAATGTCATTTTTGGCTTTTTCTAGCATTCCTTTATCTTTACAGTAATTCCGAAGAAAAATTGGAATTTTTCCGCCATTCCTCTGACTTGCCGGTCCCTTTAAAATGTTAATTTTTGCCGTTTTTCCAGTCTTTTTTGGTTGTTAATGTTGTCTTTCGATTGTTTCTCTCTATTTCTCCGCGGGTACCGTATCCACTTTCCACTCCCCCAATTTGTCGTGTCGAATAAACGTGTAATTTGTCATTTTTGCGGTTTTTTTGGTTTTGTTGTATGCTAGAAGATATCGGGATTTCGGCTTTCGTTGCATTAAATTTAGTTTTTTGAAATGTTGGCATTTTTAAAATTGGATTTTGAATACATGTCACTGTTTTAAAAAAACCCATTTTGGGGAAGGGCAAATTTATTTTTTGGGGATTACGGTAGATTCCTGAGAATTTGAAATTTTTGCAACTTGTCAACCCCTCTAAGATTGTCCTTCAATTTTTGCGCGAAGAAATCCCGTATTTGCCATTTTTGAGGGATTTTGGGGTTACGGCAGGCTTTTCCAAATTTTCCCCTAGCCACCAACCGATCGATACTGTCCGCTCGTGCCTCCATCGCCGTCTCCAGCACGGCCACCCCCGCATTATTCACCAGACCGTCGTAAGGAGCGTGCTGGAATAATTTTAAAGGTGGTGGAACAAAAGGCTCGGCTCGGAATTTCATGTCGTAATCGATTTTTTTCAGCTTTTTGGGGTTTTTTTGAAAAAACGGCTTCCAGGATGCCATTTTAGCCCTATAACAACTTTTAGGCAAAAAGCAAACAGTTTCTCGCGGTTGGGGGTCGAACCCGGGTCGTCAGATTTGCAGGCAAGGCCGCTAACCACTTGGCCACGAGTTTCGGAGCAAGTTTTTTATTGGTTTTTCGATTTTTCTCTCGCTGTCTCTCTTGCTTAAGCCACAGCGGCCCGGCGCCAATAAAACGTCCGGAGAATGGAAACCAAGAAAGACCGCAACGCGTGCGATAGACGCGTCGCGTCATTGCGAAAGCAAGCCTGCGCAGCTAAAACCATGCTGCTATTTCGCGCCCTAGGCAAAAGCCCGTACAGTACGCCTTTTCCTGGGAGCCATTGGGACCGAACCCATGGGCGGTTGTGAAGCCAATACCCGAATACAGGGCGTAATCGATTCGTAATTAGTAATTTCCTACCGGCGCCAAAATAGCCTCCAATTCCTCGATTGGTGCCGTCACGTCGCAAACCAGTGGAATGATGTTGGAGGGGAACTGAAAATTCGGGTTTTGAGAGTTGGGGCAGGCTAGCAGGGATCTTTGCGGAATGCGGGGGCAAACTAGCAGGGATTCTTTGAGGAATTGCGCCCACCTTTTTCTGCAGCTCCTCCAGCGCCTGCCCGTTTCTGGCCATCGCGTATACGGTAGCCCCGCTCGCGGCGAGACTCTCGCAGATATCGCGTCCAATTCCTGAAATTGGGCTTGTGCTTAGCTTAGGCTTAGGCTAAGGCTTCGGCTTACCCTGGCTTCCGCCGGTGACGACAATCTTCTTGCCCGAAAAGTCGAAGCGGCACGACATCTGAATCTGGGGAGATAGGAGAGAGAGAGAGAGAGAGAGAGAGAGAGAGTGAGCGAGAGAGAGAGGCTTAGGCGTCATTTTTACACTATTATGCTTTCTGAATCGTGCTCTAACCCTAGAAACTACAAAAGCGAGAGTTTCATGGCGTAATCGCATCGAAAAATCGCGAAAAATCACCTTTTTTACATGTTTGCGGTTTTTTACTAAATTTAACCATTTTTTGAGGCTTAAGATTTTCGGGAATATTTTTTCCTTTCTGAATCGCATTCTCAGCCTACAAACTACAAAAAAATTGGGACACCGAAAAATTCAGAATTGAACATTTTTATCATTGTTTTCGGTCCGGTTACGCCATGAAAATCACGATAATGGGAGGTGACCTCGCTGGGCGAAATGAATGCTGATAAAAATCGTGGAGAGAAGATGGCGCATCGACCGAATGATAACCTATCGATTTCCGGCCATAAGATGTGTGATTGCCCCGCCCACCCCTTCGAATCACCTGCAAAAAAAACACGTTACGACATGGAATTCGCGATCGGACGACGTAATTCCTGAATTTCCACTGCTAGCCTGCCCGCTGGCTGTCGGTTGGTCAGGATTTCCGCAAAGAATCTCTGCTAGCTAGCCCATTTTTTGTTGGAACTTTTAAGAATTTTCGTTACCCGTTTCCCCCCAAAAAACGCTCCAATTTCCTCTGCTAGCCTGCCCGCGGCCTCCCAGTTTAGCGAAGTTTGAGTCTAAAATGGTCCCTGGTAGCTAGCTGCCTGTTTTTTGCTGTTTTTCAGCATTTTTTAACGATTTTGTGCAGAAAAACGCTGAAATTTCGACATTGGCCGATCTTTCGCCAAATTTTGAATGCTAGCCTGCCCACCGCCTCCCATTTTTCCGCAATAATCTCTGCTGGCTTGCCGCGTGTTTTGTAGCCGCGGTTTTTAGGAATTTTCATGCCATTTTTTCAGGAAAAACCTTCTAATTTCCGTTTCTAGCCGCTTTTCCGCAAATTGCCACTGCTAGCCTGCCCGCTAATTCGCAGTTTAGCGAATTCCCATTTCTAAATGGCCTCCGCTAGGCCTCCCCAATTTTATGGCCATTTTTCCACCACCCCGTAGGATGGCCGTGATGGCATTTGGAGGTTGTCTCTCTCCCTCTCTCGCTCTCTCGCCCAATTTCTCTCGCCGCTCCCCTCCTCTCCCACTCTCTCGACCCTTCCGCGTCGATAGGATCCCGGTGTCCACTTTACAAATTCAATACACCAGCCCCCAGCCAGCCCCCAGCAGCTGCAGCCCGGTACCGGCCAGCCACCGCGGTTTTATGCATTTTTCTCGAAAATTCGTGATTTAAAATTTATAGAAAATAGTTAACAACCTAAATTGACTTACAGTACGCCAAATTGCATAAAAAAAGCTGAAAAAAATGGACCGGATTTTGTAGCCTAATCGATTAAGGTTTTTGGGGGGATTTAGCTGAACTTTCTGGCCTAAAAACGCTATGGAAATCCTTAGAAAGTACTCGAAGTTCTAAGCCAGCATACGGTCGATTAAACTGAAAGGCCAGAAATCGAAAAATCGATATCTTATTTGCATTGCGTAATCTATTAGGGTTTTTGGGGGAGAAATCCGCAATTTTTGACCGAAAAACGCTATAAAATTCTGTAAAAGAAGGTTTAAAAAGTTGTCTAAACGCTAAACTAACAAATCGACAACCTAAAAATCAATGCCTCATTTTCGTTGCGTAATCCATTCGCTTTTTTCAACGTTAAAATCGAAATTTCCAAAAAATTCCCAATTTCATGTGCGAGTTTTTGATGATTTTGGCCTAAAAACGCTATAAAATCGGTTAAAAAGCGCTCTAAACTTTAAACTGTGATACGGTAGTCTAAATTAGCCAACGAGCTACTCAAAAATCGATACCACATTTTCATTGCGTAATCGATTACCCTCTTTTTAAACCATTAAAATCCAAATTTCCAAAAAACCCCATTCTCAGGTGCGAGTTTTTGATGGACGTGGATGACACGGGGGATACCGTGGACACCGTCGTCGCTCAATTCGAGAATCTCGACTCACGCGTCGGACAGGTCAGCTAGCAGAGGCAATTTGCGGAAAACCGATCGATTTTAGAGCTCATCCTCCTCAGCTGCTGCTCCCGCTCCTCCTCCTCCCATCGATTTCAGCCATCTCCTGCTCGCCACCGCCGCTGCCACGCCCCGCAGATCGTGCATCCACCTCGCCGGCTCGTCGACATCTACAGCCTCGACTTCGGTGAGTTCACCCCTGAAAATTGCGAAAAATTGGGTCTAGAAGCTATAAAAATTGAAAAAGATGGAAAATTCGATATTTCTAAGCTTATCACCACTTTCTAAACATGCCAATCTACCTTTTTGAAAGCTAAAAATTGCTAAAAACCCCTTAAAAAATCCTTTTGTAGCCCAAAAAATTAGTCCGGATCCGCTCAGAAAATCGCCATCAAAAACCCCTATAAAAATCGAGGAATCGTTAATATTCTGGACTGCTACCCTTCATACTATGATCTACATCTGCCATGTTGGCTATTAAAACAAAAATAAACTAAAAAACCGCTTTTTCAAGCCCAACTTTCGAAAATCGATGATAAAACGTGAATTCCAGGACGCCGAAGGCCCCTAAGGGTCTGGAAAACCTTGCCAAACGGGCCTTACATAATTTTACATCTTTTCTATACTCTAAAATAACTGAATTGGCTTTGTAAAACACGAGAAACGCCTGAAAACATTTTTATTTTCATGCCGCTGCCACGGGGCCCTGGGCTGTTTTCTAAACAGCACCTAGCTGCGTTCAGAGGAGCCTCGCGGAGCTTCTTCTCCCGGGCTTTCGGCTTTTTCTCCTAAATTTTTCCAAGTTTTGCGAGCGATTTTGATGCTTTTTAAGTTATGCTTTTTCTGTAATTTAATTTCGATAATTTTTGACCTTTTGGAGGCCCATTTCTTCTCGTCGATTTCACGAAGTTTTTAGCGTTTTCAACCAAATCGCTACACTATTTTCTGATTTTTAGCATTTTTGGTTTTTGTCGAAGCTTTTTCTTCAGGTTTTAGCGTCCAAAATCGTTGCCAAACCTTGGCTAACACTTTTCGTAGGGGTCTAGGCTGTTTTCGGGTTTTTATTTGCTTCAGTGGCTCGTTTTTAGCGCGATACTTCGGGTTCTGGGCTTTTTTTTGAAACGCGACGTATTTCCCAGTGATTTTCCATGCTTGTCTCGGGGTTCTATAAAGTTTTTTGGATCTTTAGTCGCTGGTCTTTTGTCTTTCTCTCGATTCCAGGTCTTTTTTGCGCCCTAAAACCTTCAGTGCTAGCTTTCCCGGGGGTCTTTACGCGTTGCCTGAGTTTTTTTCTATTTCACTCGCTTTCACTTCTTTGTTAACCTTTTTTTGCAGACGATTGCGAAGCGCAAGTGGTCAACGGGCGCCACCAACGCCGACGCAAGTGCCAGCAAGCAGATGAAGGCCGCCGGGTACGTTTCGAGTTTTTCCTTTTCATTCTGGGCCCCCTCCGCTCCCGGGCAGGCTAGCAGAGGTCATTTGGGGAAATTTGTCGCTTCTATTGCTTCTTTCTTGTTCTAAATAATTTTTTTTGCATGAGAAAAGCGGAAAATAGCTTTTTTAGGCTTTTGAAACTTTTCTAGGCGTTCTAAAGGCTGAAAAAGCTGTAGAAAAGCGAGGCAGGCTAGCAGAAAGCTTTTAGGAATCTAGGAAATCTTCTAAATTGCGTTTTGCGTATTTTTTAGGGGGTGTAAAGTAGAAAATGGCTTTTCTAGGTCTTTGAAACTTTTCTAAACGTTCAAAAAGCAGAGAAAATTTTTAGAAACCCGAGGCAGGCTAGCAGAAATCTTTCGGGAACTTTTTAAGCGTTCCCCCGGGTTCCTTATCAATCTCGTGCTCCTCTATCCCCCACCCTCGACCCGCTAATGTGATGTTTGGATTCCCGGGTTCCCCGGCGCGCTCTCTTTTTCTCCCCGAAAGTCGATCGATTTGGGTTTAAAACCAATTTTTGGGCCCCAAAATTTTTCTAAAATATTTTTTTGCAGAGATTACTGTGGAATGGACAGCGACACGCCACCCGAGAGCCAAGATGCCGTTTGCCAACAACAACAGCAGCAGCAGCCCGGCGCCGGTGATGCTGAAGAGACGGCCGTCGCCCTCAACTGGATCGCCGGCTTTGGGGTGAGGTTTTAGAGCTTTTTTCGCGTGAATGTTGATGATAATTGTATTTTTTAGCTTTTGGTTTTTGATTTTATTTTTAATAATTTTTCTTTGCAGCAAATGTCGATGGCGCAGCAGAGCACGGCCCTGCGCAACCTCCTCTACCGCCTGCCCGACCACCACCTCCGCACGCTGCGCCACCTCATCGAGCCCATGTTCCAGAAGGATTTCCTCGGCATACTACCCGATGAGGTACATTTTTGCGCGGTTTTTAGGGCGTAATCGGTCGAGGCGGGTTGATTTTCAGGGCGTAATCGGTTTGAGCCCGTCGATTTTCGTAGCGTATCCGTTTAGCCTGTCCCAAATTTTTATTTTCTTGAACTTTTTCGTTGCGTTGAAGTCTTGGAACGGTTTTCATGGCATGATTGATTAGCCTACCCCCGATTTTCGTAGCGTAATCGATCAAAAGGCGAATTTTCGACTTTTTTTTCTTTGCTTTGATCTCGCCCCCCTATTTTATTGGCGTAACCGGATACCAGCTCTAATTTTCGAGGGTTCGAGGGAGGAGAGGAGGACCCTATAAATTCTCGTTTTTTCAGTTGGCCCTGCTGATCATCTCGTACTTCGAGCCGAAGGACATGATCGCGTGCGCGGGCGTCTCCCACACGTGGCGTCGCCTGTGCGAGGAGGAGCGGATATGGAAGGCGAAATGCCTCGCCGCCGGCTACACCACCACCAACATCAAAAAGGATCGACCTAGGTGATTTTCTAGCCTTTTTAAAGAGTTGAAAGTTGTTGAAATTTGTAGATTTTCTCTGATTCGTGTTTTAGAACTTTTTTAATTTGAAACAAATAGCTAAGGGTTTCTCAGCGGCAAAAACGTCTGAAATTCTTGAAAAATTGCGTTTTTAACGTTTTTTTAGTGGAAAACACGGAATTTGGGCCTTTTTGAAGCAAAAAACTCAGAAAAGCTTAAAACAACATTTATTCACTAAACCTTTCCATTTCAGTTTCCGGTTTTGCGGCGGCTGGGCCGAGTTTCCGGCGAACAAGCAGACGGGCATCACGGTCCACGGGCACATGTCAACGGACGAGTGCTATGCGAACAAGCAGGCCCGCGAGACGCCATATGGGAAATGCTCGGAGAGAAGCCCCTACAAGGCACTCTACATCAGGAAGAGGAGGATTGTCGCCAATTGGAGGAGTCAGAAGATACAGTCCAGCGTCGTCCTCAAGGTATAACGCTTTCCTAAGGTTTTCATCGCGTAATCTGTTCCCGGGGCCTTCAAAAAACGGCGTTTTAAAAATTTTGAAAATTCAGATTTTTAAAAAGTTGAGTAATCGATTTTCTCGGTTTTTATCGCTTGATTTTCGTTGCGTAATCGGCGCCTGGGGCCTAGAAAATGCATAAAAATCTCGAAAATTTAGTTTGTAGCTTTCAAAAACTGTCTTTTTTTGTATTTTATAAAATTAGCGAGGTTTTTCCTTGCGTAATCGGTTTTGTTTTGCCTGATTTTCGTTGCGTAACCGTTTCCGAGGTCCTTGAAAATACATAAAAATCCGAAATTTTCTGGATTTCCAAATTTGCCAGCTTACCTCTTGAGCTTCCTAGGCCCGAATTATCGCAGCTTTTTCATCGCGTAATCGGTTCTCCTTTTCGAAGGAAGGCTCCTCGAAATCAATTGCTCCGTTTTCTCGGTTTTTATTTTTTTTAAATTTTCTTTTTTTCAGGGCCACGACGAGCACGTGATAACGTGCCTCCAGATCCACGCCGGCCGCATCGTCACCGGCTCCGACGACAACACGTTACGGGTATGGGACGTCGAACGGGCACGACTCCTCTTCACACTCACCGGCCATTTGGGAGGAGTATGGACATCACAAGTCAGCGATGACGGAAAGTATATTGTTAGGTGAGGATCTTGCTCTTATCCGCTCTCTCTATCTCTCTCTCTCTCTTTTTTTTTTTTTTTTTTGTTAAAAAAAAAAAAAAAAAGCGGCGGGGGGGGCGGGGGGGGGGGCCGGGGGGCGGGCCCCGCCCCCAACCCCCCGGCCCCGGGGGCTGGGGGGCGTTTTTTTGGTGGGAATTTCCTTCTCTCTCTCTCTCTCTGAATTCAACATTCTATTCCCTTTTTTTCAGCGGCTCCACGGATCGTACGGTTCGCGTGTGGAACGGGAAGGACGGCAAGCAGCTCCACATCCTCCAGGGGCACACCAGCACCGTCCGCTGCATGAGCTTGAACGGGAAAATGTAAGGGAATTACTGGCTCGTTCAAATGGTCTCGGCTAGTTGCCCTTTTTTCCTAAATGTTCTCTGCTCATTGACGCTTGCTTTCAGAATTTTTTCTTCTGGCTTTCCTTAAATTCTCAAATTCTTTCTGCTTGCCCGCCCTCGAAATTTTGAAATTTTTTTACTTTTAAATTTTAAATCCCCGCTTTTTCAGCCTGGTCTCCGGCTCTCGTGACCAAAACCTTCGCGTGTGGGACATCGAGACGGGCCAATGCCTCAACGTGCTCACCGGCCACCTCGCCGCCGTCCGTTGCGTCCAGTTCGACGGCAAGCGCGTCATCTCCGGCGCCTACGACTTTACCGTCAAGGTAAATTTTGGCTTTCTCTTCCAAAATTTTGTGTTTAGGTATGGAACGTGGAGACGGGCGTCTGCATCCACACCCTCACCGGCCACACCAACCGCGTCTACTCGTTGCTGGTCGGTTTTTGACGTGAATTACGGGGGGCGCAGGTGGCTTGCGGGGTTTTGGAGTGGTTTTGTGCGTTTTTAAATCAAAATAATGTTCTTTTTTGGTCCAAAAAAATAGTTGGGGTGGGGGGGGTTGTTTGAAGGGTTTTTTGGTGCAATGGTCCCTGCTAGCTCGCCTGAACTTTTTGAGGCGTTTTTGCTGTTTTGATTTTGAAAATTCTCCAAAAATCCTTGCTAGCTTGCCCAACATTTTTCAAAAGTTTTTTCTGACGTCCTGCCAAATTTTCGAAATTCCCCAGAAATCCCTGCTAGCTAGCCCCCAACTAATTCCATTTTTTCAGTTTGAGCCGGAGCGTGACCTGGTGGTGTCGGGCAGTCTCGACACGACGATCCGCGTCTGGGACATTGTCAGAGGGATCTCCATCGCCGTCCTCGTCGGCCATCAGAGTCTCACCTCCGGCATGCAGCTCAAGGGCGACATTCTCGTGTCGTGCAACGCCGACTCCGAAGTTCGGGTCAGTTTTCTTAAGTTTTAAAGTTTTCGGAATTCCTCAAGATTCGCTGCTGGGTTACCTGGTTCCAAAATGATCCCTGCTAGCTTGCACCCTAATTCCTCAAGAATATTTGCTAGCTAGCCCCCGCATTTCCTCAAGGAAACCTTGCTAGCTTGCCTCTCATTCCTAAAAGGCCTCTGCTAGCCTCCCGCTCTGGTTTCTCATGAATCTCCAGCCCCCCCAAATCCCCAAAAAAACTCGGTGGGGGAAAATTTCTTACCACCTCTGATTTATCTTTATTTTTCCAGGTATGGGACATTCGCGATGGTGGGAAGTGCCTTCATCGCCTCCAGGGCCCCTATGGCCACACCTCGGCCATCACATCACTTCATCTACTCGAGAGCGGACTCCTTGCCACCTCTTCCGACGACGGCACCGTCAAGCTGTGGGACGTCGAGAATGGTACACTATTTTTTGCGTTTACTTTTGCCTTTGAAGGGGTCGGGAAGGCAAAAGCGTCCCCGACCGGATCGATTACGCCATGAAAATCGGTTTTTTTGCATTAATAGCAGGCCTAATTTCATGGCGTAATCGTTTTGCGGAGAAGCTTTTTGCCTTTTCCAGTCCCTTTAAAAGGCGTCTAATTTAATTGCGTAATGGTTTGAGGGGAATGTTTTTGACTTCTCAGGCCCTGTAAAATATTTTTTATCGAGTTTTAATGGCGTAAGCGTTTGGGTTTTTTGCCTTCCTAAGGACCTTCAGAAAATTATAAGAATTTTATTTATTTAAAAAATGCTATAATTCTAAAAAAAATTCTTTTTAATTTTATTTTTTTATTTTACTTTTTGCAGGCCAATTCGTGCGGGATCTCGTTCGTCTGCAGTCGGGCGGTTCGGGCGGTTGCATCTGGCGGTTGAAGGCGACGGAGACGCTGCTCGTGTGCGCCGTCGGCTCGCGGAATGGCACCGAGGACACGAAGCTCATACTCCTCGACTTTGACTCGGCATATCCATAGAGCGTGTAATGTGTGATACAGTTTTTCCCCGCGGGGGTGTCACGCTCCCTTTAGTGGGCCTTAAAAAAATAAAAATCGCTACTAGGGCAAAATTTCAGGATTTTTCGAAGTAAAATATCTGCTGGTTTGCCAGGGCATGCTAGCAGGGATTTTTGAGGAAATTTTCATAGAGCTAGGGCAAACTAGCAGCGATTTTTTGCTAAAATTTTCGCATTTTTTAGGTTTTAAAGGGAGCGTGACACCTCCCGTAACCTCAGTCTTTCTCCCCCCGCTATTTCGTCTGCAATGCTGGTCCTCTTCCTCCCCATCACTCACTCACCCCTCCCTCTTTTCTATATTTTGCCAACTATCCCTCCGAGCCTATATATATCGATCGATTTTTGTGGTGTCATTTCGTGTGTTTGCGTATTCGCGTCGTCTTTTTGATCTCTCATCGGGTCCTCTCTCTCTCTCTGTGTTTTCTCTGTCCCTCTCCCTCTCTTTCTATGCGTCTCTCTCCCTCTCTCCCCTCTCTCATTTTGCGCGCGCGCTCTTAACCGGTTACGCGAGGTATATATTTCATCATTTACCCTACTATGCACCCACCACCATCCGCCCACATAAAGAAACATGAGATAAAATGCTACTCACCCGATCTGATCTGATCCGATTACGACTGGAAATTACGTTCCAACGCCCGTGCGCTGACGGGCTGATTATTGTGGATTTTCCGGGTTTTTTTTTGATACGATTACGCTAGGGAATTCATAGCTCGCCCCGCCTTCCCTGGGCCTTTAAATTCTGGGTTTTAGCCTTTGGACTATGTCTGATTTTTAAGGCGATTCGATTACGGGAGGAAATCGATGAAGGCCCAGCCTTCAATGGGCCTTTAAAATCGCGTTTTCCGTTGGAACCGGGCATTCGATGACAGCAGGAAATTCCTTGCGCGTCCTTTTAAACCAGCAAAATTAAGCAAGTTTCAAAAAACTGATTTTCCACTTTTCTGGGCATTCGATGACGCCACCAAATCCATAGCCCCTGTCTTCAATGGTCCTTTAAAACGTCTTTGTCTCTCGTGTCAAACAGCCCGGATCGACACTTTATTAACGACAAGTAGGCGAAAAACTCGAGATACGGGGAAGGGGGCGATCGCTTTTGTACCGCTTGGAGACGTCGGCCGGCCTAGGCGCTCAGGAACTCGAACAGGTACTCGGAGCGCAGCACCGGCGGGATCTGCGTCTCCGCGCACTCCCACACGTCAATCTTCTTCTCCTTCTGAAAAAACGGCGGGAAAATTCGGAGCAAAAGCAAAAAGCAAAAAATTCTGCCGCGGCCGGGATTCGAACCAGCGACCCTCATAACATGTCGTAATCGCTTGCAAATTCGATTTTTAAGCTACTTGCTATGTTTTCGACAGCCAGCTAGCCAATTCTAAGCTTTTCAGACAAAAAGCAAAAACCCTGCCGCGGCCGGGAGTCGAACCCGGACCCTCAGATTGGCAGGCAAACTCGCTAGCCACTCGACCACCTCAGTCAATTATACCTTTTTCGACGACGACGAATTGCCGGCGGTGTTGGCTGCGGGGATGGGTTGTTGCTGTTCGTGTTGCGGGGGTTGTTGCTGTTTCTAAAAAACAAGAGTTTTTAATTTTATTTTTGTAGGATTACTGTATTTTGCTAATGTTAATATGTGATTTTGTAGCGTTTTTGAAGGGCTTTCGAATGATACAAAAATCATGACGCTACCGTAATCCTAGCACAAGTTAAATGGCCTTTTAAAGTTTGTGCCCCAGGGCTACAAACGACAATCGACCGTATCTCCGGCTACAAACATCAAACTTTAACGTTTTATAGCTCATTTTGTAGCATTTTTCACGCGCTTTCGAATGAGCTATATTACATTACGCCATCTAATTGCTAGAAAAAGTTATGTGGGCTTAGAGTTAGAATTCGATGAACTAGGCTACAAACTACAAAATTAAACAAACTAGGCTAAACTACAAACTACAACTAGAACCAGATACCGATTTGAGGGATTTGCTGGTGAGCGTCTCGACCTGCTGGATCTCGTGCGGCGACGGGGGGCGCTTCGCCTTCGCCGGGGAGGGCGCCTTCTTCGGCGGGGGCGTCGCCCGGGTGGCCGACGCTGCTGGCGCGGGTGTCGCTGAAATTTCCGTTTTTGTTAGCTTCAATTTTAGTTTTTTAGAATTTTTGGCCAAGTGGCTAAGGGTTTGGCTACCAATAGGGTCCGGGTTCGAATCCTGTCGGGGGCAAACTTTTTGCTTTTTTTATTTTTATTGCGTAATCGGTTTAACTGGGCGTCATATAAACCAAAAATCCTTATACAGCAAAAAACAAAAATTCTGGCGCGGCTGGGGGTCGAACCCGTGTCGCCAGGTTGGCAGGCCAGGCCACTTAACCACTCGGCCACGGAAGGGATTTTTTGACAAAAATGGTTTCCAGATAGCCTGACTCGAAAATTCCCGAATTTCGATAAAACATAAAAAACGGTAAAAGGCGTAAAAATATACCCTTTTTGGGTGTTGTTTTGGGGGTGGGCGTCTTGTGCTTGGGTGTTTTTGTGCCGGCCGGTGTCCCGCCGGGCGGTCGTTTCTTCTTCTTGCCGGCGCAGCAGCCGCCTCCGCCGCCCTTTGCCTTGCCTTTGGCGCCGCCGTGGCCCTTCTGAAAGGTGAGGAATTGCGTGGCGTAATCGATTACGACATGAAAAACAATTTTATTTAGCTCGCCTAATCCGTTACGACATCTAAATCCTGTCTAGAATTATCAGATTTCCACGACGTAATCAATTACGACGTCTGAAACGAGTCTCGGGGCTCGGAATTAGACGTCGTAATCGATTACGCCATGAAAATCGAGGCTAAAAACGACGAATTATACGTCGTAATCGATTACCTTCGCCCGATCGCCCTTGGTGCATCCGATGAGAAGAAGGGCGGGGAGCAGGAGAAGCCACACCACCGACAGCCAACAGTCGTCAATCTGAAAGGGGAAACGAATTTTTCAAAAAAATCAGTGTCGAAACTCGTGGCCAAGTGGTTAGTGGTCTTGTCTGCAAATCTGAGGGCCCGGGTTCGACCCCCGGCCGCGGAAAATTTTTTGCTTTTTGCCTCAAACTCTCAGAATAGCGGCCAGAAAGCAAGGCTGAGCAATTAAAATCCGATTTCTAACCGATTACGCGACGCCATTAGGATCGCGGGTTCGACTCCGGGGCTCGGCAAACTTTTTGCTTTTTGCTCAAGATGCTGAGAATAGGCGCAAGGCCATAGCACAGCCGCCAACACGAACAAAAAACGGCACGGAACCTGGCCAAGTGGTTAGTGGGCGGCCTACCAACTGGGATCCAGGTTCGACTCCGACGTACAAACTTTTTGCTTTTTGCTAAAAATCCTCGGAAACGGTTAGCAGAGACCAATTGAGAGCCACTCACCACGAAAATGCTTTGTAAAAGTGAGCGCATCCACATTCTCTGAAGGGGGTAATTGATAGGGGGCGTGTCCAGAGGAGTGGAGCGGAGCCAACCAATAAAAAGGGGGAGACGGTAGAAAATGGAAAAGAGGCAGGAGGGTACGGTAGCCAATCGCTGTAGCTCAGCAAGCAGCTCCGGCATTCAATTACGACATGTAAATTGGATTCGAGAGAAATTTTACGTCGTAATCGGATCCCGGATTTTCGTAGCGTAATCGATTTTCAGCTATTTTCATTGCGTAATCGATTTTTCGAAAATTTCATGGCGTAATTGATTGCCTGAATTGATTTTCCAGAAATTGCACGTCGTAATCAAATGTTCAGTTTTGTGGCGTAATCGATTTTATGGAATTTCATAGCGTAATCGATTTTTCACGAATTTAAGGGCGTAATCGATTGCCTGAATTTCATAGCGTCACCGGTTTTTTCGTCAATTTCATGGCGTAATCGGTTGCCTGAATTTCATAGCGTAATCGATTTGTCCAGCAGAGATTCCTTAGGAAGCCTAAAGGGACAGCGACACCTAGCATTTTCGCTTTTCCTATCCACTTGCCATTGCGTAATGAATGACAGCCGCTTCGCGGGGATTTTGGGGATTCTAAAGGCGCGGCGCAACCGTTTTTCGCTTTTGCCGAAGCTATAATTTTCGTTTTTCGGGCTAACAAGCAGCGATTCTTTGCGGAAGGAACCGGACCTCCCGGCTCTCGTTTCATAACCCCTAAAATGACTCTCCTGCTTCATTCTAGGCGATAAGGCAAGGCCAAAAAGAAGCGGAAATCAGTTCACAGAATAGCCGAGATGACGAAGCCCCTCCACTCTTCTTCTTCCCTTCCCCCTGATAAGCGGAAGCGTCACAACCCCTGCACTGCCCCGAGTCGGCTTTAAAGCCAGCTGGCCCCTCAATTTCTAACAATTTCGCGGCCATTATGCGTTCTTTCTACCATTTTATACGATAGACGCTTTAAAAATTGATTCAGAATCGATTACGCAATGTAATTCGGGTCTCGGGTTCGACCCCCGCGCGCGGCAAAACTTTTTGCTTTTTGCTTAAAACTTTCTTAAGCTTTCAGAAACGCTATTCTCTCTTTTATTTTACATTTTTGAGTCCGAAATTCGCTTCCAGATCCCGGAAAATGGGCGGAGCGCCAGTGGAGCTGCGCGGGGTGAACGAGCTGGAGACGTGCGAGGCCCCGCCCCCTTATACGCAGAATCCGGTAGGTTGGGGGGGGCAGGCTAGCAGGGAATCTTTGAGGAAATGAGGGGCAGGCTAGCAGAGATTCCTTGCGGAACGGCAGCGTTTTAAAGGCCCATTGAAGTCTGTTTTCCAGCTGGACGCCCCGCCCCTCCCCTCCACTACTATCGTCGTCCAGCCAACCACCATCGTCATCGAGGAGAGATGCAGGAAAGGAGAGAGGTCAGTATTTCTCAAAAAATTTCCACAAAGAACCGCTGCTAACTGGCCCTGTTCTTTTCCTCAAAGAATCACTACTAGCCTGCCCCTACCTTCAATTTTTTTCAGATGCCGTAGGGGAAGCCATTGCTCGGTGCATGGCCACGATGATAGCGGATGTCTGATTTGTTGTTGCGGCAAGTTTTTTCGAGGGCAAAACCAAAAAGCAAAAAATTCTGCCGCGGCGGGGAGTCGAACCAACGACCCCAATAACCTGGCGTAATCGATTCGAAATCGCATTTTTTCGACCGGAGCAGGCTTCCAGGGTGCCACCTAGACGATCATACAAGTTTGGTGCAAAAAGCAAAAAGTTTGACGCTTCTGCCGCGGCCGGGAGTCGAACCCACGATGCGAATTCCATAGCGTAATCGAATGAAAACCAGTGTTTTTAGTTGGCCCTCGTATTTGCATCGTGCCGGGCCCCGTCTATAGTGGCGGAGGAGGCGGTGGAGGAGGGGGATGTTGCTGCTGTACCGGATGCGGGGGATGCGGAAATGTAAGTTTCCGGCTCGGCAGGCTAGCAGAGACCAATTGCCCTCCGAAAAACTCTCGATTTCAGTGCAAAATGGACGGCCGATCGTTGCTGATCGCCCTTGTCTGCGCCGTGCTGCTCGTTGGTAAGTCTTTCGTGATTTTTCAGCATGGCCGAGTGGCTAAGGGGTTTGGCTGCCAACCTGGCAACCCGGGTTCGAACCCGCCGGGGCAAATTTTTCTTTTTGTATTTTGGGCCTTGGGAAAGAGCCCAGAAACTCTGCGTTGGACTGCCGGGCGGAGGGCCCGGGTTCGATTCCCTCCGAGGTAAAACTTTTTGCTTTTTGGATTTTTTTGCGTAACTGGTCAACCTGGCTGCCCGGGGGCCCAAAAAGCCACTTTTCGAGGCCGATGCAGAGGCGGGGGGTCGAACCCGGGTCATGTGCCTGGTAGCCCAGTCACTTAGCCACTCGGCCATGGTCTGTAGCCCTAAAAATGATGGTTTTGTAGCCTTATTTTGCATTTTGCAGTCTAATTAGCTCATTTCAGGCGTGGTGATGATGGTGATCGCGTGGCGGATGAAGAAGAGTAGCCCGCCCGGGTCGAAAAAGTGGCTTCTCCTGTTCGTTCCGGGGGTTATTCTGGCGGTTGCCCTCCCTGCTGTCGCCGTCACCCTGATTGTCGTCTACTGGGATCAGATTTCGACGATTTTTGACGACGATAGCAGCTAAGAGAAGGGTACGGTAGCCCTGTTCTCTGTACTTTGTAGTTTGTGATTTTGCGCTACGGGTTGGGTTTTTGTGTTTTTTGACGCATTTATGAATAAATTTTTACGTTTTACGAATTGATTAAGCCCTGAAATTCGAGTTTAATCGATTACGCTCTGAAATTCGCGTTTAAACGATTACGCGCCGAAATTCTTGCTGGTTAATCGATGAAAATGTATTCGATTACGACACTTTATTCAAAACCAAAAAACAGGGCAAAAACTACAAAATACAGACAGGCTACAGGGCACAAAAATTGAGGTACTGTAGGAAGGGCACCGAATAGGGGAGGGGGAGAGTGAGAGAGCGAGAGAGAGAGAAAGAGAAGGAGAAAGAAAGGACGAGTGTGAGATCAATCTATGCCTGCACAGGCACTTCAGCCGTCTTTGGCGCTTCCGCGCTGGGCGCGGAGGCGTCGGGCGGGGCGTCAGCGCTGAGATTCGCCGGCTTCTCGCCGCACATCAACGCTGCCTTCTCCTCGGCCCGTTCGGCCTTCTTTTGCTCTGCAAAAAATGGTCTCTGCTAGCTGGCCCTTGGTTTTAAAGGACCTAGCAGTGAAGCCTGGAAATCGCTCCCAAATGCGCTCTGCTAGCTTGCCCAGCCCTTAAATTATTTTAAAGGACAGTGACAGCTAGAAAAAGCTTTTAAGGTCCCCACAAGTGAAAAAAGTTATCCAAAGTGGTCTCTGCTAGCTTGCCCAGCTCTTGAAATTATTTTAAAGGGACGGTGACACCCCAAAAACCAGCTTAAAAGCACTCACTGAGCCTGGACTCGTTGATCTGCCTGTTCAGCCTCAATACGTGGGCTCGGCTCTCGTCGTAGAGTTGCCGTAGATCGTACATGCGGTGTAGTACGTACTCGTAGATCTGGCGGGCTTCGGGGAGGTTTTGGGGGACGTGGTCGTAGTCCCAGGCTGAAAAAGAGGGGGTTAAAACCGCCATCAGCAGCTTTAAGGGGTCGTTTGATCCGATTACGACGTGAAAATACGTA